ATACCATCCACTCCCCCCCCCCCCTCACTAAAAAAATAAAGAATATAGAAATATTGCTGGGCGTGCCGTTCTCCCACAGTTTAAGGGCTGGTGCCCGGTGGGCACATCATTCACAGGTCACCCAGATAAAATGCTACATCTAAGTAATACCTTCCCCCACCCCCTCCCCACCCCCACCAAAAAAAGTAAAAGAATATAGCAATATGACTCGGCGTGCCGTTCTCCCACAGTTTAAGGGCTGTTTCCCGGTGGGCTCATCATTCACAGGTCACCAGCTCCCAGCCAGATGAAATGCTATATCTAAGTCATACCTTCCCCCAACCCCTCCACACCCCCACCAAAAAGAGTAAAGGAATATAGAAATATGACTGGGCGTGCCGTTCTCCCACAGTTTAAGGCGTGTTGACCGTTGGGCTCATCATTCACAGGTCCCCATCTCCCAGCCAGACAAAATGTTACATATAAGCCATACCACCCCCCCCCCCCGACCAAAAAATGAATAATACACATTTTACAGGGTATGCCGTGCTCCCACAGGTTAAGGGCTGGTGCCCAGTGGGCTCATCATTCACAGGTCACCATCTCCCAGCCAGATAAAAACGTACATATATGTCATACCATCCACTCCCCCCCCCCCCCCACCAAAAAATAAAAGCATATAAAAATATTCCTGGGCGTGCCGTTCTCCCACAGTTTAAGGGCTGGTGCCCGGTGGGCTCATCATTCACAGGTCACCATCTCCCAGCCAGCCAGATGAAATGCTACATCTAAGTAATACCTTCCCCCACCCCCTCCACACCCCCACCAAAAAGAGTAAAGGAATATAGAAATATGACTGGGCGTGCCGTTCTCCCTAAGCTTAAGGGCTGTTGCCCGATGGGCTCATCATTCACAGGTCACCATCTCTTAGCCAGACGAAATGCTACATCTAAGTCATACCTTCCCCTACCCCCTCCACACCCCCACCAAAAAGAGTAAAGGAATATAGAAATATGACTGGGCGTGCCGTTCTCCCACAGTTTAAGGCGTGTTGACCGTTGGGCTCATCTTTCACAGGTCACCATCTCCCAGCCAGATAAAATGTTACATATAAGCCATACCACCCCCCCCCCTGACCAAAAAATGAATAATACACATTTTACAGGGTGTGCCGTGCTCCCACAGGTTAAGGGCTGGTGCCCAGTGGGCTCATCATTCACAGGTCACCATCTCCCTGCCAGATAAAAACGTACATATATGTCATACCATCCACTCTCCCCCATCCCCCCACCAAAAAAATAAAAGCATATAAAAATATTACTGGGCGTGCCGTTCTCTCACAGTTTAAGGGCTGTTGCCCAGTGGGCTCATCATTCACAGGTCACCATCTTCCAGCCAGACAAAATGCTACATCTAAGTCATACCTTCCCCCACTCCCTCCCCACCCCCACCAAAAAAGTAAAAGAATATAGAAATATGGCCGGACGTGTCGTTCTCCCACAGTTTAAGGGCTGTTGCCCAGTGGGCTCATCATTCACAGGTCACCATCTCCCAGCCACAGAAAATGGCACATCTTACTCATACCACCCCCTCACCCCTCACCAAAATATAAAAGAATATATAAATATTACTGGGCGTGCCATTCTCCCACAGTTTAAGGGGTAGTGCCCCGTAGGCTCATCATTCACAGGTCACCATCTCCCAGCCAGACAAAATGTTATACATGTAGGGCATACACCCCCTCCCTCCCCAATAAAAATAGATTAACTGGACATGCCGTTTACTACACAGTTTTAAGGGCTAGTGTCCTGTGGGCTTATCATTTATAGGTAAACATGTCCCTGCTCGGCAATATGTTACATGTATGTCTTACAACCCCCTCCCCATCACCCCCTCCACACCCCCGCAAAAAAAAAAAAAAAATTAACATTAAAGAAATACTACAAAACATCAACAACAAAAAAAAATAGAAGGAAAATAATTATCAGACGCCTGGAGGCTCATGTGAAATTCAATATCATTGCGAGTCTCGCATTAAAAAGATAATCTGTTTTTTCACAAGATAGATATTGAAATATGACTAACAACCTACGTTTACAACCCTTGGATGCTTTCCTCCCATCTCCCTGCCAACATCAAACAGGCTAAGACGGGACTTTGCAATGGAAAGCTCAGAACATGAACTGGTGGAACTGCCGATCAAAGAGAAGGAGGTGTACAGTAGCTCTGGCGCTGATGGCTGACTGACTGACATGACTGACTGACTGACTATAGGCCCATGCACGTCCCTTGATGATGAACCTTGATCTGCGGATTTAAACGACAAAAGATTAATGCAATTAGAGACAGTAAGTATACACATTGAAAGACGTAATAAAGTCAAATCTGTCTTAGAGTTAGAGGCCATCTTTTCATAAAGGCCATCTGTCTTTAGTGGCCTACATCTTTTTCTCTCTCAAGAGAGAAATGTGTGTTGTAGAATCTGTATAAAAAGACCACCTGTGTACAGAGGCAACTTTTTTGTTTTCCTTTGGTGGTCTTAATAGACAAGTTTGACTGTGGTGTATACTATTTCAAATCTCTGTCATATTTATTTATTTTTGGGGGAGGTGCAAATTCATTCAATTATTTCCCCGTCAACCATATTTACTTGTTTCTCTTCTTGTCCGGGCAGCAAATGGACTACACCAGATTTGGGCAAATCCATAATTGTATTGGAATCTTATTTATAAATAAGAATGATCGTGATAATGATGACAATGTTAATGATGATAATGATGATGATAATGATGATAATGCTGCTGCTGATATGCTACTCCTACTCCTACTACTACTACTACTACTACTACCACTACTACTACTACTACTACTACTACTACTACTACTACCACTACTACTACTACTACTACTACTACTACTACCACTACTACTACCACTACCACTACTACTACTAACAATATGTCTTATTTACCCAGGGTATTAATGCTGTTCTCTCTGCATCATTATGTGACATGCAATGACCAAATGACCAACCTATAAGATGTTTGAAGAAGAACAAAATCTTGCTGTCTCTGCCCCTTTATATTACCTCTACGCCGGGAGAAACAAGTGGTAAAGTTGTTTCTGTATTTTTTGGTGGTGCCCCTCCCCCTACTGTTCGACATTTTACTGAAACAACCAGCTAGGGAAAGAGAGGGGAGGAGGAGGGAGGAGGAGGAGGGAGGAGGAGGAGGGGCGGGCAAGAAGAGAAGACCTCGACTGAAGAATAAACCACGTATACTAAAGTCATAAACCAGCTACTTAAATATTCAAATTATATTTTATGGATGTTTCTTTCCTGGGGACCTAGTGACGAGTTATTCCGTTAATCTGTCAATAATAAATGAACTGCAACACACGGAATCCAGTCTTCATAAATTTTTTGTTGCTATGTCCGACAATCCAAGTGCAAGCTTTCAAGTTTGTCAAAAGTAAGCATGTTAGTAAACCGGGCTATTCAAATATGCATGTTTCTCTTCAGATCCATGAATACTAACTATTTAGTACACCTGCTATACATATTAACATGTCTAAAGATTTATATTAGCTGTTGCTATGTCTGGTAATCATTTGACAATCGTTTGAGTTGTCGAGAAAAACTTGTGATAGTATGAATAAAATGAGTAAACATGTCTATTTATTCCACTTTCAAGTTGGCCCGGTACAAACAAAAATTAAGGGGGATATAGGCCTGTGCTTTGTCACAGAGACAACTTGAATAAATTCTCATCGAGTCTAGGCCCAATTTTACAGGTGAAAGGTTAGACTTTTGTAATATTTGGAAAGTTAGATAGGCCTAAATAATTATGAACTTACTGTCGTTGTTGCCAGCACCAGAATTCATCCAGGGCTGGAGGTGCATTCCTTTTGCACCGGCAACCCTCGCAGGGGAACTAGGCGCACTTTAGTCCATACCGGCCATGATGGTTAGCGATCGTTCACTTTATAGTGAACATGCACAGAGGCGACGCAGAAAGTCCATGAAACAAAGCAAAAGCTAAAATCATCCTCCAAACGACATACACAATAATGCCAAGCATATAGTCATTTTTGGTTGTTGGTACTTTTTGATGGCAATCAGTCAATTTACAAATCGAAATACAGAGTTTTCATTTTTATGAGCGGAAAGAGTGGTGAGAGTCACGACTCGCTATTGCACGTAACCTCGCACCGATCCCGGCGGAGATTTCTTCGGATGGGTAGTTGAATAGACATCACGTGGTTCGAGCAGACGAGCCAATCACATTCGACTTTGTTCGGGCTATCCCGAATACGAATGCACGCCAGGAATGTCGGTATACTTTCGGAACTTGCACGTCACATGCACACAAGCTAGATCGTTCAAAATCTTATTGTTGAGGGAACGAACACAATGGTTAATTCAAAATAGATTAACAGCATTTTTTAGTGAACCAGCTTAGCTATGCAATGTATTTATGATAAAGGCAGCTACAATGTCTAAAGAATGTTGATCAATAGACTGTTTACGGAATGATTGTATTCCAATCAACTTACTGATTATTGCCGCTATTATGACGTTTTTGTCAAATTTATTTTTGGTCAAATGGGAGATTTTCTGTTCTCAGTCGTGCATTCATTTTAGGGGACTCTTTTTTTCTTAGTGGGTAGGGTGCTTAATTATAGCTTAGCCTATCTAAAGAAAATCTATTTTGATTAGGTAGAGGGTAGAGGGTCTACGTGTGTCAATATGAGATAGAGGCGGGGCCTCCAGAGATAATAGACCGCTAACTAAAGCAACATTTTGACAATTTTTAAATGGAAAACCATTTATCAAGAATTTCAGCGACTATATGGAAAACAAATACCAAACTATTTTCAAAACACCATGTACCACCTCAGACCTAGAAGAAACAACGCCCTCTGTGTCCTCTGACTCCAGGAAAATCTTTTTGTTTTCTTTATGCACGGGGTGCATGCACAATGCAATGCGTAACGCACAGCATGTGTATGTAATGTGTACAAAGTTCTTCGTATAATATGCACTGTATAGTATGCACATGCACTTTATTGCGATCTGGACGACAGAAACGAGGCGAGTAAGACGACATGTTCTCTAAATTTTCACCACAATGTGGTGCTTTGTAAGTGAAAGTCCATCTGTTGTGAGAGAATACAGAATACCTCATTCGGAATTAGGACAAGTTTTATACGACAAAGTAAGTATTTTCATTTCCAAGTTAATTAAAATCAAATCCAATAATTGTGGCGCTGCACTGCGTTGACTGTATTGACTTGTGTTGTAAATAATGATTGTTGTTATTGCCATATTTGTTGTTGCAGGATTAATATTAGACAGCAATAACCATCTGATTTGGGTAATTTCTTTAATAAAACTGACATTTGTTGTCATTCCCCAATACAGATGGCAACCCAGAGATCTCGTACCGTGGGGGTGGCTATGTACATATTTTCGTCCACGACATTTTCTCCCCGATTTTCTTTATTTAGATCTAGAGGGATCTAGGCTAACTTAGATCTAATTTCCTGATTTCTAAATCAGATGTAAATTAGGTCGGTATGTCATTTGTCCTAATTACAGTTATCAAAATTTGATAACTCAATATTAAATGGATAATTTACGGACTTACTTATATGAATTATCCAATTTGTATCTCAGAACCGCGAAGCAGTACGTTCATGCATTCGAAATATTACCCGGCGGCCGATATATTTCCGGGTCCACCTACCAAAACATAGCCAATGGCCAATCAGAGCACTCGTTTCGTGGGAGCTCGTTGGTCAAGCCGGGCCGACTCGTAAGTAGCTACGGTAGCTATTGGACGTTCGAAAAGAAAAAATGAATATTCATCAACTAAAACCAAGACGGATAATGTTGACGACGAGACTTTCTCGGATTAATCATTAATTTAGGATCTAAATGAGCAAGCTATCGTAAGTCAAATAAGCTATATATATGTTATTTTTAATTTGTGTTATAATTGCAGCAGTTATGAGGATGTAAAGAGTGAAAATCTTGTTGCATATCTCATTCATCGCGGTCCGGTCGAACCGAACCATTTGTTCCGTACAGTGCCTCACAGAAAGAGGTCCCCAGACTTCAGTCTCTATAATCGGAGGTCTAGTGGAGCCAGACCTAGTCTCAGTGGAACAACCGACGATTAGAGAGACTGAAGTTTTCGGTCTAGATTAATATGTGCATATACATGTAAATACATGTATAGATCCCTATGCCTATAAATATAATCATGATGATAGGACAGCTGAGCCTAAGTTTTAGGGCTCAGTAATGATATGATTTATGAAATAGGATGTTGATTTTACCAAGTTTTGATTGTGAAATTGCATGTGTGGTCCAGCCTGGAGCTGGAGAGTGATGTAGACTTAGCTAGATCTACATGTAGTCTAGGGGCGCTGGTCTGAGAATTAGGATCGTCTGCATAAACGAGGATATCCTCATAAAGACGGAAAAATTGCGTCCTAAAAAATAAGGATTGTTTTTTCATCAGCGCTCTGTGGGCGTGGGTTTTGGGTTCCCTCACCGCCGGTTGGCGATGCGAAACAACGGTTCTGTGTAAGAAAATAACCCCAGTTCACCATCTACTTTTATGGGTTGTTCGTCTTCCCGAGGAATTATCGCTCATAACGTGAAAGTCTGTACAAAGTCGATGTAAAATGCATCTCATGATCTAGAAAATTATCGCGGAATCATTTTTTTTTGGCACCACCTTCACGCGGATCAAAAATAAAAAACGTCTGCGAAAATGCGAAAGATCCTTATTTTTGCGGACGCGTCTGTCCATGTTTACGAAGACGATCCTCATTTATGCGGACGGTCCTTCTTCTCGGACCAGCGCCCCTACTAAAAATGTAAAAATAATGTGTACGCAATCACCCATTCCCGCTAACCTACCTTAGGCCTTGGCCAGACTCTACAGCTTTAGAAAGCAGAAACGAGGTGTAAATTAACATTCCAGCATACGACAAACCTTGCTATTACTGTAGACCACGCTTTTCCCATAAGGCCCAAGGCGCTTCCAGTGAATGAAAATTAAAATAACTTAAATTCATGTACATGTAATAAGAAAAACAGTCTTACCACTACAAACTGCAAAAAAGATGTGTTTTTAAGGCCTTTCTGAAGGAAGTAACTGACGGAGACTGCCTAATTCTAAGTGGTAGATCATTCCAGTATTTTGAAGCAGAGTAAATGTAAATCACCGGCTGACCTGGGCTAATATATTTGTAACTGAATATGTGAGACAGAGAGGATCACTGGCTGAACTCAATGCCCTGGCAGGTGAATAATAAATTCAAACAGTACACTGTAATCTAAATATTGTGGAGCTTGATTATTGAGTATTTTGAAGACAAACAAAAGTAATTAAAAGAGTAATTATTGTTTGTTTCAAAGGAAGCCTGTGTAATGATCTCAAGAGTGGCTGAGATGGACGGTCCCTAGAAACCTGAAATATCAATCGGGCTGCCTAATTTTGTACATGTAGCCGTTCCACACAATTCAATTTAGTCGAGGGAATAATAAAGAGGAGCCCATTACAATAATCAATACGAGATAGGACTAAAGAACGCATAGCATTATTGCATGCTGACTGGTCAATCTTCTAATTCTATACTGTAGCAATATTCCTTAAATAAAACGTAACCATACTACAGATGTGGATTGTGGAAAATATGTTCAGTCAAAGTTAACTCCAGGAAACTTCCGAGCCCGTCATTCATACAGCGGGTTGGGTCACTTTTTTTGAATAGTTAACAATTTTGACTTGTAAACAATGTTTTTCGACTCCTCTGGGCATCGTTCCAACTTCCAACTACTTGAAATTATAATTTGAAGAAGTCTTTGATGGAAAAAGGGTGATTCTTCGTCTTAAAGGGATAGTTGAGTTATGTTGCAGAGGGCGCTACACAAAATATTTTTTTTGTGTGAGATAATGAAAAAATTGAGTGTCAAATTTGAAAGAACATACAATTTAAATGACAATATCATCTTTGTTTGATCGAAATCGGTTCAGAGACGGCTGAAATATTCATAAGGTGACTATAATGATTTCTAATACTTGTGTACCACAACAAATATTACATGTAGATCATTTGAAAAAGCAGTTGAAAAAAAGAAATAGCGCCTTTTACGTCGTATTTCAACCAATGCCGATGTTAGCTTTTATGTTGGCATAATCGTGTTGGTTATATTAAGCACAACCAGCTGGCCCATGTACATGAACATGTATTGTTATTTTTAATGAAATAATTAATTAACTGTCACCATATTTTTTTGAAAGTGGAGCTGAATTGGTATGATCGTATTGGCTAAATTTCACACATTTTGGGGTCTAGAATTACCTTCAAAGCAATTTTAGGTTCTAAAAGGGCTCTAGAAATGTCATAAGAATAAGAGCAATAAAGATGCACTTTGAAGGCATTTTTTGCGGTCTGAAAACAGAACTCCACTATCCCTTTAACCCGATGATTCATCCATGTTGTATCGTCGAATCAACATGGCAAAGAACAAGTACATGTATGCATGTGCGGTAGCTACTTAGCAAATATGAATATTCATGCTATAGATAATTAGATATTCATATTTGCTGCGTCGCTACCACATCAATTTTCTGCAATTTTTTGATCATTTTCATTGATCGTGATCAGAATTTATTATCTGCTTTCACCTGATCGGCCAACAATCAGGCCTCGATCCGATCAATCGGTTACAGGGTCACATGTGTACACGTGTGCATGGAGATTCTTCTTCAGAATCACCTTTCGTAGTAGTAGAGGTTTCCGGACAGGAAGTTGTTACCAACTGACTCGGAAGTTATTGAGGGTTTGTTTACAAAGTTACAATCTCCTGCATGTGTGCACTTGCCACTTACTGTACACTGTAAGGTGTACTGGTATAGCACTTGTACATGTTTTGATCTGTATGATACAATAACCAATTGAGGCATTTGACAAAGGAGCAAGTGTTTATAAATCAACTGTTTGATATTACTTCAAGTTTCAATGCTGCATTAGGCGTGATGTCAGGCATTTTGAGGGTCTGGAAACGCTCTCACGCACGACGCGTGCTAGATTTAGAAAAACCCCTAGGTATACCTTATACGTGTGTTATACCCTCGCCCGCGCACTTGCGCACAGTCATTCAAATCTCACGCATTGCTGATCTTTGAACTTGGCGTCTCTGCTACATAATGTAATGTATTCCTATTTTTTATTTCCATTTTAGGTATGTGAGGACCTGGGCTTGTTGGAGAAGAGTTACTTTGGTCTTCGCTACCGCTCCAAGCGAGGAGAGCTCCTGTGGCTCAATCTGAGAAACCCTCTCGTTGTTCAACTTAGAGGGCGCTCTCCACACCGACTCAGTCTTCAGGTCAAGTTCTTTGTTTCTCCGCAGGAACTTCAGCAGCCAATCACGAGGTATTACTTTTAAAACAAAAATACAATTCGTTCTGTTATCTTCTTTTTATTTAAAATAAATTTTCCAGTTTTGGATGCTGTGTTAGACATGTCATGTTTCGTATGTACATGTATACATAGATGTACATAGATGTACATGTATTTTTTGTTTGTGTAGTCCAATGTATATGAATTTACAAGCAGAATAGCTACATGTATATGGGTAATTCCATAAATTAGGGACCCACTTTGTGACATTTTTGGTGTCCCACTTACAAATAAAGGAACCCACACATATTTGTGGCTCTGAGTGAAGACTTACATTAAATAGTGGAGTGAGATTGTAAAGTGATTTCCAAGCATAGCATTGCATCGTCATACCTAGAATCACTTAACAGACTATTTAAGTCTTTACTCAGAGCCACAAATACATGTATGTGTGGTTTCCTTATGTACATACATAATTGGGACACCAAAAATGTCACAAAGTGGGTCCCTGATTTATGAAATTACGCACATATTACACACATGTAGTTGAGAGTAGTGCCTTATAGAATAAACTTTTCTCTTTCGACCCAGCGGATGAATTTAGGACTGATGTCGACAATTGTTGACAAGAACTGATCAGTAATTGGAAGAAGCACTGAACCAGTTACTGCTGCTCCAGGGAGCCTACCCGCAATAACAATCAGGGATGAAATGAAGCAGAACAATAATAGAGAAATACTGAATACTGACAGAGCTAAGAAGAAGTACATGTATTACAAAATACAGAACATTTTTATTTGGAATCCTGACAAATGTTAACTTTATTCTCTTGGATATTTAATTAATTCACAGTTACCGGTAATTATTATTCATTAAATGTCATCAACATCAGAATCTTTGTTGACATAACGTCTTCATGCAAAACTGGCATTTTGTCAACGAAGGGCTCGTTAGCAAGCTACATTTATACTGGCAATCACTAGTGATAGTTTAGTTATAAATACAATACATGTATGAAGAGTTGGAGCAACAAATTACTGGTACCCCCCCCCCCCTACCAAAAAAAAAATACTTAAAATTTAAAGTTAACAATATATGTAGTCGTTTGGTGTCCGTGAATAATTTGGGGGACAAATGAAGCAAAACAAAACAAACATATGTCTAGACTCTTGTTAAAATAGAAGATTTTAAGATAATAAAATTGCACCCAGTAACTTTCACATTTTCGGTAGAAAGAGATGAACTCAAATGAACAAGGAAGTACAGTACATTATACAACATGCTTTAACTTATATTTACATGTACATTGTACTAAACAGTTAACAGTCCAGAACTACATGTATGTCTAGTCTTGGAGAGAAGGCGTTTATTTCTGCAGCGCCATCTCTTTTGAATGCTCTTTCACTGAGGATCCGATCACTAGAATCCCTAGAAACATTTAAAAAGAATCTAAAGTCATATATGTTCGCATGTTATTTTAGTTAATTATATGTTGAATGTACATCTATGCATTTTTTCTTCTTTTCTTTTCTCCCCCCCCCCCCCCCTTCTCACTTCTCTATGTATCTCATTCTAATTCTATCCCTCTGCGCCTCAGAATAGTTTACTAGATCGATGGCGCACAATAAATGCTGTATTATTACATTAGGTATACATTACTAGCTGCATTATACTCCAAGCAAAAGTCATTGATTTTTCTCACATTCCGTTTCGTTGCATACAACTGTAGCAACTACCGGCAAACACAACGACAAAGCAAAATCTAAATATCCATTATCCACCTACCATACTGTATAAAGTGTGGTTTTTTGAAACACCTGCCAAATTTTAACAGATTTTTGCGGTGTAAATGCAAACTGTGATAGGATACAGAATTTTGCTCAGGTGACTCTCCTCGCTTCCGTGCTAACGCATGCAGGGCACTGACAAGTGGCGCATGGGCACTACTCACCAAAGTGACCAAACAATCAGTATACATGTATATACAGTATGCAAATATTTTTATTTGTTTTCTTTTCCAGTGGTGTACATGTACATGTAAATGACACTCCCCCAAATCAATGATTTTTCACCATGGTGTTTGGAATGTGTACATGGGGCTACTCACAGGTTTTCAGACAAATGGTAACAACATGTGTAAACAAGCAAATTTTTTCCCTGCATACATGAACATGTACATGTACATGTGTACAGTGTATGTATTATGGATTTGCTTGTGTGGGAAACAAACTTGTAATGTAAATATTATTAGAAAAGATTGTCATGTTGACTTTTCTCTTGTGGGTTGGTCACAGACAAGTGAATGCATGGTGCAATGCACGTGAGCTAGCTCACAGATTTGTATTGATTGTTTTTGTCTTCAGCATGACTGAATCAGTGTTTGACAGCGTATCGTTTACGCATGAGTCGCTCTGTATCATTAAACAAGTTCCCTGCGTTGAAGCCCTATTATCTTTCCTTTTGGATGGGTAGTTCTAAAATTTAATTGCATACATATAATTTACCTTCAGATACTAGTTACACTGTACATGTATTAATTTTTAGAAATAGTTCAGTACTGTGCATGTACACTGTAGGTAAAAAGAAGTGGAAAGTTAAGGCTTGTTCAGATAAGACGTGGCAAACTGATGCTTTTTTTAATATGTAAAAAAGTGTAATTTTGCTTCACAATTCTGAATCATATAGCACAGAGTCCTTTGTTGCGCACAATTGATATTTATTTTACACATTAAACAAAACTTGATGGCTTTTCTGCAGTGGTTAACCGTGCCATACATGTATCTGAACAAGCCTTTAAGATTGATTTTAGGATGGTTATAGTGATAGAATTTATTTGATATTACTACTGTGATATCACTAATTTATGACTTACACATACATTATTTGTTTTGCATTGAACTCTATGCAAAGAGTTGAGGGCCCTTTTATGACTTTCGGGGGCTCTTTTGGGCATTTCAGGGGCTACATGTAATTTGCCCTGAGCCCCTGTGTAATTTCCCCCCTGCTCTACTGCATGTACATTAAATTGGACTCTTGCTTCATTCTCCGCAGACATATCTTCTACCTCACACTGAAGAACAGACTCCTCCTCGGTCACTATGCGGTCACAAACGAGGAGAAGATCAAACTCTTTGGCCTTATTGCCCAAGCAGAGCTGGGAGACGCTGACCAGACCCTACCCACCCAGTACCACACTATCCTGCCAGATCTCAGGTGAGTCATATTGAGGTTTGTGGATTGTTTTACTTGACCGCTAAGAAAGCTTGCACCTGTACATGTTCATGTACATGTACATGTATATGTTTACAATAGAGGTACAGTAGGCAATCAGGGGGCCAACAGTGAAAAAAATACACGGGGGCTCAGGGCAAATTTGCCCCCGAAATGTCCAAAAGAGCCCCCGAAATTCAGGACAGAGCCCCAGTAAATTTGCATAGAGTTCAATGCAAACAAATTTTAGAGTGTTATTTTTATGCAGGCAAGCTTGAAAAGTAGCCCCTGAAAAATAAATATTAATTTTTTCCCTGGGGGCCAATGGCTCTCCAACGGCATGGCCTCATCAGCTCCAGTTTGCCAAATAGCCCGCTATTTCTGATTACAAATCACGTTTTCATCAGCTCGAAACTCAAACTCGTGAATTTTGCTTGTGGTCCCGCATAATGTCCTCGAGCTGGTGAAGACGCACTGGACAAATAGCGGGCTATTTTGCAAACTAGCCCAAGATATATTTGGAAGTTTTCCCGGGCAAATAGCCCGCTATTTGCGTCTTCACCTGCCAAATAGCCCGCTATTTTGTGATCAGGCTAATTTCCCTAATCAGAAATATCAGGCTATTTGGCAAACTCAAACTGATGAAGACAGGTCTAATGTGACTTGGTAATGCGGATCAATGGCTTATCAAAAGCCATGAGCGCATTGATTTGTTTTGAACCCGGGACCTCCCAGTTACAAGACCACTGCTCTACCACTGAGCCTTCGCGCATCCTCCTTGTTTGAAGATTCTTAAATTAGATTTAGAGAGAAATTTGAAAGAGATTTAGGAAAGAAGAATTGTGGTTCAAAAGGTTGACGGTTCAAATCACGCGCCCGTACTATCGTTCTATGGCAAGACATTAATCCACATTTGCCACTCTCCACCCAGGTGGAAATGGGAACCTGTGAAATTGCAGGGTCCTCAGGAAGAACAGCTTTGATGCTGATGAAACAAAATTATTGTTATCATATATTTTTATACATTTCACTTTCATGTATGTACATGTACCAATTTAGAAAATGCTTTTCCTTGCCTTTTTTGTACTTTTTTTTTTTGGGGGGGGGGGGGGGATTGCCCCCTGCCCCATTTAGGCACATGTATGCCACTGCATACATTACATGTCAAGGCCAATATAATGCTAATAGCAATACTGTTCTTAGCTTATATATATTAAATACTTGTACATGGTTGTACATGGTACAAGTAGGTCATTTAGTAGGAGAGGAGAGTGGGCATTGAAAAGCATATTTAACATGATGTACAGACATGAATTGAGTACAGTACATACATGGATGTCTGAATGAGAATAAGTAGGGCAAAATTTCAAGCAATGCCTCGACTTAACCGACTGGTAATTGGCAAGAAATGTCAATTCATCACTGCCCACAGCGAACTACCCACAATGATGATGTCATAAGGTGGACTACCTACAGCGCCTCTAACCACATACATGTAGAGGCGTTCACACACACTCAGCAATCAGAGGGATAGATAAATATTTTCAGAATTGTGAATTGAATCTCACTTTTTAGGTGGTTGTAAAGAAAGAAAAATTTGTAATTGTGAGATCTTGATGTTGTAATTCAAGTTGCATGAACAGTGTGTTTTGTCAGGAGAGGAAAAACATTTGAGGTTATAATTGCTTTGTGCTACATGTACTTTAAGAGCAGGCTGGAATTCAGTGATGGTCGGTGGAGTGCTTTGTGCTAAATTCAAGTTCAATTAAAAGAAAATAAAGAAAAACAACAACAACAAAAACAAATGGAGAAGAAAATAATTTTACTCATGAGAACAGGTACAACAAGTTTGAGATTTCAATAGACCGGTTTACTATCGTGTTCAAATTTATGGATGCTTCTTTCCACGGGACCTACATGTAGTGACAAGCTATTCCATTAACCCGTTATTAATGAATGAACTTAAATACTTGGAATCCAGTCTGCATACATACATTACTTATTGCTATGTCCAGTGAGCATTTGACGAGCTTTCATGTTGTCAAGAACAACCTTTGTTTAAAGGCCCACTGCACTACTTGTAGCTACTTGCGCCCTCTATATAACAAACAATGCCTTATCGGTGACCATTGGTCCCCCATGATCCTCTTTTTCTTATGTTAACTGAGAGCTGAGTTGATGAGATAACCACCTGTCCAGTGACCTTGCAGGGCAGTCTAATCCCTCCTGTAAACTACGGCAGATAAGCTTTAAAGAGTATGAAATGAATATGAATTAGTAAACGGTCCATTGCTGTTCAAATCTCACTTTTTTTAGCTTGTGTGAATGCACCTATTGCTGATGTCATAGGGTTGCCTTCCTGCAGTGATTACATGGGCCATGCTGTTTCCATATGTGCAGCCTCCTAGCTTGGCAGGTTGTTCTCTCGTACAAATTGAATTTGCAGAAGAATTCAATAAATTCATGAAGTAAACACAAGTCTGATATTTTGATCAATCCATCTGAAAATCACATTGCGCCTTGGGGGCCGGATATGTGTACAGTGAACTACAGTGTAGTATGTATGTACCCACCTACACATGTTATTTGCATCTTATATCTGTGCCAACGATTTGCTGGATGAAAGTAAAACAGGCTGTGTTTGCCTATGCACAAATTTCCTGTAGTATGTCGTTGTACAGTGTGTGTTGATTTTAACTCCTGATCTTTTAAATGAGCAAATCAAATTGGGCATTTGTTTCAATATCACTTCATGAAAAATCATGATAATTATTATAGTATGAATGATTGTATACATGTAGATACAACAACAACAACAAATAATTTTTAAATGTGAAAAGAGGAAAAAGCCCAGTTCATGTATCATCAGTAATGCAGTGCTACAAATGTACTCCATTATGCAGTTTATAACGTGTACAGTGAATACCGGTATGTAAAACATGCAGGTGTACATACAGTGTACGTATGCAAAAGTTGAAATGATTCTTAAATTGTGGACATATTTTCCATCATTTAAGAATATGTTTGTAGGTATTTACTATTTACATGTACATGTACATACCTGTACATGTAACCATATTTCTGGTAAAATGTTAAATGATGTGTTTAAAACAAATGCACCACACATGTACTGTAGGACTACAAATGTTGAGGTACATACATGTACATACTGTACATGTATACAGCTGTGATCACTTTATGCTTGACCTTTTCTGAGAATAGTGGATTAAAACAATGCAGGCAAGACGCAGTACTATACTGCAAGTAAGAGGCCTAAAATCCTCTTACCCCCAAATTTTACTGTACTGTCCATTGTCCAAAGTCACAAATGTACATGTAGAAGAGGGACCCATTTGTTCTTGACATGATTCTTAAAATGATCCCCCTTTTACCACGTTCAATGTAGGCCTAAAAACGGGTTTTGAGGCCTACAATAAATCACGATATTAATATTGACCTGAAGAGTTATTTCCTGGTAAGGCTGAGGCGATAGAGATATAGAGAGAGAGAGAGAGAGAGAGAGAGTGAGAGACAGAGAGAGAGAGACAGACAGAGTTCGACAGAGTCAGAGAGAGACAGAGAGAGATATAAAGAGAGATATAGAGAGAGATTGAAATAGAGAGAGAGAGAGAGAGAAATAGAGAGATAGAAATATATATATATATATAGAGAGAGAGAGAGAGAGATATATATAGAGAGAGAGAGAGTGAGAGAGTGATTATCATTGAATGTCACGTGTCTCTCCCCCTCACTCTCTGCCAAGTGTTAATTGAGATCTTACCCTTGATTTCCGGCTCTGAGCGAGATCGCTTTGAAGTCTTAATTATAACGAGGGGGGCTACGGTTGACCTCATGCTCAGAATTTGGCCAAGTCTGTTCATACTGTATAGATCCAGTCATAATACATTAACGGCATCGTTTAACAATGCTAAATCTGAGATGCATGGATGGCCCTACTTGTTATCAGTGTCTGTGATATGGTGTAAAATTGAAGCCCTAAAAAAATTGCACTTCAAAACGATCATGAAGTGCCTCAAAAAAGTAAAAATCTTTGAGTGACCGGTTTTACCATACTGGGTACCCATTTTCTAGAATGGACTGTAGTGTTATAAAAAAACGTTAGGCATGTAGAAAACCTTATTCTGACATTTCTAATTCCAATCATAGATATCTTGATAATCAGACAGGCTTGTAAAAGTCATGGGATTCATGAATGACAAAGATTTATAATTATGATTGCAGCATGACCTGAATCCAATTTTTTTTTAAGAATCTGAGGCAAAGTTACCCAATCCCTTTAATAAGGATTTAGTTGTATGTCATCATAAGCTTCCTATGACCAGAAGTCCTACATGTATATGGATGTTATTATATAACATGAACAAATTCTCAATTTGAAAACCCTGTATACGATGTGCCGTATATTAAAATATCTGTGTTTAAGACGCACCCCTATTTTTGGGGCAAAAAAAAAGCGTAGGCAGCAAAGCCAGGTCCGTGTTTAAAAACCCAAGCAAGGAAGGGCCTTTATTTTACTGCCAGGTGCAGTTGAAGGCGCCGATTTGTGCATGTGAACTTGTCACAAAAAATAGTAACAATGTCCTCTTTAAAACTAAAGATGACAGACAAATTTTCCTCTAGGTCCAAATGGAAATCTGGCCATACAAGTAGTGTTGTTCTAGTTTCCGAGTGGTATGACTGAGTTGGGAGACATTGCCAGGCACAGTGCCAGGTGGAGGGGCAAAAATCGACACTTAAAAAAAAAGACGCACCCCCGACTTTCAATTTTGTAGATCTACAATGTACATGTACATGTACAAATGTAATTCTTCTATCATGTGCATGTAATACATGTAGTAATACACGATACACATGCAATGTACACTGTAATTGTTCAAATTTGAATCTCAAATTCAAATCATATGCTGATTCCCCCCCCCCCTTTTCTTACATGAAATATTCAAATATTTCTCTTTACCTTATTAAAAATACATGATCCATTCTCAACATTTGCATACAGTGAGGAAACAATAAATGAAGTCCTGACAGCTCATCGTGAGGTCATTTTGGACACCATATTTCTCTTTACCGTATTACATTTACATTATCCATTCTCAATGTTTGCATATACATGTAGCGCTTAGAGACTTCGGTGGTAAGCGCGTTATAAGAAACGTTTTGATTATTATTATACAGTGAGGAAACAAATGAAGTCCTGACGGCTCATCGTGAGGTCAGGTCGGACAAATATTTCTCTTTAACATATTACATTTACATGATCCATTCTCAATATTTTAATACAGTGAGGAGACAATAAATGAAGTCCTGACGGCTCATCGTGAGGTCATGTCGGACACCATGACCCCGACGTACGCAGAGATCCAGTTCATCGGCAACGTGAGCAAACTGCCCGGGTACGGTGTGGAGTACTTCTGTGCAGAGACCAAGGAGAGGGTCCAGGCTGTTATAGGTGTCTGTACTACAGGGTTGCAGATCCTAACACAGGCTAGGGAACTTATGCACAGGTGAGGACAATATATATTTTATAATATTTTTTTTTTTTGGGGGGGGGAAGTTTTTATAATTTTTACTTTCTTTTTCTTTTTCTCCTCTTTTTCTCCTCTTTTGTCTTCTTTTTCTTCTTCTTTTTCTTCTTTTTCTTTTTCTCTTTTGTCTTCCTTTTTCTTCTTCTTTTGTTTGTTTTCTCCTTTGTCTTCTTTTTCTTCTTTTCTCTTTTTTTTCTTCTTCTTCTTTTCTTCTTCTTTTTCTTCTTTGTCTTCTACCCTAATTCTTCATCTTGTTATTTTCTTTCTTTTTTTCTTTCTTTCTCCTTGATTTATCTACATTTTACATTTTAGCTATTATTATTATTATTATTATCTACATTTTGTATTTGCCAATGATCTGAAGTAGAAAGGTCATATATATTTAGGATAGATTCCTCGACTGTGCATTGTACTGATTAGTGTACTGATAGTGGTTGCCATAGCAAAAACAGGGAATTTAAATCCCAAAGCCCTCAGGAAACAAATATATGCAAACAAATTTATGGAAATACATTTTGTCATAGTGTGTGATATGCGTTATACATTGTCTTTCTAAAATAGGTCAGACATAACAAGATACCTGATATAATAAGATAATTTTCTGGCACAGCTCTTTCCATAATTTTGTTTTTCTCACCCCTACAACGACAAAGCAGCTGAGATAACAAGGTAATTGCCATGGTCCCAAATTCCTTGTCATGCACATTCGCCATGGCACTAATGTCCTTTGGCAAGACATTGATCTACATTTGCCACTCTCCACCCTGGTGTTAAATGGATACCCGGTGGGATGCGAAAGATAATGTGGATATATGAGCAAGTGCCTGCCTAAATGTGCATACATGTACATTATGTGCGGGTAAGCCTGTATCCGATGACCGAGGTAATATCTGTAAAGCGCTTAGACACATCATCGATGTATTAAGCGCTATATCAAACCAGAATATTATAAAAAGTTACAAATTTTTATTATGTATGAACCAAATGCTACTACTATTGTTGTTATTGTTATTTTGTTATTATTAATATTACAACTTTTTTGTAATGTGCTTTGTATATACACAGTATCAAATATGAAGAAATCAGTAAAGTGTCCTATCATCAAAACCACTTCTCAGTCCACTATTACCGATCATCTGGAGGCACAGGAGTTGAAGACGTCCTACGTCATGTAATTTCTATTCTGTGTGAACCAAGAAGTACCGGTACTACAGATGTTATTATTGTTAATTTGTTATTATTATTACAACTTTGTAATGTGCTTTGTATTCACACAGTATCAAATATGAAGACATCAGTAAAGTTTCCTATCATCAGAACCACTTCTCAGTCCACTACTACCGATCATCGGGAGGAACAGGTGTTGAAGACGTCCTTACAGCCCTCAAGTTTCGCCTCAGCTCCAGGAAGATCGCTCAGGCTCTGTTCAGAGCATTCACAGAGTCACATACATTCTTTAGGGTAAGTACATTTGTGTTTAATAGAAAGAAGGAAACTGATGTACATGTACACTTTAATGCAGATGCTCCACTTTGAACACAAATAGTGTATGTTGCAGAACATTAATAAAGCTCCAAGCATTATGCACATGAAAAGATATCAGGGCCCTGTTTCATAAAACTTGTTAGCAAAGTATTATCTAAAGTTCTATCACAATTTTTTTCTCAGCCAATCCAATGCCACGATTTCAGTAGCTTATAACAGTTATTGTAACTTGTTATGTTTATGAAACAGTGCCCATAACTCAAGAAATGAGGAGTCATACATGAACATGCACTACAAGTACTTTTTACATAGAATTCTTGGCTCTAAGCAGACAATGTGCCCTTGAATAAAAGACACCCACTGATACCTAAACATTTGTGTTCACAACATGTTTCTTGGCAACCCCAATAACCATTTAAAACTTCAGCCAAGATCTCACGATCGGCTTGGCATGTGTTTTCTATTTTGCACAGGTGCTGTGTGATTGCTACTCATTTTGATATTAAAACAAGATATGTTTTAAAGGGCTTTTATCCAAGTGTCAGACAATCGTGGAATTTAAATACAACTAGAAATTTAATTCGTCATGGGGACGAATTAGGTGGTCTGTCTTCAAGTCTTATGATGTATTATAATATTTACTATATTGAGAAAGGGAGAAGTTATATAGACATGTAAACAATGATGATCATGATGATGATGATCTTGATAGTAATGGGGATGACGATGATTATGATGATCATGATGATGTTGATGATTATCATTAACAGACCACGATGACATCAGACTGAAAAAAATGAGAGAACATTTAGATAGTACATAGTCTCAGCTACAACATACTCAAAAATCAACAAAAATCAAGCCGAAATAACGGCGATATTGCTCGCAAAAGACAAGAATGTAGAATCCAGATTTGAGAAAAAGTCATCTCCCATAAGGATTACACGCAAAAAGTAATGGATCTAGTGATAATAGGGTAATAATAAAGTAAATATGGTTGTTTATTACATTATTTGCGATTGTACGTGTTTTAATATTCAAAGGAGATGGTAGAGTGAATGGTCAAAAAGAAAAAAAAGTGAAGAAAAAAAATTGTTGGAGACGCCCGGACTCGAACCAGGGACCTCGAGGTCGGAAGTCAAGTGCGTTACCGATATACCAAAACATTTCCCATAGAGATTACGCGTAAACGGAAAATGGAATGCACAAATCCCACTTTGTAATTGAAATATGAGCATGATCCCGGCATCTGATCGAAAAAAAAGGGCACACTTGTGATAGCTTATTGTCTCAGCTACAACATACTCAAAGTTCAGCGTAAACAAAGCTAAAACGACGGAGATATTGCTCGCAAAAGACAGGATGTAGAATCCAGTTTTGAGAAAAAGTCATGTCCCATAGAGAATACACGCAAAATGTGAAAAATTGACATGCCTCCTTTAATCGCAAAAATACGCCATGATGCCATTGTCAAAATGAAATATCGTGATATCTGCATTTGTAGAGAATTGTCTCAGCTAGATCATATCAAAATTTGGAAGAAAATTGATCAATATTTACAGAGATACAGTCTATTTTCCAGAAATCTGCTGACGTCATAATATGCAAATTGAAATTTTGAGTTGGGAGGCCATTATGATGACGTCATGAGTTAATTGAGGGTCAAATGAGACATGAAATCATATTTCCAATTCATACTCTATCAAAATATGGAAAAAAAATTGGGTTCAACTTCCATCCTAAAGCGCTACAATGGATTTTGTATAGGCATGTTTTTGCCCATGTATGCTATGTATTACAAGAGCTCGCACGCACGGAAATTATCTTAAACGGACGCTCATTCCGTTATTAATGGTCAGAAAAAGGTAAACAAGGTATCAAAATGCTTGAAAAAATGTGCCAAATATGATGACAGAGAAAAATTGGCGATTCTATGTTGGAAAATACCAGTACGCGCGAAAACGCGCGCGCATGCACGTGTGCGCGTTTTTTTGCAAAATGCTTAAAATGGCCTAAAACGTATGCAAAATTAATTTGATAGGATTTTGAGCATTTTAAAATTTTGCGCGCGAGCTGACGCGCGGACGTACGCATGCGCGCGCGTTTTTTGACCTGAAATTGACCGGACGGATATTGACCTTAATCGTGATAAATATGAATGAGAAATGCTTTTCCGTTATGAAGATATGATCATGAGTAAAAAGTACCAAAATAAACACAAAATGGCGCCTGGATGACGTCATGAAAATTTGATGACCTTGAAAATGTTACTGTCACGTCTCATGACAATGGCCTATGACTGTCCAAAAATTGAAGGAAATTGATTGAACCGATCTTGAGTTATCCTGTGAACAAAAAAGTGTGAAGAAATAAATAAAAATAAAGAATAATAATAATAAATAAATAAATAAATAAATAAATAAAGAAAGAAAATTCTGACGAAAACAATAGGTGATCTGTCGTTGACAGACCACCTAATTATGTATGAGCCAGCCTTGAAACATTTCAGAACAAACAGATTTTAAACAGGGCAGCGTTTCGCTAAACTGTCGTCATTAAAAGATTCCCAATTTTAAAACCTGTGTTTCAAGAGTGTCTTTTAATAGCTGTATTCACACACATGTTTGGACCATAACTATTCTTATCTCCTCCATTATATTTTAACTCGTATCATTCATAAAGCACTGAGATTATACTTCTTTCACACAGTTTATAAACCTGTATTAAAAACCCTATTTCACATTTACAGTGTGAGAGCGTTGAGCGGGTCGTGAGGCAGCAGCATTCACACACAGGGTTCGGGTCGTTCCTTGTCCTAATGAAACCCGACACCTCGAGAGGCAAGGTGTTCAGGTTCGATGTCGGTCACACCAGACGCCAGGCCTACGACAGCGCATGGAGGAAATTACACCCTGGAAACAGCCCTACACAAGATGTGAGAACTTAGACAAATTATTACAATATAAGCCTTGCTCCGATTTTATACAATGTATTCACCCCTCCCACCTGCAAAAGAAAGAATGTAACCATAAAGAAGAAAGAAAAAGTGACAAGAGCATTCATGCATATGTACATGTAGTTCACTTTGTATTTTAAGGCCTGTATAAGTCATGACAAATGGAAAGTAAATTTGATTAAATAAGAAATAACTGAATAAATTTAAGAACATGTTTTATGGACAAGAAATCTTATGAGGCTGCTAGAAGTGTTAATTTGTTTAAAATCAATACCAGTATGACTTTAATGAGAAAGAAAATATTGGAAATTGGGAAGAGAAAATTATCATGGAAAATTCATGGAATAAGATTTAGTAGGATCTGTTTAATCTGCAAAGCACCTTTAAGAGGAAATGTATTGACATGTGATTCTGTTTCTTCTTTTGCTTTTACAGCAACGATGGTCCTTGGACCTGGAGAACTATGGTGCGCAGCGCACATGGCCAGTGTCTAGTACGTTAAGAAGCACGCATTCCCAAGAGATTCTACTGAGCAGACAGCCGACGGGTAGCCAGCCTCCTGTACAGATCCCTAAACCACCCAGCGCTACTCAAGAAGATGATTCCAGTCCGGATTCAACTCCCGAAGGCACTCTACCGCACAAGGTCAGGCAGCAACGTTCATTCCTTAAGCTTGTCTTCATCAGACCAATGTTGCAAAATGAACTGCCATTTTCGGACTCAGGATATTTTCCTGAAGCTCAAAATTGCGTTTTCACCGAACGATAACGCTCATCACAAACTAGCTTGGACCGAAGGCTATTTGGGAAACAAGACCAAGATTTCTCTGGATATTTTCTAGACCAAACAGCCCGCTAATTGCACCTGGGGGCTGTTGAAGACGCAAATAAGCTGGCTAATTTGAGATCGGGCTAGTTAGTATAGCAGGTTATTTTGCAACTTTGGTCTGGTGAGGACAGGTCTATTGTGTCTCTACAGGAGACCCATAAAATAGCTGTGTTGTCTACCTTAACGGAATATAACAAATCTGTTTCTGCAGAAGCTCAATAAACCACTCGCTCACATGGCTCACGTAATTGACCATTTACACAGGATGTCTTGAAAAATGGCATTGTATGGGCGCTAAGTGCAATATCTCATTGTATCACATGACTTGGAAGGGATATGTTAATGAAATATTTCCACAGAAATGAGATACGTGTAGCAAGCATACCCAGAGAAATCCACCTGTAGAGACAGGTGCGCTTTTACCGTTAATGTGATTATCAGATTATGGGCCCATTGCATAAAACTTAACATTGATGGTAACTTTGCCATCATCAATGGCCACTACCATGGTAACAGGGCTCAACGGCCAATACAATTCAAGGTTTCAATGGTAAGTTTTGTGCAACTGGGCCATGGTATATTTTCATGAGAAGAGCTTACCTGGAAATTAATCTGTTAGACCCAGAAAGTTAGGGTATTTTGAAAAATCTAAAGAAACGTGCTGATAATAATAATAATTAGATTTGCTTATATAGCGCCTTACACTTACTTAATCAGAAATCTCTAAGCGCTCTACAATAATGCAGCATAATTGCCCTGGCTTTCACGCGCTCTGCGTTTCAAGGAATAAATTCCTACCAGGTCCCCATTTACTTCACCTGATAGATGACAGCGCCAGTGAAGATGTTTCACATCCCACCGGTGCCATCACTACAGTGAAGAATTGACTTGAGGGATATGCAAGACAATGAGAATGTTTTCTTTCATTGAAATTTGCCAGTTATTGAATAGTTTAAGTTTGAATCACACAGTTGCCACTGCACAATTGAAGGGGAATGGTGATCTGGCATTCACCTTGGGTTTATTTCATCAAAGATATAGGGTTAGGATTAGGGTTGCATTCAGGTTTTAAAAGAGACCTGTGGACCCAGTTTTTGGTGCAGGGGTTAGTTAAAGAATTATTTCTTTAAGTTTATTGACTGTAGAGCAGTTGTCTCTAGACCATATGTCATAGGACATGCAATATGTATATGTCAGATTTCTAATGCGAGTAGAATGTATTCTTTGATTGCAAGTCCCCTGTAATTTGAATGGCATGTCTTCCAATTCATCAGTAAAGTATAATTTACACATAACGGCCATCTGATGAAGAATTTCAATTGATCCAGATTAGTCACAGGCCCTTATATGGTGAGATTATACTGTTTCACATGCATGTCAATCGTACTGTTAGATTTTTTAAAATATTTTGATTGTAGGCCAACAGACATGATGGAGGTAGCCCGATGAGTGCAGGTCCCGCTGAGGAGGAGATGATGGAAAAGCTCCAAGATCAGCTCTCTAACCTTCAGGAATCGAGGCTCTGTCAGGTACGAACTCGTTCAAGAGTCAACAGAGAAATTAGCACTCGGCTGTTTCCTCAGCTGTTCAGGAACAGCATCCTCAAATTCTATTAACCCGTTGCGTACTGGAGCCGAGTCTTCCTTGTATGATGTCTATGGGAAATAGAGAATTCAGTAGTCAAAGGCATCGTTTAAGAATGTTCAAAATCTGAGATGCATGGCCCTACGTGTTATCAGTGTCTGTTATATGGTGTAATATTGAAGCCCTAAAAAAATTGCGCTTCAAAATAATCAAGAAGTGCCTCAAAAAAGTAAAAATCTTTGAGTCACCGGTTTTACCATACCAGGTACTCATTTCCCCCAACAGATTGTAGTGTTATGAAAACCGTTAGGAAAACTTAAAATTTGATTTTGATTTTTAATCATAAATATCTTGATGATCAGACAGGCGATCAGCTTGTAAAAGTCATGGGGTTCCTGTCTGACCTAAAGGTTAATAATTATCATTGCAGCATGAGCTAAATCCAGGATTTTGTTTAAGAATCTGGGACAAAGTTACCGGATCCCTTTAATCCATTGCCTCCTGGAGCCGAGTGTTCCCTGTACGATGTCTATGGGAAAGAGAGAATTCAGTAGACAAAGGGTTAAGTCGGGTACAAACTTGATGCAGCACAAATTCACATGGCTAGGATCATTTATGCAGGGGTAAAATGATTCTAATAACTATATTTACGTATAGTTATTGGAAGTAGTGCACCATTATCACTCAAGTTCCTCAGCTGTTGAGGAACTTCATCCTCAAATTCCAACAAGTCTCGTACAGACTTGATGCAGCACAAATATGAATAAACACATGGCTCAAGTCACTTTTGTGGGGGTAAATTTACTCATAGTGATTAGAAGCATTGCTTCATTAGAGAAAAAAATAAACATCTATTTTCATTCATTTATGGATTGATGCAACTTCGAAATGAGCCCTTTTCTGGAGATACAAGTACATGGCATTTTGTAACACATTGCTGGTACTTGTAATATATAAGATTTGTAAGATGCCAAATCTACTTTCAATCAAATGCTCAAGGCACACAGTACTTGGTCAATGGGTACACGGTAGGTTCGCTAGGTGATAGGGCTCTTTCTCTTTCTCTATCAAGACCCATTAACTCATTATTCAATTAACAAAATCTTACAGCCCTGGGGGGGTCGTTACTCAAAGATCCCAAGAGAACTTAACTCTAAGTTGGACTTAATTATTATTGAGAGCCATTTGTAGCCTTAAAATAAAATACATTCAAAAGCGAAAATTCAAGTATTTTAGACTTTTTATAAATTCCACATGAAGAACATAAAATATCCTTGACATTAGAAATATGAATGATTTTAAACATTTCATGCCTTTTGAAATAACTTTTACAAAATATTTCATAGATGCCAACGGCTTTCCATAATTTGTTAGTCCAACTTAGAGATAAGTTCAACTTGGGATCTTTGTGAAATACCACCCCTGGTTTTTCATTTTGCACAAACCCTGCATCTTATGATTTTACCCCTTTTTCTTCTTTTTCCCCTCTGCTGCCCTCTACTGTTAGGTTTGCCTGGATAATGAGATGACCACCGTGTTCTGTCCGTGTGGTCACATGTTCTGTTGCGAGACGTGCTCCAAAGAGTGTAATCGGTGTCCGGTTTGCAGAGCTGAGGTTATCTATGTCCAGAGAGTCTTTTTCTCCTAAAGCCGAATATTGCCTTCTATTACAGAGTGAAAAGAGTTCTTTATTTATTAGTCTGACAGGCCTTTAATTAATTTGAAAGATTGATAATGACAGTTTTCTCGAAAAAAGTGGCCTCTGTGAGTTCCTTATTTATTAGTCTGACAGGGCTCTAATTACGTCTATTCAGAGCCAGAGGGACGTTAAATCTCTGTTTAAAGTATATGAGTTAATGCCCTTCTGGCTTCAAACAGACAATTTTAATGTGAAAGAGTAATAGTAGTCTAGTTGGAAAAAAGGGTCACTGTGGACTCAAGAGATACATTTTTGGGGTTATATCCAGGTTTTTTTAATGCCTGAAGTTTCCAGTTGATGATTGTTTTAAAGACACATAAAAGTGGAGTCTCATTGGGAATTAGACACAGTTCGGGTGTTGTTGAGTGGACTATGAGTTTGCTGTGTGCAGACTTGTACACCCATTAATGGTATTTCCACCAAGTCTGGTGTCAGCGAATTATGACCTTCTGCCCATGGAAACTGTGGACCCACCAACTTTAATGTCTGTTACAAAAGATATGCTCATTATTTACCCATTGTTTAATCATTAATTATAGTCTTGGAAAAATCATTGTGTACCCTAGAAAGTATTCATCTTTTTGGAAGTATCCAGTTGACTATTGTTTTAAGGTGTATCACAAAAGATATTAGCGAGTTTTCGCACGACGATGCAAGTGCTCTCTACGGGGTATTTAAATGAGCTCGCCATCCTTACTAGCTCGACTTTCAACCCTAATACGACTAAATACCGTCGTAGGTTTGGACGCTACACATAAATTTTCGGTCTGTGAGTGCGATCCCCCTCTAAGATTAGCATTGTAGAAGGCCGCGTTGCCGGTTGCGAAAAACTCGCTATTCTCATATTTGGGAACGGAGGCGCCTGTATTACAGCATATGAGTATGAGGGAATTCACTAGTCAGTTGGTTCAGTTAATGAAAACTTACAAATGTTCACCAATATCCTGGCTCCGAACAGACAAAATCTTCTGTTTTGAATGTGTATAATGTATCAGTATGTAAAATGGAGTGGTTATGGAGCAATAATGTGTACTAAAAATATCTTCTTTTTTCTAATATAATATTCTGAATGTTACGTACATATCTATGCACTTAGTATGTTAATAAGTAGATTTTTTTTGTAGAACAAAATATGAAATTAGAAATATTTAAAGCACCATTTTTATGCACCAACTTCCTGAATACAGAGAAGTTTTTCATGTTTCTCACAGATATAATTGAGCGGAACCATTCATTTTGGTATGTTTTGGATGTATGGAAGATTGACCATGCACAACTTGAGTGTACTTGAAGCACTATTTTTTCAGATCTGGAAATGGATACAACAAAAGCTATTATCGAAATGAGTAAGAATGTAGAGCAGGTACCAATCACATGTTCGTGTGATGTGAGTTGGTCTAGCGGTACATTTACTTGGTCAGCTCTCTGTCTTTGCCTACAAACTGGCTCAGACAACCCCGGTTCGAAACTGAGTCACATCTTTCAGATGGTGACATAAGAGGTCTGTCCCCAGACGTAATTAATCATATCTGATTGATACACTTCTGTAAAAATCCAATTACACACATGTTCCTTTGAAAGGGTTCCATGACAATGCTAGAGCGCTGCAATGGCAGCACAGCTAAAGCAGGGGTAATAATCTCCAAGTTTGGAAGCGCTTAGTGATTGTAATAAGCGCTATATAAAAACTGAGTATTATTATTATTATTACTACTCAAAATACACATGAACTTGGGGTACCGCTATCCCTAGTTGTCACTTAAATTGCCCATGTAAGCCCTCTTTTATGCCGCATCTTATCATCCTTGAATTGTGAATCTGTGTTGTTTTATTGGTCCATTTTGTTGATCATCCATCCAATACCATAAAATGCCTTTAATGTAACTCTGTTCTTCCATCATTACAAGCCTTTACATGTTCATCTCATTCCCGTCACATGTTTGTCTAATGCCGTCACGTGTATGTCACATATCCGTCACATGTCTGTCACATATCCGTCTCAAGCTTGTCAAATCTTTGTTACATGTCTGTGACATATTAGTCATGTGACATGTCAGTCCAGTCATGTGTCTGTCACATGCCTGTCACACTTTCGTTACATATCTGTGACATATTAGTTGTGTGACATGACACAGTTGGGTGTCTGTCACTTATCTGTTTACATGCCTGCCACATGTTTGTTACGTGTCTGTGACATATCAGTCATTTGTCTCTTGTCACTCACATATCCGTCACAGGTCCATGTCATTTGTCCGACGATCTTCACCTTATCACACTTGTGTACATGATAATCATGTTCCCACCATGCATGTCCCTTTGTCTGCATTTTTTCATATCTTTTATTACAGAGATAATGCTCTTCTGGCTCTAAAAAGATTGTCTCATTTCTGCCTTTTTTTCGGCACATCTTTTGCATGCCCTTCCTATTGAATGTAGATGTTGTCCTTCACATGACATTCATGACAAGATTTGTCCTTGTCATGCCCTTCATGTTCATGATATGTGTCCTTCACATGTTTTTCATGCAGTGTTTACATTTACCGGTAAGCGTATTACTCTCATAGCATGTCGGTGATCTGTCACTCAACAACCTATCATTTATCTACATTTGCCTCCCCTTACACAGGTGTTGAAAATGGGTATCTGGTTAAGCGTTGATTCTCAAAATGCGTCTGTTGGTCCATGGTAGCTTGCTGGAAGCCAGGATTATAATGATTATTGTAGGTGCCTTGAAAATGATGTAAAATTAATAATTTGCATATTATACTTATGGCTATTATTACTACATATAACAGACACAGAACTTGCTTTGCATGCGAGGTATACATGGAAAGAAATGTGAAAAAAAATATACATGTATGATAGGTATTTGGTATATTACGGTATATTTGGTAGAAACGGGTCTCTCTAAAAATTTGCACAAAGCACATTTGTATATTTAACCAAGTATTCAATTAATCAATTTTGAAATGTCGCACAGTAGAAAGTAATTGTAATTATGTGATTCTCAGCATAGAAATAATGCAATTTTATTATATAATAATCTCACATAAATATATCTATCTCTCTCCTTTGTTACATAAGTTATTGAAGTCATGAGAAGTTTTTGACTTAGAGATTTGATTGTATAATGTGACTGTTCAACTAACATGAAGATAATGTGAAAATTACATTCTAGGTTAAATTGCTATTCCATTTTAATATGAAGATGGGATATAAGTGGAAGCGGTGTAGGAAAATATTGATGCAGATTGTCATTATGTCAGTAAACATTTATGTGACTTAATGCCTCTATTATTGAATAAAATTGCCATTAATACTTTTTGCGGTAAATGATACTAATTGATCATGTATTGCTAATGTATTGCTAATGTAATCACTTTGCACTTTAGATGTGCTATTGGTAGTTTTTATACCTAGTACATAGGAAAAATTATGTTTGTAGAAGGTGATCCTATCATGTACTCAGAATTGAGAGATCATTTCTTTTTTTTGGTTGAGCAACGAATCTTTTATACAAGAGTGATTGCGTAAATTGAATGCATTGTACAAAAATGTAGAAAGAACACCTACAAATTATATATTTTGTTTTATATCTATATATACAGTATCATTTGTAAAATATTAACCATCATTTGGTCAAAGGTTGTTGGCACCAAATGTATGTAAGATGCATGCACTGTTAATAAACATTGTCATATTCTTTCAACTTTGTGCATTTTTGTAATATTTTGTTGAGTGATATGTACAGCATCCATCAAGTAAATGCCATGATCTCAGTAACTTGCAATAGTTATTGTAACTGATTGACAATTTTTATGAAACAGGGCCTAGGACTTGACCTTCCAGTATTGTACTGCCCCACACTTGTGAACACCCTTTCTCTTTCTTTCTCCCCCTTTCTCTTTATCTCTCTCTCTCTCTTCTCTCTTTCTTCTCTTTTTCCTCTCTCTTTCTTCTCTCTTACTTTCTCTTCTCCTCTCTTTCTTTCTCTCACTCAGTACATCTGCATATCAATTTTCACCAAATTCTTAATTGATACAGCTCAGTCAGACGTATTGTTGGTATTATCCCACATTACCGTTTTATATCATTTGATACACAATGCATGGTTGAAGTAGGGTTTCTTTCTTCCACTCTCATCCCTCTCTCTCCTTCTATTCCTTCGCCTCTTACCATCTCACTTTCTTTCTCCTTGTCTCTCTCTTCTCTGTATCTCCTTTTTTCTCTCACATGTTTATATCTCTTTTTCTTCAAATGATTGATACAGGTTAGACATTCTCATTATTATCCCAAATTACCATTTTATTTCATTTGATACACAATGCTTGATTAATTTAAGTACCGGTAAAGCTTTTTAACACTGCTCCGTAAAATAAGAAAATTATAACAAATGCACTGTCGATAAAGAGCAAAATATAGTTTCAATATAGACATGATTAAAAATAGATTCTAAGCTTTGGTACTTGACTTGGAAGGTGTACATTTCATCTTTATATTGTCACCAACAAATAATTCTCTAATTTAAAATAAAATCCCTTAACCCTATCGAAGCAAGAGATATTACATAATCATGATTAATATTTTAAACATATAGAAAGTGGTTCTGTGTATACATCACAAATTTTCCAGCAAAACAATTTTAAAATATGAGAAAATCTACAAATAATAACCTGAGCACAAGGCAAATATCATATTTTGCTTGTACTTCTATATCTATCTACGTATACCTTTCCTAGTACTGGGTTATGGGTCATTTACTATATTTTCACATTAGTCACAGCGACTGATGTTTCCTAAAGCTACAAAGATAACAATTAAAAAGATAATAGATGCTTTAAATTATTAGAGATAGAAATATAGGAATAGAAGTTAGAGAGAATAATTAAAAGAGCAAAACAATTTCCCAATGAAAGACTACAGTGAGACATTTTCAAAAATAAAATAATATCAGATTTTTTAAAAACACAATTTGACATACCATTACAGAAAATCAAAACGAAGCCTTGTAATAAGACATTTTGATTTATTATTTAATTTCTTCTTAAAAAAATAAAGATTTATCACTTTCCGTAACGAGGATAACAAGTACATATGATGTTGATAACATTTCAATAAAGATTAAATTTCTCTCCTTAAAACATAGGTCTTTGTTTCTCTGCATAAATACATTTATATATCCATCACCAAGTTAATCTACGAATAGAATACAGGAATACATTCAGATTTTATCCATATAAAAATAAAAATAAATTGTATATAAATCACATGATATAATAATAGTAATATGTAGTTATTCATTTCTTATTTCAGATACACGAAAGACAACTCATTTCATTGTTTTACAGTATAAAGAGATTGGAATGCAAAACTGTGGTTTTATATTTCTTGAATATTCAATTACATGTACAGCATGTAGTATACATTAAAACAGATGGGAGTGAAACAACGATTAAAGTATAAGATAAACAAATCGTAAAACCAAGATAATGTTTCATATAATTGTTTGGTAATCCAATCATCCATTCCAAAATAATGACATCATTAATCTTAACAATTTTGATGAACAAATTAATCCATTTCATATAAAAAGTAAAATGAGACGATATATTATAGATAGAATTTAAAAACAAAAACAAACGCTGGATTATTATCCATGTCATATGTCTATCATTTTAGAAGTATTGGATGGATGAGGAAGAGTAGTCGGGTCAGATGATCCGTATTAATTTCCCTGCTCTTGTCAGGCAGGATACATCTGTAGAAACAATAGACAAAAGTTAGTATTATTCAACAAAAAGAAGTCATGCTAGTCATAGTAGTAATAGTAGTAGTAGTAGACTGTGGTAATATTACTGGTAATAGTAGTAGTAGTATTATAGTAGTAGTGACGGCAGGAAGCGGAAGAAGGAGGAGGAGGAGGAGGAGGAAGCTAGAGGAGGAGGAAGCTAGAGGAGAAGGAGAAGGAGAAGGAGGAGGAGGAGGAAGCTAGAGGAGAAGGAGAAGGAGAAGGAGATGAAGAAGAAGAAGAAGGAGAAGAAGAAGGAGAAGGAGAAGGAGAAGAAGAAGAAGAAGAAGAAGGAGAAGAAGAAGGAGAAGGAGAAGAAGAAGAAGAAGGAGAAGGAGAAGAAGAAGAAGAAGAAGAAGGAGAAGAAGAAGGAGAAGGAGAAGAAGAAGAAGAAGAAGGAGAAGAAGAAGAAGAAGGAGAAGAAGAAGGAGAAGGAGAAGGAGAAGAACAAAGTTTTATTGGTACATAATGCCTGACTGTTCTATTTGGCGTGAAAATTAATCAACTTGCACTTTAAATAGTTTAAAGTTGAGTAACAGTAATGAAATATCACTCACCTATCTCATAAGAAGTAGCAGACACTGGTGGATGAACATGTATTGTTTCTAAAGAAGAAATTTGAAAAAAAGACAAACACAAATGTAAGTTTACTGTAAATTTTTTGATATTGTTTGTTTGTTTTACCTGACTGCTAAGAAAGCAACCAGGGGACCTAAAGATTTAATTTCTCTCTGAGGGACTTGGTCATGAGGATCATAGCCTCACCAAAGGGCATTAGCGCATCGACCCAGTTTCTAACCCGAAACTGCTGAGCCATCACGCCTCTGTATATATCAAAATATCTTGCGACTACTTTTACAGCATATAGGTAACTAACTGAATATGATGCATGGTATAAGTAATATATTCTGTAATTAAAGGGATTGGGTAACTTTGTCTCAGATTCTGAAACAAAATCCTGGATTTAGCTCATGCTGCAACGATAATTATAAACTTTTAGGTCAGTCACGAACCCCACGACTTTTACAAGCCGATCACTTGTCTGATTATCAAGATATTTATGATCAGAAATCGAAATCAATTTTGCGTTTTCCTAACGGTTTTCATAACACTACAGTCTATTGGGAAAAACGAGTAGGGGGTATGGTAAAACCAGTCACTTAAAGATTTTTACTTTTCTGAGGCACTTCTTGATCATTTTGAAGCGCAATTCTTATAGTGCTTCAATATTACACCATATCGGAGACACTGATAACACGTACGGCCATGCATTTCAGATTTAACATTGTTAACCCTTACTGTACTGGGGGGGGGGGGGGCCTGGGAGGCCCCCCCCTCGACATTTTCGGAGATTGCGCCGCAACCGCTTGGAATTTTGAATTGTCGTTTCATGACTTTTTTCCCTCAAGTCTTACGCACATTTTGATACCATTTTCGTCAAAATCGGATATACCTGTAAGGCGTTACATAACAATTAGTATGCGCATGTCATCAAAAAAAAAAAAAAAATTAAAATCCATCAAAATTTGCATAAATTATCATTATTAATTACATTAAAATAACTTTTTTGTGTTAGAAAAGAAGTTTCATATGAATAATGAGTTTCAACATTCAAAAAGTGGAGTTTGACACGTTTTCTGTAAAATGCATAAAATTAGCGCATTTCGCATAATTAATTAGGCTAACGACAAAAATTTGCATATTCGGAAAAAACTAATTATACCATCTTGTTCCTTACGTAAATATCTACAAACATGCAAATTTTCGTGTTCATCGGACAATCGACGGCCGAGATCATAGGGGGGGGGGGGCCTCCCAGGCCCCCCCCCCCCCCCCCAGTCAGTGGGTGCTCAAAATAGCCCAGTACAGTAAGGGTTAAACAATGCCTTTAAGAAAAAAAAAGAAGACTTACGACTGTCTGGACCATGTTGAAACGTTGCTCCCTCATGCGTGCCACAGTGCCGCACACATCGATGTAGTCATTGGGCTTGGAAGTCTCAACCTGTTTGATCAGCTTGTGAAGGGCAATGAACACACCGGTTCGACCAATACCAGCACTGAGAGAGAAAAGAGAGTCATTGTATCATTATTATTATTATCATTTATTCAGCAAAATCAAAGAAAATCATTGAATACAAAACAAGAGTACATTTGGAAAAGAGTTACATTGATGCTGAGAAAAGAAATAGATGAATTAAATAACTGTTTACCCGAAGGTCTTCTTTTCCAATCCATGTGACTTTACAGAAATGGTAACAATAAAATGGTGAGGTATAACAATTTATGAATCACTGTGTAATCAACAACAATAATCATTGACAAGATAAAAATTATTTAATAAAAACTTAACCTCTTTCTCCCCCCCCCCCCCATATCACGCAATTCAGTGACTGAATGTTAACTAATTGCCAAAAAGATTCAGATGGTCACTGTATTTAGCCTATAGGAATCAGAGAATTTAGTAGTCAGTGGATTTATCATTGAACGCTCTGATACCAGTCGGCTAATAAAGGCATCATTTCTGATTTCAGAGAGTGGTATCCCGGATAATAACCTGGCTATACATAGCATTTAATACAAAATACCATCTCTAAGTGCTTTTTTATACAGAAGTTATTATGTCATGCACAATCTGCACCATTTCCACTCCCTGGGGAGTATTCCTACCATATGGCAATTACTAACTCAAAAGCTTTTGTCATCCGACCAGGTCCCCATTTCTCTCCTGTGTTAGAGTGACAAATATAGATTAATGCCTTGCCAAAGGACATCAGTGCTGTGTCAGGGATTGACCCCATGACCTTTGCAATTGAAGTCAATGGCTTAGACTACTTGACTACGACACCTCTAGGGAAATAAAACTGGCCAGATGCTTTTTTTGCTAAAGCACCACAGTTTTCGATGCCTTAGCACTTTACTAATTAAGCTATAGAAAGCTAACAGAATTCAAATAGAGTCAAACCAATCTCAGAGGCTACCTCTCTATAAAGGTCACCTGTCTACAGTGGTCATGCATTTTGTTTCCCTCAAGAAAGAATTGTGAGTAGTAGAACCTGTCTAGAAAGGCCACCTGTCTACAATGGCCATGTATTTTATCTCAATAAAGAAAGAAAGAAAGATATGTTGTCGAGCCTGTCTAGAAAGCAACTTGTCTATAATGTCCTTGTATTTTGTCTCAATCAAGAACGAAAAGTGTGATGTAAACCTGTCTAGAAAGGCCACCTGACTACAGTGGCTATCTTCTCTGTTTCCTTTTGCTGGCCTTTATAGGCATGTCTGACCGCAGTGACTTACCTGCAGTGCACGGTGATGGGTCCTAGATTAGCATCATGGGCGACGTCTATGGTCCGGATGAATTCAATCATAGGACGAGCATTGTTGGGTACATCATGATCGACCCAGCCCTTGAAGGCATACTGACGCGTCTCAAACTGTTGCATGCCCTGAGTAACATATGAGAGAAAATTGTTGTCATCAATCATTTTGGTGAATTCAATTGTGTATTTCCATTAGGCCTAAAATAAAAAGATGTTGTATTGCCATTTACGACCAACCTAACTATCTTGAAATCTACGGTCGGCTTAAATTTTTTCTTTTTTACCGTTTTTTAAAGAGAAACAAATATTAAAGCATTCAAAACTGAGAAATATCAGCCCAAAGAGGGAGAAAAAAAAATTCTGACTGACCGACCAAGATATCTATGTCAAACTTATTAAGATGCCCACTCCTAGATGACCAATGCTGCCTTGAAGACCTAGTGGCAGCAAATGTGAAGTTATTTTGTGTGCAAGAGCCTGGCAGAACTAAGTCGATCTTAGTCTTTGTGAAACACCCCCCCCCCCCCCCCCCACAGATATAAAACTTACACGGAAGTATGGACTGGGAAAAATGAGGATTTCTTTAATACTAACCTTCTCTAGCAGGAATGACCTGACGGTCCATTGTTCCATCTCCTGTGTATGGGTCATGGTGACCGTCACACTGCCGTAGTTCACTGGGGTATCGTCATCTGGCCAGTAGTGCTCACACTTGGTCTGTAAAGATATGGAATGAAAATAATTTTTGTAATTTTTACTCAATCTTTGTCATTGTGATCTCATTGTTTTAATTATTACCGGAACATGTTATTACCTATTTTGTTTCCTGTAATTTTGATGTTTGCTTCTTCTATTGTACAAAACCTGTAATTCGGCTTTCAAGCCACGTTTGATTTTTATTTCAATAAACCATTACTACTACAAATAGGAAGCATAGATATATACGATACACCATGCCTAAAACATGCAACACTTATTATCCACCAGTACATATACTGAAATATATATTTTTTACAGAGGGCAAGTTCAGTTGACAAACTTCCTTCACCGAGGGAACTGCGTCATAAGAATCGACATACATGTATAGTATGTATATGAAAGTGCATTATGTGATACTTCAATACTCAGATGACCATAATCAAAATATTTCTTACCTTTCCTCCTTCAACAAGCCCAGTGATCATTGCGATGGTTGTGCTCTTATTCTCAAACACCATCTCCCAGAAATCGTTGACAGAGTCTGGTACGGGGCCCTGGGAAGCAATGTATTCCTTCATAGAGTGCAAGCCCTAAGGTGAATGATTGGAGGAAAAAATGCATAGAAAATATGGTCAACAGAGTCCACCTGTATAGAAAGACTACTTGTATAGGAAGAGCACCAGTCCTGTACAAAATGGCCACCTGTCTCTAAAGACCACATTTTTGTTTTCATTAAGTAGAGTATCTAATTGAAACCCATGTACTAACATTTTTAAAGGAACCTACATATACTGAAAACTGCTTATAAAGAAAAATAATTCTTGTCTCCCTTGAGGGGTCTTTACATACAGGTTTCAATTTATTATTATAACAAAAGTTAATCGAAATGAGAATCAACATTTGAATGAAAAAAAGAATATTGAGCCCAAATCACTGACAGAAAGACAAAATGGAGAGAAAATCAGATGGAAAGAGACTGACAGTGACGAAGAGAGATCTGGAATGATATAAAAGGGTGAGACTAGGAAGATAAGTGTAAAAGAAATATTAGAGACAGCTGATAGAGAGAGGGAGAGAGAGAGAGAGAGAGAATGAGACAGGAAGAGATATCTGAGAGGAAGAGAGAGAGAGAGAGAGTATTTACCTGGATGTAGTTTGCATTGATGTAGTCACTGGTCTGTCCTTCCTCCAAATCTTGTAGATGAACGGCAGTCTCATCAACTACAAACAAATTAAATTGACATGAATGTACAATTCCTACTGGCTTCACAATCTAGAATGTACACATTCTGTTTAACAAGAAAAAGAGATGAAACTTAAAGGGGAAGTCCACCCTGATTGTAATTTAGTTTTAGAAACAGGTGAGAAACAGGTCAGTGAAATTTTGAGCAAAATCCAATTAAAATAAGATAGTTATGAACTTGTAAAGTTGCCAATAAACAAACACAAATTGGCAACTCTGTGATTTATCTTGTGAGGTCCCCTCCCATCTGCCCTGTACTAAATTAAAAAAAGAAGAAATGTCTATTTGTCTAAAAAAAATCAATAACACATGCGCCTAAAGCATAATTATTGCAATTTTGTTTTTATATAATCCCTGCATGAAAATAACCAAGCAAATGAAAGGTCCTGTGGGTTAAGGGTTAAGGAAGAACTAAGAAAGGAGTGAGATACTTACATGGTAGGATGTTCCTGTATCTGTTCTTGGTTGCATTGACAGCAAGCCTTGAAGCATCGGTGCTCTTGTCTCTGCCCACATTTGATAGAGACTAAAATCAAGTAATACAAAAAAATCACAGTAAAATTCATGTCAAGTATAATTATCACTTATTAGCCCTCAAACTACAATGTAAATACAGTATTAACATTAGATTAGGTAGATAATGAAGGCGCTGTACTGTGGCGACCTATTACATGGTATTTGTCTCCAGTTTTATGATTTTTGTTTTTGTCTTTTGGGTCATCTTGTACCTTTGGCTACGTTTTCTAGTGCTATTTCTGAAATATATGATTCTTTGTTTTTGCTTTTGTTCTCTGCCAATAACAAAGAGAGAGAGAGAAAGAGAGAGAGAGAAAGAGAGAGAGAAAGAGAGAGTGAGCCAGTGTTACAGGAAGTATAAAATGTAGTTTGACTGCAAAAACTGGCATAATAAGGTCAAATTAATCTTATTAAGAAATACAGATTGCTCTTTTAAAACATATATAAATCAGAAATAGGAATTTTTGGAAAGCTTACATTGTACTCTTCCACAAATCCAGTATTGTTGCCAGCACTCATGCGATTGACATGGTCAGGGAACTTCCTCATCTGGACAGGGCTAAACAACAGAAAGAGAGACAGAGAAATAGATTCAATTCAAGTCTCATTTATTTCATTCTCGATTGAAAATTACAGTGATCCAAAATGTACAAAATAATTCATAAACAAATTTAGAAAATGAAATGGGGAACTACATAAATAAAGCCCTTAGGCCTTATACAAGCGTAGTTCCCAAAGCATTCATAGCATAATGTAAAGCAAAGATAACAACAACACACACAAAAAAAAACAACCCGAAAACATTAATAATAATGAAAAAAAATAAAAAGAGGAAGAAAAAAAGTAGAAGAAAAATAAAAGACAAGATGTTAATATATGATTAACGAAACGGACAGTTGGTAATAATAATAATAATAATCCATTCTTGTACAGCACATAACACATTATGATATAACATCCATATGCACTTCCAAAGAGCTTTGGAAATGATTACCATTGCTTTAGCTCTAGTAGCCATGATCAGCGCACAGTGCATTTCAAGGAATAATCCTACCAGGTACCCATTTACCATTTGTTTAGAATCTGAGGCAAAGATATTCCCGTTAATGCAGGAACAACCCTGTTCCTGTAACAAATAATAATAATAATAATAATGGGTTCTTGTATAGCGCTCATGTCAGTCAGATTTGACCCTCCATGCTTTGGTAGACTAAAGCCTAGTGCACACATTATGGTCTGATAACGATCTGAATTTGGAAGAATTTGCAATGATATACTGTTTGTGTCTTTTTGTGCTATAATCTTTCGCTAAGCTACCTTAATGGTTGACGTGAATGTGAAGTATGCATATACAGAGACTGCAGAATAAGAAGTACCGTTACTTACTTGGTTAATGGAGGAGCAGATCGAGGCAGAGTGGCAGGGAGTGGGGCCTTTGGACGGTCATCCCTCATGCTGACATAGGCATTCTCTCTGACCGGTATTGGGCCCATCCTAATGAAAGCATCCTCCGGTAGCGGAGTTTTGTGCATCGAGTCCTGGTTGTGGGCCGAGGGGTAGGCCGCATTCACCAAGGGCAGATGCTGACCGTTACCTCTCTCATACAGGGCGCTGCTCCTTGCCTCACCACAGCTGTAATGAAACACATTGCTTGGGATAAATATCATTTTGGTTGTGGGCTGAGAGGAAAGTAGCCTCTGACCATTTCCTCTTGCATACACACACCCACACACAAGCGCACGCAAACACGCAAACTCACACACACATAAGCGCACACTCCCCTACAAGCGCATGCTAACACGCAAACTCACACACACGCGCACATGCTCACAGGCACACACACACACACACCCACTAACACACAAGCGCACATGCTCACACACGCACACCCACGCACACACAAGCGCTCATACACACAACCACACACACACAAGCGCATGCTCATACGCACACTCACACCCACATGCACTCTTACACGCACACTCACACCCACACACTTGTTGGTTTGAATATTTTTCTCACCATTGACGGGAGATGAGAAGCATGACGAGTAAGAGAACGAGAGTGATGATGATGATGGAAACCACAGCAGCAGCGTACCAAGTGGTGTTAATTCCTGGTCAAATATGAAAATAAATAGATATTTATATTTACAGTCACATTTGCATGGCGCTTAAAGCCTCACTGCACTACTTGTAGCTACTCGCGCCCTCTATATAGCAAACAATGCCAAATCGGTGACCATTGGGTCCCCATTGTTCCCTTTTTTTTATTTTAATTGAGAGCTGATTTGATGAGATAACCACCTGTCAGTGACCATACACGGAGGTCTAATCGCTCCTGGCTAAACTAGTGCAGATGGTATTTAATACTATGTTTTTAGAGCTGTACATTGTAAATATTATCACCCTGGTCGTTGGATTCAATTTAGAGTCCACACACAATAGTAGATACCCTTTGCCTCCTGGGGAGTGTTTCTGCCAGACACCACTTTACAAGTGCACTCATTCCAATCCAACCACATCAATGTTTGCACATTACTGTGTACCCGTTTAGCGCCTGGGTGGAGAGTGGCAAATGTAGATTACAGTTTTGCCAAAAGACAGTGCAACAATGGGTTCAAGTGCATCATATAGCCAAGTTGGGTATTTTTAAAGATTCATTCATTTTGGTTTTATGACTACGAAAAAAAATACATAGGTAACAAAATGAGGACTAATTCTGTCAAGTATAAAATAAGCAATTGTAAAAGTGAAGAAATCCATTTCTAGAGTATGATGTTTCTTGTACCTGAGTTGTAGAGTGGTGACCAAGCACTGTCAGTGAACTTCCCATCAGACCCGTAGGCACGTAGAGCAAACCTGTTTGAAAAACAAGAAAACAATAAATATATGGGGATCATTCCAGCCTGGCGCCATTTTACATATATCCACAATGCTGATCAAATTGCATTAACATTCCCATCCTACCGGGTACCCATTTAACGCCTGGGTGGAGAGTGGCAAATGTAGATTATCATCTTGTCAAAGGACATTAGTGCCGGGTTATGATTTGAACCCGTACTTTGAGATATACAGTCTGGTGACTTTAATATCCACAAGACTGCAACACCTCTAATCTCCGAAGAATGTCAGTCCTGGGGAGTGTTTCACAAAGACTAAGATCCACTTTAAGTTGGATTTAAATTTGGCAGGCCATTCATGCCACTGTTTGCTCTCACCACTTATGGCAATGGTCTCTCAAGGGATGTACAAATCATGGTTACACATCTACAGAAATCAGCTTTTTTGATAGCTCATTATTGAAGGAAAAAATATTATCTAAAGATCATAATTGAGAGACCAATGGCAAGAGCAACACGTGGCATGAATGGCCTGCCATATTCAAGTCCAACTTAAAGTTGATGTTAGTCTTTGTGAAACACCCCCCTGTTACAGAAGAGGACCAATGCAAAATGTTTACCTGTAATCAGTGAGAGGGATGACAGGTCCGTTACAGTATCCCACTGAATCCTGCGTGCAGCTGTTGTTAGCACCTACGGTATAGAACGCCCTCGTATTTCCGTTTGTGAAAGGAGCGTAAGTAAGGAGCGTGGTTTGATACGGCTGGCCTGAGCCAACTTGCCAGTTGATGGCGGGGTCACTGGGCGTCGAAGGAATAGTGTCTAAGATAAGAACAATTTCAATAACCAGGTTGGTTCAAGATGACTATGGTCAAATTCACAAAGGAGGTCTAACATATACCCATGGTTTAAACCCCATTAAAATAACCCATGGTTTAAAACTTAGCGCAAAATAAACGTACCTTGCCTTGCGCGCGTCTAATATTGGACCTCTGACTGTGTCACGCTTATTTTGCACTAATTTTAGACCATGGGTTATGTAAATGAAGATTTAAACCATGGGTCAAATTTAAACCTCCTTTATGAATTCGGGGCTATATAAAGTATAATATTAATATAAAGGCCTTCACTATCAAAATAACATCTATTTTACATGCAGTTAAAATATTTTGCACAAATTCCATCATTGATTCTTTGTGTGTATGACCTTCAGAACAAAAAATCACCTTGTTAAATAGTGGATTCTAAAAAATATAATTTCTGTGATATAAAATGTAAATTGTAAATGCAGATATGACACTATGCAAAAGGTTTCACCTTAATCTCTTTGAAACTATTATGAAGCAGCATCCGAAAAAGCCTTGACAAAAAGTGGATTCCAAAAATTATAATTTCTATCCAGTCAGGGTGTTAACTCTTTGTTAAAGTACATGTATATGATACAAAGTCCTTAATTGCCAAAATGCTCTTTTATACATGTATATGTTATAAAGTATGCATGCACAGAACTCGACACCCCCAATAATGGGGATAAAACAGAGGATTTTTAACGAAGGTGTTAATATCACTGTAAAGTATGAAATGGCATAGTAGTGAGAAAAAGAAGTAAACAATAGCAAGTGGCTAAACGTTAGAATTCTGATTAGCTCACTGTGAGTTAACGCCCATCGGAATCTCATCAAAAAAAGTAGGGGTGATCTTTTCAACCCCCCCCCCCCCTTGATTAAATTTTTTTAAAGGGCAAATAGAGGTAAAATCAGGAAGAATCAGGGGGGGGGAATTGGGAAAAAATAATCGAGAAGCAATTTAAATCAGGTACTTATCAGAAAAAGGGATGTTAGACTTACCCGGACTGCTTTGTGCTACCAGGAGGGCATATCTAGTCACAGGACCGTATACATCACTGAATATGCTACTGTCGAAGGATACACTCATGGTAGTACCTGTATGAGAAACAAGACGTACCACCCTGTCCGCAGGAGGAGTTGGAGGTGCTACAGGGGGGAAAGATCAAGCAATAAAGAGAGATCAAATCAATAATAATAATACTTTGTTCTTTTATAACGCATTTCATGTCTGATGACATTTCAATGCGCTTTACAATATTCATACATGTATATACAGTATAACAAGATCATAAAAGGAAGAAGAAACAGAAACATATATAGAAAACAATGAAGTGCTTACAAAGAGAAAATTTACAACATAGCTTAACCTTTATTAAATACTTTTGATGTGCTAATTTTAATGCGAGATTGAAGACAGAAAAAGGGTGATTTGTATTACGACTCAGTAGTAGACTCGTTAGAATCAACAACAGAAAGCAACATAGTAGTCAGTGTCCATGTGTATTGCATCAGAATTCGCTGAAACCAGATTTTGTTGAATTACCAATTAATGAGTCTGTGTGTGCAAAGGTGTCTAAAGTATCGAACCCGAAAGTGGCCACACCATTCTTCTTCTCTTACTCCTTCTTCTTCTTCTTCTACTTCTTCATCTAATATTTTTATCAATCTTTTTGTTATTATCATCATTATTATCATCATTATTTAAAAAACGAATTCTATGTTTTTGTTATACTTTTATTATTATTACTATCATCAATGTTATCATAATTTGTATTATTACCATTATCACCTTGATCTTTCTCATCATTTTTTATAATTACTAATATTTTTACAGTCAAACCTGTCTACACCGACCACAAACACAAAAAGTGGTCTTTGTAAACAAGTTCCTTTGGTACATGTTTCAATGAGAAACCATTTTCAAGGGAAACAAGAAATGTGGTCTTTGTAGACAGGTGGTCACTAAAGCAGGTTTGACTGTATTATTATCATTATTATTGTTGTTGTTGTTGGTGTTGTTTGTTATCATCATTATTCCTATAACTAACCAGAATGTGGTAGGTCGAGAGGACCAGCAATCACAGCATCGCTCTGATCAGCACTGTTAGCAGCTTTGATACTGAAGGTGTACGAGCATCCGGTGGGAAGGTTCTCAATCGTGGCTGACAACACTGTTACTCCGTAGGTCTCGGTACGTGTAAAACCAGCCTGAAAATAATACAACAAGTAATAATACCAATAATTGATTGCACTATCCAAACTGCATGAGAGATAAAGGTCTTTCAAAATAGTTAGTGCCTCCCCAAACTGTAATCTTCATCTACTTTGGGTGGCTAATGAAACATACAGAGAACTGCTACAATTTCTTATCATATATACAATGTGCATGTAAATATATAGTCCAAAACAATGTGGTAGTTTCACATTTTAATCTCTCAACAAGTTGCCAATTTTACGGAAAGTACAGCTGATTTTCCTTAAAAAAATTAAAGGCATTAAAAACAATATAGTCATGGAACAAAAAAGGATGCAGTGTGTGCAGAAATGGTTTCCCATTCTACTCATGTATCTGGCATATTTTTTTAGGGCTTTGAAACAAAAGGTTATTGAATTAAACCACAAAATGTGGAATGATTGTCACTAAAGGGTAAATAAATGAATAATAATAATAGTTTGTTCTTATATAGCACTTTTCAGGACCGCAGGACCTCTCAATGCGCTTTACAGATATATATTATTACCCTGGTCATCAGATTCAGGCTTACCCGCAAACAATGTATGCACATTCTCCACGAGTCCCTGGGGAGCCTTATTGTACATTAATGTATGCATGTATGTATGTATCTATGTATATGACCTTTGACCTCACCTCTCTCCTCTTCCTACTGGTGAGGTCTTCCCCGGTGATGTCCACAACGAAGCCTGTCAGAATACCATTAGGTGAGTCAGGAGGAGTCCAGGTAAGGAAGACAGAGTTGGGTGAGTTGATGGCGACTACTGGGTCTCTCACTACAGACGGTTCTACAAAAATATAACACAAAATTATATGAGGAGGTGTGATAGCTCAGTTGGTAGACCATTGGTCTTGTAATCTGGCAACCCAGGTTCGAAATCAAGGAGATGCGGCAGTGCCCTTTGGTAAGGCATTTAATCCTCATTACCAGGTCTCTCGGCGGAGAAGACCTAAAGCCGCCGGTCCTCTGGTTGCTTACTTTTATGCTTTCTTAGCATTCAGGTAAAATAACCACCACCACAATATATACAGTTTCTGTTTTGTAGGGCGCTGAATCCACTTGATATTGAATACTCAAGGCACATCAGTGCAATAGAAAAAAATTAAAAAATCGAAAGAGCAAATACAAAAAAATTTGATGCGAGGACAATACAACATAAACATGGAAGAAAACATTACTGGCCGAAGCAAAGAGATTCAGTCATATACATTTTTAATTATTTTTGAACACTTCAACTGGAAAAGGAAAAATAAAACATTAATGAAGTCATATTCTATATATGGGATGAGCAAGAAACTTTTGGCTTTACTTTACTATTGGCTGTTAATTGACAGGTTTAATGGCCCAATCAATTTTAAAAAAAATATCTCTCTAAGTGCTAATAAGTTCTTGAACCAATCACTTTATTTCTCTATAACTCAATACATATCTCCTTTTTTGCAACAATCATTAATTACAGTCAAACCTGTCGATAGAAATTCATAAAAGGGAAAACTGGCGGTTGTAGACAGGCAGACTTTCTAGACAGGTTCTACAATACTTTTTTTATTGGGGAAAACAAAATACATGGCCGCTAAAGATAGGTGGCTTTCATAAAGAGGTAGCCCAGGAGGCAGGGTTGACTTTATTTCTTTTAGTTATCCCTTACTTCCTTGGAATGTCGTCTGTTCAATCTCGATGGCATCACTATCCAGACCATTAAACCGTGCAGCAACTGTGATGATGTACTTGGTATACGGGTTCAGGTTCTCTATTGTATAGGTGGTTTCACTCGATGGTACAGTGGCCTGAAAGTAGAACAAAAGGGTTTTAGAAGTAGTCATACAGAATCCTATTAGCAAAGGTCACCGTGCTGTGCATGGCCACACTGACTTTTCTCCATATGTTTTGTACACAAGGCATAATCATTTGAACATTTGAATTATAGAAATTAATTAATAATAATTCTATATTCCCAAAACCGTTTGAGACATAGATATGAGACATAGATATAATACTAATGTATTCGGGAAATGTTCTATCAGTGTGCCAATGGAAACCAATTCTTTGGATTACTATATGAAATATAATAACACAAAATATGATAAAAATTTGAATCTTTAAAGCCTGTCTACACTAGTTTAGCCAGGAGGGATTAGACCTCCCTGTCAGGTCACTGACAGGTGGTTATCTCATCAAATCAGCTCTCAATTAACATTAAAAAAAGGGGATCATGGGGATCAACGGTCACCAATTAGACATTGCATGCTATATAGAGGGCGTAAGTAGCTATAAGGAGTGCAGTGGGGCTTTAAATTATGAGCTTACATCGGCTACATCTGCTCCGAACTCATCTTTGACGATGATATGATACATATTGACGACATTGAGCGGTGCGCCCCAGGAGACTGTGATGGAATCACTCGTTACTTCATCTTGCATCAAGTTCTGCGGCGGCTTAGATTCTACACAAAAATGAGAAGAATGAGTGGTGTGGGGTTTAATTGCAAAAGTGATTGAATTTCTTCTTGTTTTTGAAAATTTCCTAATTCATTGATTTTAAATGTTTTAACTACTTTTAACTGGTTTCTATTTTAATGTAATCGCATGAATTTCCATTCCTAGATTAATTTCAATCGTCACTTTTGATTTCCTATTTGTATACCCTATTTTCCTGTCATTGTATTTTATTTGGATCAGTTTTAGTTCCCTCTGTTTGTAATTTTTTAGATGTTTCTTTTTCAAACATGTAAATTCAGTAACAATTCAACCATAAAGGTTACGAGTATTGAATCACATAAATCTTGAATCTTGAAAAAAAGCGGACCAGAATACCACACTTTTTAAGTGCAAAACTGAGACAATTAGTTGAACCAATTGCTAATGGAAATATGTTTGTCCTTGCAACAAGCCCATGGTAGGTAGAGAAATTAGGAGGCAACAGGTTCAAATCATTTTAGACAGCCTTTACAAATTAAACTACCGTACTTTCTTCATACAAAGTTTCTTTACATGACTTTTGTGCAAATTTAAACGTTTCTTAAAATTACAAGGTTTCCTTATATGATTTTCGTATAAATTTTGTAAAGTCTATCAACCCCTGGCTTACTGGAACAGGGTGGGCCCTATACAGAGTCTATGGGGATCATACAAAATCTGATACTGAAAGGGTTAAGGGAGACTCACTAGTAGTGACAGCCATTACGAGTGCTGCTGCACTGGTCTTGATCATATTAGTCTGTGGTCCCTCGACTACGGTCCTAATACTGATGTCATACACTGTAGCAACGGTCAAATTGGTCAACAGAAGTGACAGCTCTTCCGTGTCTGTGGTCAAGATGGTTGCTGAATCCTTGCTAAATGACACCTGAGATCAAAACAAAACAAAACGTAAAGAATTTGGAGTCTGTTCCAAAAAGAAATGAAACAAATTGAATGCAAGTGATAGAATGTAAAATACAAGTAAGAAGAAGGGAAACAAACAAAAAAAGGAAAAAGAGAGAGAAAGAAAGAACACAAGAAAGAGTTAAGAGAAAAATCTGAAGAAGAAGAAGAAAAGGAAATCATTTGTAAAAAGAGAAAAAATGGTTTACCTGGAAAGTAGTGGAGTTAGAATTGTCTAGGGTCCATTCCACTCTGAGTTCTGTAGTAGTGACGTATGGTGTGCTCAAGCGTTGCGGCTGCTTCGGCTCTGTGACATACAAGGACATTCAAATTCAAACTGTTTAACATCGTATGAACAGAGGGTCCATGCCTGTGCACCTAACATTTCACTTGAAATTGACAAGAACTTTCTATCATATTCCCCTTAGTCTGGATGTCATCTTCTTCCCTAGATTATTGAGAGTAAAATGCGCCAACATTTTTGTCCAAATACGAGCAAGAACAATGTCATTTTTTCAGGAATAGGCGACGGTTTCATTTTGACATTACATAAAAAAAGGACCCGTGTCTGCACACTTATTAAAGGGATCGTTTAACAATGTTAAATCTGAGATACACGGCCCTAAGTGTTATCAGTGTCTGTGATATGGTGTAATATTGAAGCCCTAAAAAAATTGCGCTTCAAAATGATCAAGAAGTGCCTCAAAAAAGTAAAAATCTTTGAGTGACCGGTTTTACCATACTCGTTTTCCCCAATAGACTGTAGTGTTATGAAAACCATCAGGTGAACGGTTTTCAAAATTTGTAATTCGAATCATAAATATCTTGATATTCAGACAGGCGATCGGCTTGTAAAAGTCATGGGGTTCCTGACTGACCTAAAGGTTTATAATTATCATTGCATCATGAGCTAAATCCAGAATTTTGTTTCAGAATCTGAGACAAAGTTACCAGATCCCTTTAACGTTACCTGCAGTTCACAATTTTTGACAAGAAAGATAGCATTTTCGAAGCTTGTGGATAAAAAGTGCTGAAGTTGGACATTTCTCACTATTTTGACTAATTTGGGGAATGAATACAGATCACTATAAGGCGATTGACCCCAAAATCTTGAAATCTACGGTCAGCTCTTTTTTCTTTTTTTTTAAACCGATTTTTAGAGAAAAAAATGTTTAATGAATAAAAATATAACAAATTAATGCATTAAAAACTGAGAAATATCAGCCGTAAGGGGGAGGGGGAAAAAAAAGAAAAAAAGAAAAAAGATTTCTGATTTCCTAAGGGCAATACAAAATATTCTTTTAAGGCCTAGTAGAGGCATATATTATGGAGGGGGGAACCTACCAACACAGGCAGTCTTTCTTCAGAGACTAACGAACTGCGGTGGCTTGACCAAAACCAGACAGGACATTTTACTCAAACGTTAATATATAAATAGGACATTCTGAACCTGGGCCCCCGTCTTACAAAGAGTTACTATTGATCCAAATCAATCGAAAATCCTCCAATCAATCGCAAGTTTGCAGTCTCCTATCTCTTATGTACATAGTCGCAATTGATATCAGTCGCAAAAAGTTGCGATTGATATCAACTCTTTGTAAGACGGAGCCCAGATCTTTTGTGACACACACATCCCATTCACCTGAAGGAGGCAGAGTCAACAGAAGAAGACAAGGAAGAAGAAAAAGAAGAACAAGAACAAAAGGAAGAAGGAGAAGAAGAAGGAGGAGGAGGAGAAGGAGGAGAAGGAGAAGGAGAAGAAGAAGAAGAAAAGGGTTAACTTACCTAGGAGGAAGAAAGCTGATTGTACAGGTTCACTGTATATAACCTGGCCATTGACATCATTAATAACAGACCTCATCACAGCTTGGTATTCTCCGCCAGAGACAAGGCCGTCATGTATTTCCCATTTGTCTCGAGTGCCGTTTATACCTGCAATTAAACAGAAACAACAATAACAATAATAATAATAATAATGGATATTTTTATAGCGTACCTATCCACCATGCTAGGTGCTTATGGTGCTCTAATATTCCTAGGCTCCGCTATGCTACAGCGCCCCTTGTATCCTCTAGAAAAGCCAATATAAATTATCATTATTTTCATTCTTCTAATTCTTCCTCTTAATCTTATTATCATTATCATTTTCATTATTATCATTATTATTGCAATGACGATCTTTGTCATTGCCTTGTTTTCGTTCACGTTCTTCCAAATTAATATTCTTCTTCTTCTTCCCAGGAAATCGCATTCGTTTTGCACGTAGTGTTTGTTATTCCTAGTTAGGTGCTTTCCTCATGTCCATTTCCATTCAAAATTCATAGGCATAGTCTCTGGCATATCATCAAGGTCACCTACTTTTTCGATTTTCGAAATCACTCATGTATAACCATTCAGGCGCCATTTTGTCTGTTTCTGGTCCATTTTTAGGCCTTTCTTCATTCCTTCCTATCTCCACTATCCTAGATCCTACAAACTTCGAACAAATTCCTTTAGATAGTCTTAGAGATGTTCTTTTATCTGCGACATATAATCTGACCTTCAAAATGCCATCTTCATACTCAAAATTCAAATCCGAAACCGACTCTATCAAAAATCTCTCAAATTCTTAAAAAATGGACCCCTTTAAATCTAAAACTGCCATAACTTTATCATATAAATTCCGTTTTGTTTTTAAATCTCACCGTATCCTTATCTTACAATTGCGCATAGTCATGCCTAATTTCACGCTCCAATAACTTTGCAAAACATAAATAGCGTCCTCTAAAGTTCTCGGACTTGGCTTTCTTTCTGTGGCCGTATCTCTATTATGGCTTGGCAGACCCGTACCCTTTTTTGGATTTAGATACCCGAAGATATCCCCTTTCAAGCCATATACGAAATTATATACCCTATCTTTGACCAAATTTGAGAAAATTGCTCTCCAAATTCGCCATTTTCAAGAAAATTGCGAAATAACTTCAACTTGCTCTAAAATTGCGAACATTATACCTACAACAATGAAACTTAGCAGACACATGTATCAATATACGTGACAACTGTCTGCCAAGTTTGGTAAATTTCAATGACGTCAGCGCAAAGTTATCGCTAAAAATGTTGAATTTACTATGCATTACGTAATAGCGTGTTAAATGCGTGCAGTACATTGCGCGCAGATGACAATGGTGTCAAACTGACCGCAATGAAGTGCCCTTTCGGATGATACCAAGTATGATATATGTTCACAAAATTGTGAGTTCATCGCATTTTAGACACCATATTATACTGTTTATAATTATGTTAGTATAGACGACCGTTAGTGCCAGATCGCCCGTCATTGCACGCATATCGTTGTGCCACGATTGCAGGTCTAGTTATCATCATTATCATTATTACTTACGTATTGGGAACGTAGGCTCGTTGGGTACCAAGTCTATCTCGTAGTAAGCTATTGGGAAGTTGACTTCAGCCGGTAGATTCCATGACAGTGAAACCTCCTCAACACCAACATCACCAACAACCAGGTTCTGTGGACTCAGTGGTTCTGTGCAAAACATAACGTTATGAATTTTATAAATATTCACGAATATGTTAAGGTGTCCGCACACACAGTCAGATTTTATGGTGAATAATGGAAGCCAAATAAAGTGAAAGAAGTAGAGTAACCTTTGCAGACTTCTTGGTTAATTTTTGCCTGATTCCAGCATCCAAGCGTTGTACAAATACCAAGCCCATTGTCATTTTAAACTAACAGTCCATTTTCCATGACTTTCCAGGTTTTGTCAGGACTGTGGGAACCTTGTTATTACGGCTCCTATTTTGAAGGTTTTCAATAGTAAACCATATCAACCCCTTCACAAAGGTGTAAACAAATTGAATAGAGGAGGAATAACTTACGTGTGTATGTAACCACTGTCTGCGGCGGACCGACCTGTTCAAAGCTGCTAGGATCCCCACTCACAGGGTATATGGTGAATGCATACTCTTTACCAGGAGCCAAGCTTCTAGCAGAAATTTGAGATTCAGAGACCTGATTAGATGACAGTACTTGTGCAGAATCCTCGTTGTTTGGAAAAAGCGCTCCTTCCAGCGGTGTGTATGTTATTCTGTACTGGATGTCGGCCGATATGACATCGCTCCAGTCTAGCGACAGGGAGTAGGGTGTGCGCTGGGTTATGACGACATCCGTCACTGGTAGTGGAGCTGCAATAGGATGAAATCATCACAATGATATCATTATAGAATCTCTCTATTTATATAATGCAATCGTTAATGACATTAAATAATCACAATACATAATCACTTTAAATCAATATAGAATCACTCCCATGATATAATGCAATCGTTAAACAATGACATTAAATAATCACCCTAAATAATCCCTATAACCATAATAACAAGATATACATTGATAAAATCGCAATAAAGTCATGAGAGTCCTTCAATAGGTTTGATTACAACATGTATATCATGTTTCGAATTGTAAATGAATTCAGTACATGGAAGAAACAATAAGAAACAATTATTACATAATTTTATTACAGTAAAACCTGTGTAGAAATACCTCCTGAGGGGAACACAAAAAAATCAGTCTTTGTGGGTCTTTATAGGCAGGTTCTTTTTAATAACATATTTCTATGAGGATCATCAATTCAAGCCTCAAGGGAAACAAAAAAATGTGGTATTTCAGTACAGGAGGCCACCAGAAAACACCTGTCACAAAGGGGACCTGTCTAAAGTGACAGTGCACTTTGTCTTCCTTGATAAAAAAATGTGTGTCTTAGAATGGGTATACAAAGGCCAGTTTTGCTGTTTCCCTTGGGTGGCCTTTATAGACAGGTTGGACTGAATTATGATCGATCTTACGGGTTCTGAATGATATTCTCCCAAAGCCGTCATCGGTCTGCAAGCCGTTCAGCATCGTCTGCACGTATACGTTGTACAGCTGTCCAGGCTCAAGGCCATAGATGAGGAGAGATCCTACCTGTACTCCGTTCAATGAGCTCAGCGAGATGATGCGGGGAGACTCCTGAGCATTAGTAGGGTCATAAGGATCATAGGTGACTTGGAATTGGTTGAAGACGCCGGCCGTGGGTACGTCCCAGAGGACAGTGAACTGAGTACTGGTGTAATCAGCACCAATGTCCATCCCGATGGTGGTTCCTACATTTAGACAACAACAAGACATCACTATTAACTTTTCTTTGCCAAGCATGCAGATCTGCACAAAATAATACTGTGCGTCTATGGACATGAGTCTATCATAGTTAACACTCCTCACGCTCCACTGCTATTACCCCCTCATTTAGCTTGGCTGCTCTTACAGCGCTCTAGCATTTCAAAGAAATAATTCCTACTGGAAACCCATTTACTTCGGCTGGGTAGAAAGTGGCCATTATAGATTAAAGATAAAGACCAGTTCTGGTCATGCCATTGCATTGTAAAATAAACGTTGTGGAATTGATCAGAACAGGATGATCATCTAACATATAAGTAATTTGTATCATCACGTATTAGCCAAACATTTTCTTTCACATGATTGGTAATAAGAGCTTCCATTTCATTTTTTGAGAGGGGGGCGTTTCCAAAACTGGTCTTAGCCTTTAATGCCAAAGGACATTCGTGCTGTGACAGGGATTTGAACCCTGTACCTTTTGCTCCATAGTATTGGGATTTATCTGTTAGACCAGAGCTGCCAACCTTGTGCGACCAAAAAAGGAATCATGATGGCAAAAAAAAGGAATTTCAAGCAAAAAAAAGGAATTCATAAAAACAAAACTTACAACCACACACGACACACTTCCAATGCAGAAATGTTCATTCATCATGCTGTTTTTTCCATACAAGCAGGTAATTTTTTTGGTGGTTATTTTGGTATTATTGGCATTTCATTTTTTTTGAGAACATTTTTCTCTTCAAGTATGTTTTAAAAAAAAATTTCTATTGAATTTGTGGGCAGTTGTTTGACGTGCGGTATGTAAAAAAAAAAAAAATAAATAAATAAATAAATAAAAATAAAAAAATAAAGAATATTAAAAAACATATTTTATGAACAAAAAACGTAATACCGTAATTTGGAGGAAAAAACGGAGTAATTCCGGCAAAAACGGAATAGTTGGCAGCTCTGTTAGACCATGACACCTCCAATTAAACAAAGAATTGCTTCAAGCAGCACAAAAACTTTCCAGAATTACCCATTCCTGGTCTTGATTAGCTACATGAAAACCCTTTTAACCTATGTTAATTTAGAGTAAACTCATTTCCTGTGGTTTAAAGTGTGTCCCGTAATAAATGCTCTGAGGCACAGGGATATTACTTGCATTGAAAGACCATTGATGCCAGCTCATAAGAAATGATTAAACTTCATGTGTCCTGGCAATAATATTTTCCCCTCAAATATGATCTTTAATCCTTGACTGTATGATATATTGTACTGTTTAGGGGGTGATTTCTAATAATATCAGATGATTATTTTTGTTCTAGTCCTCTTTCAGCTGTATCCTGGGTAAACAGGATAATCATCATTAATATTATAACTTCTAAAGGTTTAGACGGAAGGAGAAGAATCGTGATAACTCTACTCACCGCTCCCTCTCGTTACTGGTTCGCTGACAAGCTCCGCTACAAGAGCATACACATTAAATGTATATGTAGTCCCTGGGAGGAGATTTGTGACCGTGAGAGTCTGGGTGATTTGTCCATTATCCGTTATGGTATGGGGAGATGCAGGGCTACCATCGGAGGATGGGGAGTACGTTACTCTATAGCTGTCCACACCACCTGTAAGAGGCTTCTCCCAGCCGATACTGATGGAATTCGTAGTAATTGTATTGAAGAGCAGATTTCTTGGCATGTCAGGCCCTGTATTAGGAAGAAATTTCAATTCCAATAATTTCAATTTCAATTTCTTTGTCAATAAAAATTTGCTTTGCTTACGTTTCACATACATGTAAAGGTATAACTTACAATCTCTATTGGAGGTAACTTCAATGTATTTGGAGCTCTGTGAAATGACTGACCAATTATAATCTACTTCCGCTGGTTGGTGATTCCATACGACATAATTATGATCATTTTCCAATTTCTTTCTTTGACAGTGATAAAATCTCCTGACACAACGATAGAATAATGTTAGTGATACACCAACCATCCATTATTCAATTTGTGCATAATTTTTTTTCTTTTCTTTTCTTTTGTTCTTGTTTCTTTTTTTCCTGTATGTGTGTTTTAAGGGGTAGGCTTTCATATAAAGAATCCCTCCGTACTGCCTATCCCAAATGCTCTTATAAATTGCCATTGTTATTTGTTATCACTTTCTTATTTTTTTTATTATTCCATTCTGTATTTGTATGTTTTAAATGTTTTCATGAAGAGTGCAGAATAAACTTTGAATTTGAATTTACTTGTATATTGTTCTCTTTCTCTCCTTTGAGTTCCCAGAGGTGTCACAAAGAAGGTGTAGCTAGTGCCTGGCACCAGATTGGTGAAGGTGTATTCAGCTTCCTCAGGTGAGTTGACTGTCACAGTTTGTGATGCTCCGGTCCCGCCTCCTACAGTGTACCTATAATAATCATAATAATTAATAATAATTATGATCATAATGACGATGATAAAGATAATAACAACAATACAGTGAAACCTGTATATAAAGACAGCTCAAGGGAAGCATAAAATGTGGTCTTTAAAGCCATGATTTATATACAGGTGGTTGCTAAAACAGGTTTGACTGTAATAACCAATAATGAATAATAAAAAACTGAAATAATATCAGTAATATCAGTAATAATAGCGATAGTAGTATTAATAACAATAATTATATACCTCACTTAAGAAATCCAGCCATCTGATTGGTCGAATTGCATTCATAAACTTCAACTGTTCCTGTAAAATTCTCGGTAACCATGCATAAAACATTTCAATATTTTTAATAACCATGGTTATTAAAAAAAGTTGGTCAGCGTCCATGGTTACCCCATAGGTTTACATGTTAAAAAATGGTTTGAGCGATGGAGGATGCCGTATGTGTGCGAAGGATTGGTCGGTAATTTCAATACAATTGAATCTCGATCGATCTTACCGACAATTTTATCTTGCATTGTTGACAAGAAGACGAAAATAAACTTCCAAAAACAAAAAAACAACATCTGCCGATAGATCTTGATCTAAGTTCGTGCTAATATGCATTGCAAAAGTAAAAGAAGAGTCCGTATATGGAGCTTTTGCGAAGCATTCATCACACGCGAAGCCGGTTTCAATCCATTTTAATGTATATATTGGAGAAAACTGCCAAGCATGTTAACGGCGGGCCATAGCCGAGTGGTCTAAGCGTTGGTTTTCGGTACACCTTTTGTTGTACGCAAGAGTTCGAATCCCGTCTTCGACAAAATTGATAAATATTTTTAATTTTTCATTTTTTAGTCTATTTTTTTTGGCATATAAAAGTATAAATGACTGCTAGTATTAAAAACAACATCTGCCGATAGATCTTGATCTAAGTTCGTGCCAATATGCATTGCAAAAGTAAAAGAAGAGTCCGTATATGGAGCTTTTGCGAAGCATTCATCACACGCGAAGCCGGTTTCAATCCATTTTAATGTATATATTGGAGAAAAATGCCAAGCATGTTAACGGCGGGCCATAGCCGAGTGGTCTAAGCGTTGGTTTTCGGTACACCTTTTGTTGTACGCAAGAGTTCGAATCCCGTCTTCGACAAAATTGATAAATATTTTTAATTTTTCATTTTTTAGTCTATTTTTTTTGGCATATAAAAGTATAAATGACTGCTAGTATTAAAAACAACATCTGCCGATAGATCTTGATCTAAGTTCGTGCCAATATGCATTGCAAAAGTAAAAGAAGAGTCCGTATATGGAGCTTTTGCGAAGCATTCATCACACGCGAAGCCGGTTTCAATCCATTTTAATGTATATATTGGAGAAAAATGCCAAGCATGTTAACGGCGGGCCATAGCCGAGTGGTCTAAGCGTTGGTTTTCGGTACACCTCTGGTTGTACGCAAGAGTTCGAATCCCGTCTTCGACAAAAATGATAAATATTTTAAATTTTTCATTTTTTAGTCTATTTTTTTTCGGCATATAAAAGTATTAATGACTGCTTTAATATTCGAGAAATAGTTGTTTTCATACGCTCTCGGGAAGGTTAGAATTGGGCTATTCCCCTCGGCAAGCCTCGGGGAATAGCACAATTCTAACCTTCCCTTGAGCGTAATAAAACAACTATTTCTCTCAAAGCAGTCATTAATACTATACTACCACTACTACTAATAATAAAAAAAATACTAATAATATTACTACTACTACCGTCCCCTCGCTGCTTAATCACAAGCATATACATGCTTTCTTAGCAGTCAGGTGAAACAAACAAACAAACATCCACATTTAGTGCATTACAAGTAAATTCTCATGAAAACTGTACTAACCTCGTTATGCTATTAATTGCAACCCAAGTGATTCTGACTGAGTTTGTGTCAACATCTTCCAGGGCAATGTTGATATCTCCTGGATCACCGATCACTGAAAATGAAACAAAACAATAGTAAGACATGTTAACCATCTAAACAGTACCACCTTACAATTTTGACAGAAAGTGTCCTTTACTAGTTGGTGCTTTTCTCCAGAATATGGACCACGAATAACCACTTCAATAACCTTAACCCAAAAGTCTACTTTTCTAATGTGCCTCTTAATACATAAATGAAATACAGGTAGATTTTGATATGATTTTGATATGACAAATAATGAACTATAATAAATAATAATGAAGCATAGGGGAATAAGAAAAACAAATAATGTTGCTTCATGGACTTGCATATCGAGGGGTCAGTGACACAAAGACATAACTCCATTTTGGACATTTTGAGACAAGTGGTTTAAAGATAGAGGTCCACTTGGGCCTTAGGGAGTTAAGTCTATGTTTCACTAGCCATTGACCTCAATGGGGTGTTGGGTGGAGTTAAGTCTTTGTGTTTCCTGCAAGCCCACATTTTTCTGAACATTGTGAAATAAAATACTCATTTTGGCAAAATATGGAGTTACGTCTTTGTGTCACTGAGCCCTCAATATGTCTCTAGAAAAGAAAAAAAAGAGAATATGTGTACGCAAACCAAAAAAGCTTACGTGTCTGCTGTGTGATGGTGGTTGGTTCACTGTAAGTTGATTCTTCACTGCTTGAGACTGTTACAAGATAGTAGGTCAGGCTGTTGAGTCCAGGGAGATTTATAGATGGTGTGGTGCCTGAGGTAAACGGAGAATTCTGAAACAAACAATAGAGCATGGAGAAGTTCAGTGTCTTGTCTGTGATGAATGGATTATTAAGCGGTTACACTCATGGAACAAGGACTGCCTCAGATGAAATGGGAACTCATGATAAACAATAAATTGGTAGTAATCATAACTAATAACGCTGTAGGTAATTATATGTGTTAGTTTCATTATCCTTTTCAGTTTTAATGAAAATTATTATAATAATTAATATTTGTATTATTATTATTCATATTATTACCATATTTATTATCATTATTATTATTAAAATTATCATCATCATCATTATCAGAATATTATTAAGCTGTTTTTATTCTCATTTTCATTATCATTAATATTATTGTTTGACTGTACTAGTAGTAGAGTAGGAGGAGTAAAATTAGTATTAGTGTTAGTAGTAGTATTTTAATTCCATCTGTTTTAGATTCCATGCATTACTCCTACTTAACTTCTGCTATTACTATTAATATAACTTTTATCATGAGTATTTCAAGGATTTCCTATAATTCTCACCTGAGTACCACGCGGGTAATGACACACTCTATATCCATCATAGTTGCCTGTAGAGGGTGCATTCCATGTGGCATCTAATGCGTTCTTACTGGGAGTAGCACTCAGACTGTTGATGGTTTCAGGCACTTTAGGGAAGAAAATACTTGCACGTTAGAGATACTTATTCAACCCTTTATAATAATATATAACAATAGTCACATCTGTATAGTATGTCTCAGATACACCTTTGCGTATTTGGCTCACGTATTGCTGCGTATTTATGGCAAGCCCGTTTTAATATTTATTCCTATTTCTTGATATCAAGAAATGATTTTCTGTGGTAAACCAATAGTGATTCTTGATACGCAGCAATCCGCAGGCCAGATACGCAAAGGTGTGATTGAGGCATCAATACTACGTTTCTCATTTAAGCGCTTTACATTGTAATTATTATTACCCTGGTTATTGGATTAAATTGCTAATCCGCACATGATTGTGCACATGATCTGCTCCCTGAGGAGTAATTGTCCAGGCGCCATTTTACAAGAGCACACATGCCCATCCAACCACCTCAACTTTTGCGTCCTACCGGCTACCCATGTAACACCTGGTTGGAGAGTGGCAAGTGTAGATTAATGTCTTGCCAAATGGACAAATGCCGCAGTGGAACTCGAACAGCGAACCAAGTAAATTTACTCCACAATCCAGTGACATATCCGCTAGACCACAAAATCCACTACATAATGTGATAATTGAAACATGATACACTGTATATACCCTCGTCCACTGTAGTGTTACCAAACCTTGTAAACTCACTGTGGTAGTAAAACTGTGGATTCACACAAATTGGCTTTGATATTACATTGTGCAGTGTGTCACATGCATGACTGATCCTCTTTTTTCTCTATATTCCCATTCATCTATCCATTGTTCTGATAATTCAGTACCAGAGGAATATTGGCAGTTTGGAAAAGATTTTTCATTTACCGGTAGTTTTTTATTTAGTATAGTATACCATACAAAAACGGAGTATAGTGGGGATCAAATCTGGCACCAAGCTAATATGTACTCTGCAATAATAATAATAATGCTGGCTTCTTATATAGTGCACATGTCTGTCACGTTGCGATGCTCCTGGCGCTGCCCCGATTATTACCCTGGCTTTAGCAAGGCAGCCACTACGGCGCTCTAACATTTCAAAGAATTAATTCCTGCCAGATACCCATTTACATCACCTGGGTTGGGTGGCAAATGTAGATCAATGTCTTGCCCAAGGACATTAGTGCCGCGGCGGGACTCGAATTGCGGTCTTTAAGATCGACAGTCCGTCAACGTATCCACTCAACCAAAGAGGGTTGAACTTTATAGATGAGAGGGAAGTGAAATCCCTCCATTTTTTCCGTAAATAATGCCACTAAAATAAAGAGAATTCTTAAACACACAGCACATGTTGTATCACTTGTGCTTCACATGATTAATGGAGTGACTTACGCGTAAGCTGGACATGTGTTTCCTGGGCCGGAGTTTGTCCCTGCTGTTGGACCATGATGGTATAGGCAGTACCAGGTACTAGACCACTTAGATCCAGGACCCTTGGCTCTCCTTTTGCTACCAGCATTGGCGTCTGCGTTGACCCAACAGGGCTGTAGGTGACAAGGTAATTTGAGAAGGAGCCTGTACCTTCCTGCCAAGATACCTTCATGGAGTCTGTTTCCAGCTCATCTAAAGTGATGTCCAGCGGTGCAGCAGCAACTGTGGGAGTTACATGAAGAAAATTATTGACAATCCTCTTGAAATACATATATATCTTCTGTTGAGACCCTCTGGAGCCTCCAAACAACAAGCTTTGATGTAATAGGCTCCTTCATATCATCATTTCCAAGTGTACTTAGTCCTTAAAGCCCCACTGTCCTACTTGTAGCTACTTGCTCCCTCTATATAGAAAAATTCCCCAATGGGTGCCGGTTGGTCCCCCATGATCATCTTTTTCTTATGTTAGTTGAGAGCTGAGTTAATGAGATAGCCACCTGTCAGTGACCTCGCTGTGTGGTCTAATCCCTTCTGGCCCAGTAGTATTGACAGTCTTTAATTTATAAGTAACTACAAATAAACAAAGCAGAATGGTCTGTTATGGTATATTTTATTTTCATGTACTTATGTTTATTCAAAAATACAGAAAAAAGGTTTCAGAAAAAAGAGAAATCTAGGGTTCATTTCATATAGTCAGAAGGCCAGAAAAAAGACTAATTTCTCTGATATAGGAGTGGTAGGCACCTGTGCAGAGACACACACCTAGCGATAGGATTTGTCTTTTACCTGTGCTGGTTTGAACTCTGAATGCTTCACTGATATCCAGGCCACTGTACCACTCAATGTCGATTTCATACATGGTGGCTGCTTCAAGTTTCTTGATCCAAATTTCTGGGCAAGCTGATTTAGCGACTGGGATAACCGGCTGTACGACAGGACTGGAGACGCCACCTAGACGAACTCGTACATTGTACCCATCGTATCTCATGGGGTCTTCGAAAGGTGGAGTTATGGTCAGATGAATCATTGATGATGCTTGGTCAGTCACCATAGCGGAAAGCCCGTTCATTTCATGCACTGCAATAAACATTTACAATAATGATAGTAGTTATAATAAATTTTTAAAATAATGAATAATAAATACAAATAAATGAAAAATAATTTGATGTTGTTCACAAAGAAAAACCACTCACTATGGTACATATTTACATACCCATCTAAAAATGTTTCATAAAACTTGAAGAAAGCAACAACTATTAATCACTATCTAATGTATATTTTTGTAGAAACAGTCAGATGCATGGATTTCAGTAGCTTATATCAAGGAATCTAACTTGTTCATACCAACATTTATGAATCACTGCACTGGGTCCCATCTTTTAATCTCTTGCAATTGATTTAAAACTGATCGCAACCTGATATCTAACATAGTTGTGTATTCCAATCAATCATAAACTTACGGGTCGACCACATCTCTTTACATAAGACAGGGGCATGGTTTTCTATAGGATACAAAGGATGGTACTTACACGTAGATGCTGTTTCCATGCTATCTCCAACAGCTGCTCCAGCGTTTATGGCCTGCACAGTCACTGTGTACTCTGTTCCAGGTGAAAGTCCAGGGATGACCACCCTCCTATCACTGGACCCATCAACCACGATGGGAGTTGATCCAACGTAAGAGACCTGGTACTCATCAACAGACCCCGATGCCGATGCACCCCATAAGATCTCCAGAGATGTGGTGGTTCTCTCCCCGATCACAACAATCAGGTTATTAACAGCTGCACGAAAAAGCATCAATCAGTGCGAGAACAATTTTTTTTTAAATAACAATAATAACATTAAACTTGAATAGTTTCATTGTGCATATATCCACCATGCAAGGTGCTCAGGATGCTCTAATATTACCCCTGATGATCTGCTGGCTATTAATTTCGGTGCTCACAGCAATAAAGGCATTCCTTTCCCCCAGTACATGTTTAAAACCTGGATGGAGAGTGCCAAATTTGGATTAATATCTTGTCAAAGGACATTAGTCCTGCACAAAGTGCTCTAGTAGTGACCCTGGGCCTGCTAGGCTACCGATTTCGGTGCTCACAGCAATTAAGAAGTTCCTTCCTTCCAGTACCCATATTACACCTGGGTGGAGAGAGGCAAATTTAGATTAATGTCTTGCCAAAGGACACTGGTGCTGCCCAGCAGCAAGAAACGATGACCGTTGTATCTCCAGTCAAGTTATGCAACCACTTGACTACAACACGTCTATTGCTTGTTGTTCAACAACATTCAGTAATGGTTAAAAGTCAAACTGGTTAGTTATGCCACAGCTTACCTATCTGACCTGTGGTAGTAAGAGGTGTGTCAGTCCTCTCATCTCCTCTAATGCTGACCAAACTGAATTGATACACCTTGTCTGCCAAGGCATTCATAATGCTGAGACTGGTAGCAGCCTTGGGCAGCCTGACCGGTGAAGATGGGTAGCCGACGTCTGGGGTGTAAGATACCTCAAAGTAATCGTAGGATGCTCTCTCAGGAACATCCCATTCCAGGATGATGACATGGTCTGCAGCCCGAGTGTTGGTCACTGCAAAGTTACTGGCCACAGGTATGGTGGTGTCAGCAACTAAAATAAGAAACATTATAGACAAGTATCATTATCAACAATCATCTTCATTTATTACTGTCAGGATTTCCTCTCTAACAAGGGTGACTTTTGCGCCATGATGACATTCCCTTCCTCCACTTCTTCTTTTCGCTAGCATTTTCCTCACTTAGACCAACCTTACTGGTTTCTTTCTTCACCATATTTTTTCGTGAAAGCGTTGGTATTCCTTTCCCTCTTATGCTATCCACTTCCAGATCCCATGGTCTTTTCACAGGTTCATCTTATTCCCTTTTCAACACATGATCCATCCATTTCGATCCACTTCTCTTTACTACTTCCACCAGAATTTCTTATTGCTACTATTACTACTACGACTACTACTACTACTATTACTACTACTACTACGACTACTACTATTACTACTACTTCTACTTCTACTACTACTACTACTATTACTACTACTTCTACTACTACTACTACTACTACTGCTACTACTACTACTACTACTACTATTACTTCTTCTTCTTCTGTTACAACAACTACCACTACTACTACTACTACTACTACTACTATTACTTCTACTACTACTACTACTACTACTATTACTTCTTCTTCTACTGTTACAACAACTACCACTACTACTACTACTACTACTTTCTACTACTAGGTCTACCACTAGGTCTTCTCTGACTTACTTGTTGTGACAAAGATTGTTTGCTTCTGACTCTTGACCTGTGGATTTCCTGTGAGGGCAGAGATGCTGATGATGTATGTTGTGTCAGAGTTTAATCCTTCGAGGGTGTACTGAGTGGTGGTCCTACCTGCGATGTAAACAGGGCTGGATCCGTCATCAGGGGAATAACATATCTAAGGGAGAAAATGAAATTAGAATGAGAGATCTTGCCTCACACAACTGTATAACATACATGTAGGAAGCTAATTAGCTGTTAAAAGGTAATTGTTATTACATTCACAACTTGACTTGATATATATACAGTAAACAACTAAATTATTCATACCCTTACCAAGTTGTGCAATTTTTCAAGTTTGAGAAAAATTGATTTGTCCTGATATATGTTTCTTGAGAATGTGACATATTAAGGCAAACATCTATTAAAAGGTATTTAACAAAGTCCCTGATTCAACCACCCCACTTTTATTTCCCGAATAATGATAAACAAAAACATTGAATCTACGAGGGGGTATGAATAAATTAGTTGTTAACTGTACATGTAGATATGATGGAGAGATACACTCAGACTGACCTCATATCCGGCAACGTTACCGTCTGATGATTGAGCCCATTGAAGCTGAATACTGGTGTCCAATACCTGAGTTGCTATGGGGGTCCCTGGCGCAAGAGGACCTAAGAAACATAGACGGGAAAAAAATAATATTCCATTCTTGTACAGCACATAACACATTTTGGTATTATGTCCCTGTGTGCTTCCAAAGAGCTTTGAAAATTATAACCTTAGCTTCGGAAGCCGTTATCATCACACAGTGCATTTCAAGTAATAATCCTACCAGGTACCCATTTACTTCACCTGGGTGGAGTTGGCAAATTAACATGTGCTTTAATACACAATGACTTCATCAACAGTACAGATCACTGATGGCCATCTCACCTGAAGACAAGGAAGAGGCTCTTTATAGGTAGGCAGGTGGCTTGTATACACAGTTCCTTTTTTAGTACTACACAAACTCATTGGTAATATCTCCCATTATACAGTGCGTCCCAGAAAAAAACAAAACCAAGAATTATCAATGTTTCATCATAACTTAATCACAATTTTAATTAACAAATGACACATATTTGTAAAGCTTAGGTCTTCCTCTTTCATTTGATGCAACTCGTATGATGCATATTTCACGCATGAGCGATTAAAAACAATTTGTAAAGAGGTTACCAAAAAGTCATTTGGCGGGTGGTATCTGAATTTCAAAGAGAAAATCACATTTCTAGAAAGTTCATTTCCTGCCCTTTCATATCAGGAAAAATGAGCCAGTCTGTTTGTTTAAAGGAATGCTTGCATTTCCATGATTTGATTAAACAAATTCGTTTTCACTGGTAGCCTGCCATAGGAACAAACAGAGTTGACAAAAGACTTAACTTTGTTTCGTTCAAGATCAGCCATGCACGAAAGACTTGATGCATGGCTGATCGTGAACTTCTGCCTTTAAACAGGCTTGTTTGAAGCCAGAAGGGGGTTACTTCTGAGTTAAAGGACGGGTGTGTATGCCCTTCTGGCTCTAGACATACAATGTATGGAATTGAAATGATCTGTGATTTCAGTTTGGACAATGAGTATCAAAGACTGGTCTGACTTACGGGTCCTGATCGTGCCAGTCCCTCCATCGACCAGGCGGACCGTATACGAGGTTCCTGAGCTCAGGCCATCTACTGCATAAGACTGAACAGCATCACCCGATGCAGGGACTACGCGCCCTGCTTGATTGTTGATGGAGAGTTCATAGGATGTACGTCCATCGAAAGGTGACCAGTAGACTGTGAACCCTGATGGGGTTACCTCTCCAAATGTCAGCTGACCTGGGTCTGAAGGAGCTGCAGTCGAGATAGAAATCATAGACACATATGATATTACTGATAATAATGATAATAGTTATAATTAATAATAATATCTATAATAATAATACTAACGATACTAATTATAAAAGTAATAGTTAAAGTAATAATAATTTAATCATAATACTAATAACAATAATACAAAAATAATCATTATAATACATGCTATACATACAAAATTAGATGAAAAACAAGAAGGAAGAGGAGGAGAAAGTAACTTTTGAAAATTTGTTTATTAATCTATTCATTTCGTTTACACAGGATAGCTTTGTCATTATCAAAACTGTTGTTCTGAGAGACCCTTTACAAATCAAAGACTACACAATTGAACAAAGTTGAATACTTTACACACACAACATATCATTTCTTACAGCATGATATAAACATGAAAAACAGGACTCATAATAGTACTATGACTTATAATATCAACAATTCATCACAAGACTCAGAGCTGTGCAATGAAATGGGAATGTAACCCTGATAGTTAGTTGGTTTTAAGAGAAGCAGGAAAATGAGAGCAACAGGTCAATGAAAGTTTGAGCAAAAACTGATTGAAAATAAGAAAGTTATAAATATTTCAAGGTTTAAGTAATTAAACCCCCAAATTATTAAAAAAAAGTTATTGCAAATATGTTTGAAACAAATCTATTCCGTCATCAATAAGAAAATGAAAGTCTATGTAATTTTTCTGTACAGAGCAATTTTAAAAATTCAAGTTTGATTGTAATCCATCAACAAGTTCTCAGAAAATCATATTACAAGCCTTATGTCATATACACGTATGACCCTTTGATCATTGACCTCATGACCCTAAAATCTAATCAGTTCATTTGCTCTGCAAGATACATACACGTCCTGAGTTTGATAGTAATCCATCCGTCGGTTCTAATGATAATGCGTTCACAAGCTATTTGTGCAATCATAATGAGCCCCATGACCTTTGACCTCATGACTCCCAAATATAATCAGTTTATTGACTCTGGAAGATACATACATGACCCAAGTTTGTCGGGAATCATTCAATTGGTTCTTGAGAAAACGCCATCATGACAACAGGAGGTTCGGACGGACGGACAACCTAAAATCATAATGCCTCAGGCTACTTCGTTGTGGAGGCATAAAAACAACTATCACACTATGCAAGAGAACTTAATACCCAGTGTTGTGAATGTAAGAATTTCAGTATCGCTGGAGGCAACAATGGACTATGCCAAGCCAGTCACCTAATACCGAGTGTTTGGGATATTTTATTTTTTGAAGAAATGCAAATAACAACATCACTAAACGCAACATATGATTATCAACTATTCTGATAGAAAGTCTTTACTTACGTGTATGGAAGGTAATAATTTGAGGATCGCTAGAGGCAACACCGGACTCTGCTTGGAGAGTGACCTCATAGGCTGTGTCAGGTATGAGACCGGTGAGCTCTATTTCAGGGCACGCTTCTACCGGGATCAAGACATCAAAGTTGATAGGCGTGCCTGCTCCTGCTCCAGTAACTTGAGGTGTAACCCTGATACGAAAGAACTTCAGGATGCCACCGAGCAGGTTTCCAAGAAGGCTGACAGCGGATGGAGAGTGAGGGTTAACAGTGAACGTAGGTCGTAAAGGTTCTGACGGGAAGAAAAAGTAGAAAAGAAAGCAACAACAAAAAAACATGTGTAAGGCATAAGCATCTGGAGGGTGTTTTATCTTTTGTTCATAAAAAGAGAATATTTGTTGTCTTGTGGTTAAGTTTGATTCAGACCGAGGATATAGAAACATACTCTCAAACAGTACTGATTTTTGTTTTAAAATCCTAGATAAATGCAGACAAATTGTAAAACTGCTTCTTAATATAATAACGAAATGTGGAGTGAAAAGGGTTGCTGTATGCGTAAGTGTAATTACTTTGGTACAGAAATATTGTATGAATTACAATTATGCTGTTGCATTTTGGAGCAGCATCTATTTTGAGGTCCATGTAGCATACCAGCTGAAGTGAAAATGAGGCAGACATGTAATTTGATTAATTCTATTCATACTCTATTAAATGTACATGCCTGATGCATACACAGATAAGTATAAATGCTCTAGGTATTCTCTCATAAGGCAAATGCATAAATTCAGAACAAATGGCAAATGGGATAGGAAAAAAATACAATAAAATCACAATAAATCATAATCACCTGAAAGAACAGTGAATTTTTATGAATGAAGATGAGAATGATATTACCTGAAGTATGCAGGTCATATGCAATATTGCAATATGCAATATAAGAATTACTTGCAGGTCATATAGAAGAATGAAAATAAAAATGAATTACTTAGAGTGTAAGTGGTAGATGCAATCTGAGCACGGTTTCCTAAGGTGTCGACAGCCGTCAAAATCAACGTGTACGTTTGGCCGGGCATCAGGTTCATAAGAGTAACCAAAGGCGCATCACTAGGATCAACAAACTCAGAATTAGAGGTTGCTCCCTCTTTATCTTCGATGTAGATAAGTTGGTATTTCAGGATGTCATTTCCAAAATCATTGGCCCAGGACAGTCTTAGATTTCTTCCAGTTTCCACCACGTTGATGATCCTAGGTTCTGTAGATTCATGAGGAATACAAAAAGAGAGGCATGAAAACTACAGTGGCAACAAATACATTACGTACAAATATTTATTGTATCAATTCTATCAGAATTGAAAAAGATACTGTAGTTGCACTTTTAAAGTGTACTGATTGCAAAATTGTATTTTGCTTTGTATGTACGGGTTATACATGTTGCCGTAATATATTCAGAATATGAGCTTGTAATATTACCTCTAAACATAGATTTCACAAGTCTATTATACACTCCAAGATAACTCGAAATAGCTATGCGTATTATTTGTTTGTTTGTTTTATTTATTCACCATGTAAATAATTGTTTACAGATAATAAAATTCAGTGGGTTACAATATATAATAATACATAGTAGGAACAATGCATAAACAAAATATTAGGCTTTACGTTATCGGAAAATATATGCTGCAGTTTGGCAGCATCGTATCTGAACGAGGCTTAGGATCTTCACTTACGGGTGGTGAAATTAGTTACTGCAGGTATGCTCCTCTGTTCCAAGTTCTGAGCCCTAACAACAGAAACAATTCTCATAGAATAGTAGGTATCAGGCTCAAGGTTTTCAAATGTTTCAGTGAGCTGAGAGGGCGGTACAATTTGCGCAGGTGTCTCTGATTCTCCTGCTTGCCTCAGGTAGATGTCATACTCATCCACGTTGCCTAGACCCTGAGACCAGGACACGGTGACGATGGACTGAGAAATAGAGTCCGTAGACAGACTCCTGGGTGCAGTAGGCACTGTGAGGAAGATGGAAGGTCAAAGGTCATCAAATCAAGGTCAGCAATGTCAGAATGTAGGGTTAATAACAGAGGATACAATTCGTTTGTACTGACATAGTAAAGGTTGGGCATGATTTAATTGTTCAAGTAAAATTTAGATGCAGTCACTAGAGTTTTTAGACAAGAGGGTTGTGATTCACGCACAAAAGGGGTTCCCATACTCATGAAGACATCTCAAAATGAATGCAAAATTTAAAAAAAATTGTGTTAGTAAAATATATTTTCTGTATGGAATCAACAATGAAGACTAAATTGTTGAAACTTGAGGATTCTCTAACAATGTTGTCTGAACAGTAACTGCCTTGTTGACTATTCACACATGTTGACTAATCAGTTACTATATCTAGGATTCTTTACACATGTTGACTAGCCAGTTACTGTCTAGTGGTTATTTTCCAGAATTTGACGAACCAGTACATGTCTCTAGGATTCTTCCTTCACACGTTGACTAATCATTAAATATCTCTATGATTCTTTACACATGTTGACTAATCAGTAACTGTCTCTAAGATTCTTTACATATGCTGACTTATCAGGAACTGTCTCTGAGATTCTTTACATATGTTGACTAACCAGTTACTGTCTAGAGGATAATTTCCCAAACTTGACAAACCAGTACATGTCTCTAGGATTCTTCCTTCACACAAGTCGACTAAATCAGTAGATGTCTCTCAGATTCTTTACACATGTTGACTAACCAGTAACTTTTGCTAGGATTCTTTACATCTGCTGACTAACCACTTACAGTCTACTGAATACTATATTTATATTGACTAACCTGTAAGTGCAATCTCTGTATCCCGCTCACTACTTCCAGTCACTGTAATCCTGATGGTATAGAGTGTGCCGGGTGTCAGGTTAGAGATGATGATAAACCTGGACTGGGATAATGCTCTGCTGGTGCTATGCACCACGTTCCCTGCATCTGACGCCTCGATCACGTAACTGGACGCTGTCGGACTTGTAGAAGCACCCCAAGATAAAGCAATACTTGTGCTTGTTACGGTTTCGATCACAATCTCAGCTGGGCTGTAATTCACTGATATTGGAAGAACCATTGAAACAGTGTGATTGCTTCTATTGCAAACCTGGAACTTTTGTACTTGTATATCACTGAATATTATGTAAAACAGTCATTTGAGCAAATTATAAATTTTCTATCACAATCTAAAGAGACCTGTAAATCAAAAATTAAACTTATATTATTCTATTCTATCACAATATAAAGAGACCTGTAAATCAAAAATTAAACTTATATTATTCTATTCTATCACAATCTAAAGAGACCTGTAAATCAAAAATTAAACTTATATTATTCTATTCTATCACAATATAAAGAGACCTGTAAATCAAAAATTAAACTTTTATTAATCTATTCTATCACATTCTAGAGAGACCTGTATTTCACAAATAAACACTTATTAATTCAAAACAGGTTAAGAATTGCTGTGATAAACCTCTACTTCTACTGTAGGGCTTAAAATGTTTGATACTTTTGATCAATCATTTCTCACAAAGTAATTTTGTCTAAAACTGCTATGTTAAGATGATAATTATTTACCTGTAGAGGCTTCAACAGTAGAAGAGCTTATCTCTTGATCACTACCAGAACCAGAAAATGATGTCAATGTAATGATGTACTCTGAGAGAGGACTCAGCCCTGTCAGTCGTATCTACAAAACAAACCATAGTTGGGCAAATAATTTGAAATAAAATTGTAATATGATGTAATTTAATGCTGCCTTAAAAATGATTGCATGCTTCGGTTAACTCTAGATTGCGTACCGTACTTGAAAGACATGTGTAGAACCATCGCTGTCATTTAAGCGTGTTCCTCTTCCTACTTCAGATGGACAGATTTGGTGTGACATTTCAACAGGACATGAATGTCCTTACGTCCCCAAACAGCATCGCCGCGCTGTTTTCGACAGTTTGCATAACATGTCTCATCCAGGCATCCGGGCTACACGTCGTTTGCTTACGGATCGTTTTGTGTGGTCTGGCATCAACTCTGATGTGCGGAAATGGGCAGAGTCTTGTCTTCGGTGTCAACGGTGTAAGGTTCATAGACATACTAAGTCGCCATTAGGAACCTACGCTACTCCTGATGCTAGGTTCGATCATGTTCATATTGACCTAGTAGGACCTCTTCCTCCGTCAGAAGGATATGTGTATTTGCTTACATGTATAGACCGGTTCACTCGCTGGCCTGCAGCTATTCCACTCAAGGATATTACAGCAGAGACCGTGGCCCAGGCTTTCATAGCTCACTGGGTTGCTTTGTATGGAGTTCCGTCGACCATAACCACAGATCGAGGACGACAGTTTGAGTCGCATCTATTTCAAGCTCTCACCAATCTCTTGGGGAGCAGACGAACCAGGACGACTGCATACCATCCTGCTTCAAATGGGCTCGTGGAGCGGTTTCATCGACAATTGAAGTCCTCCCTCAAGGCTCATGCTAACACACGCTGGATGGAGACACTTCCTATTGTCATGTTGGGTATTCGTACTGCAGTGAAGTTTGATTTGGGTTGTTGTGCATCAGAACTTGTCTATGGAACCACCATTCGGTTACCAGGGCAATTTGTAGCACCCAGTCAGGCTAGCGGTGTTGTGGATCTCAGCGATTATGTCAACAGGTTAAGAAAGCAGATGAGCTAACTGCGACCTCAATCTACTCGTCGTACCCAGCGACAGTCGCACGTGCATCCTGATCTATCTCATTGTTCCCATGTGTTTGTCCGTCACGATGCTGTAAAGGCACCACTGCAGCCTCCATATGATGGACCCTTTGGGGTAGTTAGTCGAGATGGCAAGTTTTTTACCTTGAACTTCGGTAGGAGACATGATACTGTCAGCATCGACAGACTGAAACCAGCCTACATCGAGGAGGAATTTGCGAGTGTTGACAAATCATCTATGGTTCTCGACGATGTGTTATCCGCCAGTGTTCCGAATGAAGCTACACCTTCCAAGTCAGCAGATCTTCCCATTCCTTCTCCTCTTCCAGTGAAGACTACTCGGTGTGGGAGACACGTCCGTTGGCCTGCTCGGTATGTCCAGTATTTTGCAGTTAGTTGAAGCTACCATGTATATATTTGGGTATCGATTGTTTCCTTTTTCCAAGTCCAATCTAGAGGGGGACTATGTAGTGTTCCATACACCCATTTATTGTGGGGTCAACAAACTTTTATTTATATCGGCACTTCCTTTTTTGACCTTTTTGGTGTCTCTAGTTCTTTCTTTTCTTCTGCCTTCTTCTCTTTCATTTGGTTCTTCTCCTGTTCCTTCCTTTTCTGAGCCTGTCTCTCTTGTCGCTTGTGTTCCTTGGCTTGTTGTTCATCCATCTTGGAGAGCAGAAAGTTGGTATAAATACTGCTCTTCTGAAGCAGATGCTGAAGCCTCTTGTACCTCTGCTCCTCCAGTTCTGTCTTCCAACTATCACCAGACTCCATCTCTTGTGATTTTTGCTCTTCTTCTGCATTCTGTTTCAGCTTTTCTTCTTCAGCACGCATACTGTCTGTGATGATCATATCCCCATCAGTACTCATGCTTACATCGCTGTTCTGCCCAGAGCTACTGGCAGGAGAGGTCCTACCAGATGTACCTCCTGGCATCTGACTGTCACTAGCTTCAGAACCGGTCGATGCCATTTCTGCTTCTCGAAGTTTCTCTGGTGTTAAGGCTCCTGAGTGGCAGGAGGGGAGTGATTCCATCACTTCATCTGATTCTGAGCACTTGTCAACAACTTCCAGAGGAACATCCCCCTGTTGCTCAGACATCATGAAATCCCTGGTTGAAAGACTGCCTACGGAAAACTGGAATTAAGGAGACTGGAAATGATCCAAAACTTGAAGTGTCTTCTCGACGAATTCACTACGTAGTCTCGACGATGAAACACTCGATCAATTCAACAAGGCAAATGCAATACACAATCTTGTTGGAAGCTTCAACGAAAACCGAAACTATCAGGAATATATATACAATAATAAGATGTGCTCAGAAACAAAATGGCTGCCTCTGGCTAGCCCAAGCGTAAACCGAAGAAAATGAATGAATAGCCTACTTGGCGAATTAAACAAATAAAGACTCGTATTTAATCCAGCGAGGAAAAAAATACTACCGCGGACGATTCAATAAACCGAGAAAAAATACAAAGTCGCAAAAGTCGTACGCGATATGTATGAAGTAAGGAAATGACTAAAACCGTGGACACGTGTAGCTCTGATGAGTACATACGGAATGAGTGGCGATAATCACGCTGCTAGCCAAAACACAAGACTATGGAACGCCGTGATTGGCGCTTAGAGAAAAACAAACCATGGAGACCACAAATGTCATATCACAGGTGCACGTAATTTACAAAACAAAAAGGAAGTGCCGATATAAATAAAAGTTTGTTGACCCCACAATAAATGGGTGTATGGAACACTACACATGCACGCTACAAAAAATGAAATCATACATATGGGGAAGAAAGAAAGAGAAAGAGAGAGAGCAATAGATATCAACAGACAAACAATAATCATGAGAGGGCTACATCGAGGAGAGAGTCTGGGTAGGGAGGGAGGAAAAGATAGATAGTAATAGCCATGAAGAAAGAAAGAAGGGCGGGAGAGGAGAAGGGACAGAGTGGGGGATAGTAGGGATAAGGGGTAAGAGATGGGGAAGGAATAAGCAGGACAGAGAGAGGGAGGATAGTGTGAGACAGAGAGAGAGAGAGAAAGGGGGCAAATAGAGAAACAGAAATAGAGAGAAGATATCAAGAGCTCTTACCGTTGGATTTGACGGATCACTGACATAGAACAGATCAGATATTTGATAAGGATTCTCCTTGAGTTGGTAGGAAGCATGGTAGCCATCCACATCTCCGAACACAGGATCCCAGGACAAAGTCAACGCTGCTGCCTCTGGCACGACATCAACATCACTCACTGCACTTGGTACTAGGGATAAATGAGAATAATAAAAGTAATAGAAATGATAATCATTATAATAATAATAGAGAATGTTTGTAATTCACCATGTCTGTCACAGCTTACACTTCTGATGCAATTGTGAGAAATATTGCACAATCGTAGGTATACAAGGTAAAAATATCGTAGGTAAAAATAATCCTAAAACAATCTGAAGAATAGCTTAAAACTCCTGGCACTCAAGTAACTTACTAATTTTTCTTCTTATCATTATTCTTATCATTATTACTATTAATATCGTCATTATTGTTATTATTTTTATCATTATTACATAATATTACCATCACTATTATTAATAACATCCACATTATCATAATTTTCATAATTCTCATAATTCTCATTAATTGCATACTTCAATAATGTAAAATGGTGAAGGGACATGTTACGACATCCTATAAGTGTATATCATCCACTGAGAGCACAAAGAGCATTACCTCTGTGTCAAATTATACAAGTTAATTTCCTTCTGCCTCTGAACAACAGACAAGCACTTACATGTTCTTTGTTCAACTGTATCACTTTGCCCAGTTCCCGTTGCAGAGACCTCGATCTGATAATTCCTTCCTGGTACCAAGCGATGCTCAGTTCTCTCATAGTCTCCATTGAGGATGGTTCCTGATGATATCTCCACACCTGATGTCACTTCAGACACCTAGACAATAATAGTAATAATAATAATAGAAATAATAACAATTATAGTAAAAAAATAATAGGTAATAATGTTAAAAATACTTCTAACAATAAAAATCATAATAATAATAATAATCATCATAATAATATTAACAATACTACTATGAGAATTATTAATAATAACAATTATAATAATCATAATGATAATAATAATCATAATAATAGTCATATTAATTTTGACAATGTATCAATGCGAGAGCGTACTCTGCTTTGAAGGTTATAGGAGATCAAAATTAGACCAAGTGCCAGGGTCATTAAACTACTTAAACTACTACAACAAACTTTTACAGCAGACAAATATACATGTAGATGTGCAATACAATTCCAAAATACCACTTTTAGATTTGTTGGTGCTTTCAAGTTTCGAAATTATACAGAAGAAAGTACAAACTTTCAGGAAATGCTAAAAGTTCAATTTCTACCATCATGACCAAACGCTCCTTTAGTGAGCTCGAACTGAAAGTCGCACCATGTGACTTTCTGGTGGTTTTGAGGTGCCTGGTCACATATTATCTTACCCGTGTGACGTAGCTTGAGGCTCCAACAGCCGGCTGCCATTCAATGGTAAACGAAGTCTGATTCACAAACTTGGCTACGATGTTCAGACTAGATGTACTCACTGTAATCAGAGAAAGAACATATACATGTATAAAAATAAATTGGCAAATGACTATCTCTCAAGGTATCTTCTCCCTGATCCGGGGGTGATAGTGAGCACTATCCCCCACCCCCCTTATTTTTATTCAAAGGGGGCTTGAGTAAAAAAATATATTAAAAAAGGGTCAGGGGAAAAAAAGGCATCTAACGACATTCCTCCCCTTTTGAGTAAGAATATTGGTAAAAAATAGGGAAAATGAGGAAAAAGAAGGGAAAAGAAGGGGAAAATCTGTAAAATATGGGTAAAATCAGGGGGGGGGGAAAATCGGGGGAATAAAAATTGGGTTATTATCAGGCCTGCTGATCAGATGTTGATCATAACATTTTCCACACATCTTTCCTCTCTGTGATTCTAGTACATTCTTGCAGCCTCGTTCCACTCAACGTCCTAATTCCCAATCGACTAAAATATGCCTACAATAACCCTGAATTATTAGTAGTATAACGAGCCTGAATTAGTCCCCAATCTTACAGAATTACCCGGGATCACAAGCCTTCCAGGGAACCCTGTAATCTGTTACGACTTACCTGTGGTACCAATTTTTGTCACAATATTACTGCGAGTCGTCACGTCATCATACTCCACAAACGCAGAGATTTTAATACTGTAGGAAGTGCCTGGAGTCAGTCCCTTAAGGGTTACAGATTCCTGATGACGGGGTAAGACACTGGTAGCAGGGGTGCGACCAAGCTCCGTCGAAAAACCGGTCCCTTCGTACTCCAAGATGTATCCAAAGAACTGCTCCTGGCTAGGTGCAGACCAGCTCAGTGTAATGGTGGAAGTCATCTCCTCCGTTACTGCTACATTGCCTGGAGGCTGAGGGGCTAGAAAAATACAAAGCCATGTGATTATACATGATGAACATATATTTTCATATATAGTTTCAAGACTACACCAAAAGTCCTTTTCAGGACTACACACCCTCAAGAAAGATTACAGAGAGTCCTTTTCAGGACTTCTCAATCCTCCCTCTCTCTCTCACATGGTGCATCCGCAAACCTACTGTGTTTCATGTACATGTTAATATGAAATGAATATAAAGTTCTATTTGAGTTTTTTAAAAACAACAGCTTGACGATATTCACATTAGGAGTCAAATTAATGGATTGCTGGAAGGTAGTGGCGTGAAAAGAGGCACCTGGAACGCAAAATTCATAATGGCTACAATCACACACTTTATTGCGCACAGGTAGGAAAACATCTTTATCTAGATTAGACATAATATTACCCAAACAGTGACTTGGATACAAGTAAGTAAAATTCATCTGTTTAAAGCCAGAATGGTATTTATTCTGTGTTTCAGTATATAAATTACCGCTTTTCTTGCTCCAAAACGACAAATTTTAATCCTATGATATCAATGCCAATGAGGGTTTAGTCTCTTTAAGTGCCGCTGTATAAGCTACCTTCATTAACTGTAATATGCCAACATAAAGAAAATAGATGAGAATGCTTACTTGTGACATGGGAGACACTGCTAGACAGGAACTGGACATTGTTGGTAAGGACCGAGAAGAGACGGAATGTGTATTGAGAACCAGGCATCAGTCCTGAAATGGCGACAGGGCCAGGTATACCGGTCTCGATGGGAGAGATTGGGTCACCGTTGTTTGGGTCATAGATCAACATGTACCTCTGAATAGATCCCGCTTCTCGGTCCCAGTCTAGGGAGACATCGGACGTGGGATCGGGTAAAGCTTGCAGGGCTAGGAGAGCAGACCCTGAGGGCATATGCAGAACAAAAACTAATGAATTATCTTCAATCCAATACAATTATTTTATTTTCACTTAGCTGCATAAAGACAAGATTTTTGAAAATGACAAAAAAATACAAAGAAAATAACATTAATTCGATACAGATAATACTGTGCTGGATAAGACAGCAGCCCAAAAAGAAAGAAAATGCATTTATTACTAAAGGGCTGCGATAATGTAATGTAATGTGTGCTATAAAAAAAAGATGAATAAAACTTGAACTTGAACTTGATAAACCACTGTGGTATATGACAGTGTGTTGTGTGTAATACATAAATGGCAAGTGGGGATGACAGAGTAGCTGTTCGCAACAAAGGTCCTGCAATGTACATGTGCAGCACTTACTTATCTGTGCGGGTGAGCCTACATGCAAGTACGCTTAAACTTCTACCGTTTACCTTGGCATTTGTGAGCAAACGTTTGGAGGCTGATGCACCAGATTCACATTATTCAATATAACTTATAAATTGTATTTTACTAAAATAAAAAAGTATTCAGCACGTAATACAAATGTCTCTGCATGGGCCCATTACAGATATCATGACCTCAGTTTTTAATGTCACAGAGGGTACATGTATGTGCACCATCTCCACTCCTTGGAAAGAGTATAGTAAACATTGACTGATGGCTTGGTACAATAACTGCACACATCCTCAACTCAAGTGCTGACAGATCGTATAATAAACTCCTTCGCATGCATCATAGAGGTGGGGTGGTTGAGTGGATATGTCATCGGACTGTGGATCACAAGGGCCGCGGTTTGATTCCCGCCGCGGCACTAATGTCCTTCGGCAACACATTAATTTACATTTGCCACACTCTACCCAGGTGAGGTAAATGGGTACCTAGCAGGAATTAATTCCTTGAAATGCTAAAACGCTGTAACGGTAGCTGGGCTAAAGCCGGGGTAGCAATTTCAAAATTTGGAAGGGTATAGAGACGTTTAAATGTGACATGTGCTATACAATTATTGAATATTATTTGTACACCATGTGTATTTATAATAGTCTTTCATAGGCATTGACTGGGTATAATCACTAGCACTCACTTGTAGTAACAGTCAACTCCAGAGGCTCACTGAAGGTGTCTTCGCCAGCCTGGGTACGAAGTAGAATGACGTACTCGGTGGCTGTAGCAAGGTTCTCCAGGACCAAACTGGTCTCATCGGTTGCTACGTCAGGCAAGGTGACCTTAGCACCATTCTCTGGAGTGTAGGAGAGTTCATAGCTATCAAAGTTGCCTGATGGAGGACGAAGCCAGGAGAGAGAGATTTCATCGGCTGTGACCAGAGTATCCATGAAGCTGGATGGTTGTCGAGGAACTGTAGGATAGTAATAATAATAACAACAATAACAATAATAATATCGAATATTTAGGAGCGCTAAAAACAATAAGTACCATAGCGCTTAAACAATGAATACTTCAAACTTTTGTTAAACGACTCTAAGGATGGGGATTGATGAATTCTAATGGGTAAACTATTACATAACTTAGGGGCTGCAACAGCAAAAGCATGATCACCGTAATGAACGTGATGGAACAATAGGTTTGAGAAGGTCATTTACATATGATAGAGCATACCCATGTTTAATTTTGAATACTATCAAAAAGAAAAAAATCACGATAACAATTAATACCATATTATTATTATTATTTTTTTTTTTTAATCTTTGCTTTACATTATGCTATGAATGCTTTGGGAACTTTGCTTGTACAAGGCCTAAGGGCTTTATTTATGTAGTTCCCCATTGCATTTCTAAATTTGAACATGAATAATTTTATATCTTTTGTATGAATGTAATTTTTAATCGAGAATGAAATAAATGCGAATTCAATTCAATTCAATTCAATAATAATAATACTACTAACAATACTAATAAAATTACTACTAATAATAACAATAAAAAGAAGAAGAATCTCTATTTTTGTCTGTATGTTTGTACATGTATGTATGTACATACATTCTAGTAATAAATAAAGAATATAAAGACTTACTGGTTCGGATATCCAAAGGATCCGATGTAACGGAAGAACCTGTGACCTGTACCTGGGCTCGATACAGAGTCCCGGATGTTAGACCAGTAAAGACAAACTTTGTAGAACCGGCTGTATAGATTAAAGTAGAGGTTCATTGATTTTTAATATTGATTTAATTTGTATCATTGCAAAAGGGAAGGTGGAATCAAACAAGTTTATAAAAATTCCCCACTTGGAAACATTCAAAGTAACAATCTTTATCGATTGGATATACCAGATTTGTGAGATCACTCAAGAGACAGAATTAGCATGGGCATCTGATGTCCCATAACAATGCAAATATTTTCAAAGTCTATTTCATCGTCTCCTCATCACCTATTATTACTTACTTCACCAGCATCATTGTAACTGTTTGATCTGTTGCCTCACTCTAAATTTCGGACATGACTTTATTTGATTAAAAAATTCGGCATTATGAAAAGAAGAAATCAGTATTAGCTGCATTGTGGCTTGTAAGAATGATGTCATTGTAGCTACATACACAAACGCATGCGGCATGGCATATGTGCAGTATTTCAAACAAACACAATCCTTTCTAAACAGGAATGAACAACATCCATTTCATTGTACTGATAAGTCCTATAGTAGAACCGTCACTTGTCAATTATCTTTTTTAAATGGAAGGATTGACATATTTTCATCAGGAACACTGACATGTCCTATAGAAGGACCATTACTAGTCAATTATTTGTTAAAGAAAGTATAGTGTATAAATCTTACCAACAGGTACACTAACAAGTCCTATGGTAGAACTGTCACTTGTCAATTATTTGTCAGAGAAAGTATAGTGTATAAATCTTACCAACAGGTACACTAACAAGTCCTATGGTAGAACTGTCACTTGTCAATTATTTGTCAGAGAAAGTATAGTGTATAAATCTTACCAACAGGTACACTAACAAGTCCTATGGTAGAACTGTCACTTGTCAATTATTTGTCAGAGAAAGTATAGTGTATAAATCTTACCAACAGGTACACTAACAAGTCCTATGGTAGAACTGTCACTTATCAATTATTTGTCAGAGAAAGTATAGTGTATAAATCTTACCAACAGGTACACTAACAAGTCCTATGGTAGAACTGTCACTTGTCAATTATTTGTCAGAGAAAGTATAGTGTATAAATCTTACCAACAGGTACACTAACAAGTCCTATGGTAGAACTGTCACTTATCAATTATTTGTCAGAGAAAGTATAGTGTATAAATCTTACCAACAGGTACACTAACAAGTCCTATGGTAGAACTGTCACTTGTCAATTATTTGTCAGAGAAAGTATAGTGTATAAATCTTACCAACAGCGCTTTGTAACTGCAAGGAAAAGGCGCTATATCAAATATCTTTTTGATTGGATTGGAACAGGAATATACTGACATGTCCTATAGTAGGACTGTCACTTTTCAATAGTAGAACCGTCACTTATCAATTATTTGTCAGAGAAAGTATAGTGTATAAATCTTACCAACAGGAATAATGATGAGTCCTATAGTAATACCATCACTTGTCAAAGATAAGGTATAGCCTGAAGGGGCTACAAGTGCTGGTCCAAATGCTACACCGATTGTCGTCTCAGTCACAGAATAGGTCTCCAAATCCAGAGCGTCAAGAGATACTAATAACAAATATAAGAAAGTAAATAAATGAATGAATGAATAAATAAATAAATAACTAAACAAATAAATAAATTCATGATAATAATATATTTAAAAACAATAATGATCACAGTAATAATATTACTATTAATGATAGTACTGTCTGGTGTTTAGAAATATTGAGAAACTCTTTACATAACCTGTGACTGCATAGTGATACATAAAATCATCTGAGCAACATCAAACCAATTTGATCTGCCTGCTTGCATAGGGGCTCTCTAATACAGGGACTCCTAGGTCCTGTTTCATGAAACTTGATATCAATAACAAGTTACAAGCTACTGAAATCATGGCATCTGATTGGCTGAGAGCACATTTGTCATAGCAATTTAGCCGTCGTTATAGATAACAAGTTTTATAAAACAGGCCCCTGGTGTGACCAGCTGTCACCAATAATCTGTACATACAATACCTGAGCCATGCTGCATAGAACTTCAACCACTGATATAGCAATATCTCTCATCCAACAGCCAATAAAATTAAGGTCTCCATGGAAGTTTAATGGCAAAGTTAACATCGATGCTAAGTTTTATGCATTTGGGTCTTGAACTGGTCATTGATCGTAATTGCACGAAATATGCCAATTAAAAAAAATTATAAATCTCTTTCACCTGTTGAAACAGTAGCTTCAGTGACTTCGCTACGGACCTCTGAATCCTGCCCGAAACCGGCAACAGCGTAGACAGACACGGTGTATTCCTGATTTGGGTCCAAGTCCTGTATCAATCAAACAAATGAGAGCATCAGCACAGACAGTTATGACTATTCAGTTGAGTAACCTCTCATATTGATGGCATTAACAGACATAATGTACATGAATACTGGATTAATGGACAGTTAAAATATCATCATCGTTATCATGATTTGGCTCTCTCAGGAAAGCGAACAATGACACTGACAACTACATAATCATATGGTTACAACTAATGTATATACATTGTTTAGGAATCAGTAATTTTGATGGTAAACCCACCTCAATAAGAAGTTCTGTCGTATCTGGATCGTCTAGTCTAGATGTTAGTCTTTCTACATTGTCTTGTCCTGCGATATACACGGCATAGCCATCATACATCCCACTCGCTGGTTGGTTCCAAGAAATGCTGAATGATATAGCGGTTGGTTCCCCAGTCAAAGCTAGATTTCTGACTACGAAAGGAACTACACAAGAACCAGAAAAACACACGATTTATTAGAAGTGCATGGGACTATGCAGGAACAGTGAGAAAACATCAGATGGATGTTGGTACTAATCATGGATAGTGAAAACAGGGTGACATACATGTTGGTACTAATCATGGATAGTGAAAACAAGGTGACACATATGTTGGTACTAATCATGGATAGTGAAAACAGGGTGACATGCATGTTGGTACTAATCATGGATAGTGGATACATGGTGAAGTGCATGTTGGTACTGATTATGGATAGTAAAAACACGTTTGCATGCATGTTTGGTACTAATCATGGATAGTGAAAACATGGTGACATGCATGTTGGTACTAGGCATCAACATTTGAGACATGTTAAAAGCATTTGGAACTGAGGAAAATCAATACAACTATGAATAATTACAAGTGGGAAGATGCAGGAATAGTGAAAATGCAGTTATGAAAATGCATGTTGGTACTAGGCATCAACATTTGAGACATGTTAAAAGCATTTGGAACTGAGGAAAATCAATACAACTATGAATAATTACAAGTGGGAAGATGCAGGAATAGTGAAAATGCATGTCTGTAAAGCACTCAGAGATATTGTCATCTAATAAATGCTTTAACCTAGAATATCAGTACCATTATTATTTTTGGGCTGAGAAAATTAATAATTATTACGTATTTGCATGTGCAACTAGAAAATTCAGACACCAATCAGTTTGAAGTTTATATATTTATTCAAGATGGTGCTTTCCCATTCAATAAACCATCAACTTCTTTATATTGTTGAGAAATAAAACAATTTTGAGATAAAAATAAAGGTATTTTTTTAAAGTGGAGTGGTTCGTAGACAGCCTACAATTTTCGTTATGGGATTGACTTACTTGTCCTGACATTTAAAATTCCACTATCTTGCTGGTAGTTTTCTGCCACTACAAAAACATTGTAAAGCTGACCGGCTACCAAAGATGTTCCTCTGATGTTTCGATCCTGAGTGATGAGGGGAGTGGTATCGGTTAGTCCTTCAGTATTGAAAGATACCCGGTAGACCCCTGGGTTAGGTCTAGGACTAGCTCCCCAGGCCACCTCAAGACTATCCGTGGTTCTGTCTATGTAGATCACCTCTAGAGCTCCAAGAGAATCTACAAAGCAGGACAAAAATGTTAACATCAATCACTATCAACAACCTTACGATTTTGTTTCTTATCTAGTGTGTTTTCATTATAAATTATCATATTTACCATACTTATAATAATAATGTTTTATTTACCCAGGGTAGCCACTTCAGTTATGAAACTGCTCTTCCAGCGGGCCCTGCATAACATAATATGTTACTACTACCCTTCTCCAATCTAATATGCTGAACGCCTAGCTAGAAGGCAGAAGGTCCCATTGTTATAAGTCTTTGGTATGACTTGTGAGGCAGGCGCTCTAACCACTGAGCCACCATGCCCAGTATTTAAATTTTTTATTTTTTGTAATGCTCACTCGCTTGCAAATTTTATAAACAAATATCTCCATATGTGTGTACATGGAGTGTGATAAGTGTCAGGACGATGCAAAATGAATGTTCTTGAGTGAATTTGGGGTTAGGCTGTGAAACTTTTTATTCCATAAAAGGGTGTAATGACTATAAAAAGGTTGTAAACACAGGTCTAGTGGATAAGTCCCAGACCATCAAGCTCTAGGTTCAGGGTTCGTATCCCTGTCATAGCACTAGTGTCCTTTGGCAAGTCATTTATCTACGTTTGCCACTCTCCTTCCAAATGAAGTCAATATTACACTAAATATCAACAATTTTTATATTTAACAAACACGTATAGTGTGTAATTCCAATTATTATGAACTATAGAAATAAAACGTTACAGTTATTAAAGAGAAGGTTAAGTTCTGGGAAGAGGTGAAAAATAATTTGAAATAATTTGTGAGCGTTATCATTGTATTATGCAATTGTGGAGGAACATCAGATAACAAAATGTTCCCTGAGAAGCATGGCTCTTCAAATGCCTTACTATTCTAAATATAGCATGTAACATCCTAAAAATCGGGACACATTTTTATGCCACATGTTTGTGCAGTCCTATATACTTCTTTCTGTGTACAGTGCTTGTAACTTTACCAATGCTAGGCCAAATTTCTTATCATTTTGATGATTCCAGAACCTTTCAGTACACACCAATACTTATATGCTAAATGAGCAAATTTTTCTGAACGATTCCACAACGTTTCTTCCACAATGCAATCGCATGACCAGAACTGGTCTATACCTTTAAAACCATCAGAACTCAACTTTATCTTTATTGTTATTTTGTGATTCCAGACTTACTAGTTATTCCTTGAGCACTAGCCGGTTCACTGCGGATCAAGTCTTCCCCAGTCCCCACCGTGGCATAGACCTGGATGTCGTACTGGTTTCCTGGAAGAAGTTCCGTAACTTCTCGGACGGCGTCCAAGGGTCCCAGGGCGATCTCTGGTCTCTTGGTGCCATCGGGGTTGGTGATGACGAGAAGGAAGTTATGGTAGACTCCTTGCGGTTGGGTCCAGATCACATCGAACGAGGTAACAGTGGGGTTTTGCGTCAGAACGGTGGCAGGAGCTACAGGCTCTGTGCACACAAGGAAGGTATTGTAAATTGTGAATATTGATATGAATTACAAATTGTAAGTATAGATAGATAGTCAATTTTTTTCATTCATCATGAAAAACATAAAATAACATACAATATTGCATACATATACAGTCAAAATAACATACATTACAAAGATAATCATACAATATGATATACATGATCAAGGTAATCTGGACAAAATATAGGGAAAAGTAAGTATTTATGTGAATGAGGAGACAGCTAGAAGGGAAATGCCTGATTAGTGCTGCCACCTACACAAAAAAACTGAAACTCAAAATTTGAAATTAGGATAAGATAAGAGGATACTATAACAAGACCAGATGGAAAATAATGTTTCCCATATGTGACGGCCTCCCCATCCTCTGACAATTTCCATTACGTTTTATGACTTTGGGAGATTTTGTAAGTTCATTTTCCATGACTATCCAGAAGAATTATTTTGTCATGATTTCCAAGTTTTTCCCCATGACGATGGGAACACGGTCAACTCTGCAATCCAACTTACTAGTCCTCTGCTCTATAGTCGTGTCTTCTTGTGAATCGAGAGTGATCTCATAATTCACTCCGGGATTCAGCGTGTCAAAGGTCACTCGAGAGCTCTCCGATGGTAGCAAATTGACTGTTATATCCCTGGGAGCGTTGCCATCGAGGTTTCTCAGGGTGATGCTGTAGCCAGTAGCGTCTTCCCTCTTACCAAAGATGACTGTGATTGAGGTGGATGTGAAGGCAGTAACTGCGATCTCGTTCGCGTCCAGAGCATCTGGAAGGCAAAAGTGATAAAAAAAACATAGATAAATAATGAAAATGGAAGATGTGAGTTGGTCTATCGGTTTGTTAACTTGGTCAGCTCTCTGTCTTCACCTACAAACAGACTCAAGCAAGCCCTGGTTTGAAACTGAGTCACATCTTTTGGATGTGGCATGAAATGTGAGTCCCCAGATGTAAATAATCAGATCTAATTGATACCCAATGCACACACGCATTGTCGTTCTTTGTGCATCAGTTTGGAAGATTTTCATAGAAGAAATGTCCTCTGAAACGGATCTTTCTGCAAATTCCCTCGTATTTGAAATAAAATGAACATTATCTAACACTTTTGGACCAAACATTCATGGACAAGTGCTGTAGTAACATATTATACTCATGTGTGTATGCATTGCATGTGACCTTCAGCAAGACTTTGTCAATGTCTCATTAACGTCATCATTCCAAATCCTCACAGTAGACATCAAATTTTAAATCATACATAATCAACCTTTCCTTTTTGCTTCGGCTTCGGCAGTTTCTTTCATATTGCCCTTCTGTAACCAGTATTCAACTTTATCTTAAAACCCCACTGCACTACTTATAGCGACTTGCGCCCTCTCTTTAGCAAACAATGCCTAATCAGTGACCATTGGTCCACCATGGTCCTCTTTTTCTTAGTGAGAGCTGATTTGATGAGATAACCACCTGTCAGTGACCTTGCAGGGTGGTCTAATCCCTCCTGTAAACTAGTACAGATGGGCTTTAAAAAGACACACGGTTAAAACCATTAAAAACATACCTGTTCTGACATCTAGTGTTGAGGTCTCGCAGCTGGTCAATTCTTGAGTTCCAAAGAAACTGATCGTCTCTATACTGACAGTGTAGAGGACATTAGCATCCAGCTCAGTGATAGAAAGACGTCTTTCCTCAGTGGCGGAGATTGGTGGATATGCCTAAGTATACAACAATAGAGGTGTTGTGGATAAATCATTGGACTATAGATCAAAAAGTACGGATCCAGGTACTAATGTCCTTTGGCAAGATACTAATCTACATGTTGCCACTGTTTCTGGTTTTAGAGTTGCACCCTAACTGTATCATGTATTTACTACAATAAAATAATGCCATAAACAGTATTTATTAAATGCTGAAGAATCAATTTCAATTTGTGTTGAGGACCCATACGAATCAGAAAGTTTACATTCATTAAAATAATCATATTAAAACAAGAATCCATATACATATTTATTTTATTTATATTCTTATTCATATGTAGGTATATATACGTATACGTATACACATTCATGATCATAATCATAATCATAATAATATTCAAATTCATATTCATCAACTAATGAATATTCATATTCACACACTTATTGGTTGAGGACATACCTTTGGCAGGCCGTTTTCAGATGTGACATAGACACGATAACTGTCAAAGTTCCCTTGGGCTGGTAGCCAGTTGACATCAATCGTCGTAGTTGTCTTGTCGACGACAGTAATAGTGCCAGCACCGCTTGGACCTGTGTACAACAACAAAAAACAAAAGCATTATAATGTGTATCTGCAACACATTATTTTAAGAGTCTGCGTGTATGTCTTCAAAATTCTAAATCATATGGAACCTGAGTATCTTATTGACATCCTCCAAACATATACACCAGCTCATAACCTTCGCTTAACAGCTGACAATTAGTGTAAACTAATAATTCCCAAATCCAAACTCTCCCAAATAACGTTTTTAATACCCTACTTTCCATGAGGGATTTATGTTCAAATGCTCTTTACAATAATTATTAACAGAAGAGGTAAGTTTTGAGATAAGTTTGAAGGCATTGAGAGATTGCTGGTGGCAAAGAAATCTGGGTAAGTGATTCCACAGGTTGAGAGCTGCAGTTGTGAATGCTCCGTCACCAAGTGTGGCTAGCATCCTATTTATTTATTTATTTATTTATTTCTGATATTTATACAGGATGGCACATATCACCAATTTAGTGGTCTTCCATGAAGCCTTGAATAAAACAAATAACAGCATCAACAACAAAATAGATAAATACACAAGCATATAAACAGGTAAAATACAAATTAATTGGTATCCCCATGAAATAACTGAACATTCAAGAATCATCCTTGATCATTAACAAGAAATAGGTGAATGGCATTTTCAAATTGAATAGATCTTGGGCGACTTTTGCAGAATTTTATGAAAATAATAAGCGAGATCCAGAAACTTACGGGTCTGCTGAATGAGGGGCAAATACTCAGACTGAGAATTAGACTCAAAAGCTACAACAGTGACTGAAATGGAGTAAGCAGTGGCCGGGTTAAGTCCTGAGAAGATGTACTCCGTAGTTCGCCTGAAGTCATCATTGGCTGGGCCGGGCTGGATTCCTATGCGGTACAGCATGTCGTCCGGGTCAGGTGCCCAAAATATCTGGATAGTGTCACAGGTGATGGCAGCCGCTACAACCGTCAAGGCTGGGACAGCTCCTAATGAGATTTCATAAAAAGTATGGCATCAATGGAAGACTGTGGAACCAACTACCTAATGATGTGCAGACGGCCTCATCTGTTGACCAGTTCCAGAAATTACTCAAGTCACATCTATTCTGCTATAAATTACTTTCTTACCAGCCTACATATACTTGAATGATCTCTGAGAAGTGACTAAATTTTGTTTTTAAGTGGCCCAAACATTGTGGAGCGGTGTGTGTGCAGCGCTTTGTAACCGTAAGAAAAAGGCGCTATATCAAATATGTTTTTGGATGGATGGATCAATGGACTGATAACAATATCTACTGTTGTTCATAAAGTTGGAACAATATTGTCCTACCACTTTTCATGAAATGATTGTGACCGTATGGTTTACATGTATTTTTCATTGGTAAAGTGTATATCTTCTCAGAACTGTATTGATCAATCTAAAGATTCAGAGAGTTTGTTCAACAAAGTTCTGAGAAGATATAAACTCTATCTGTCAACAATAAATCATACAGTCACAATCATTTCAAGAAAAGAGACAAGAAAAAATGTTTAAACTTTATGGGCAACAATGTAAAAAGGAAGAATTGTGAGACATACAAAAAATAACAATACAAAAAAAGAGGATAAGCAAGTAGAAGTTTGAACGGAAAAAACATATGTGTATATAATGTACATACATGAGATGTACATGTGTAGATTTCCAGTTGGAATAAGCTAATAAGTTACACACTGTTGGCAAGTTGACCATGAGATGGCACTGTGCAACAAAATGTTAATACCCTGGGGTAGAAAGTTCATAATTTCATTATTGCTTTAAAAATGGGTTGCCGTACTAGTAGGCATATTCGCGCCTTGTTCCTTTTAGTTTCTGTTTATATTGATCGATTTCGGCTTTATGTACATTCTTGCGTTTTACTCTGATGAGTGCAAGACGAAAAGCTTAAGTATGGCTCTTTTCAACGCGATTCTCTGACTTACTAGTAGTGAAAGTGTCCTCTACTGCCTGGCTGGCCGTGAACTCTGTTGGCGTTCCGCTTTTAGCCGTCAGACTGAAATCATACGATGTGCCAGGCTGTAACTCTTCAACGGTAACCGAGTCTTCATTACCTGCTATGGTCCTCATGTTGGGTGACTGGAAGAAAAAAAATGTTAACAAAATTGCTAAGTCGACGATCATGATAGTTGTAATTGTAATTGATCTTTATTTCATTCATCATCAAAAACATTTAAAATACGAAACATAGTTAAAGGTAAAGACCAGTATTGGAATCGCCCCAATTTCAAAAAATGAAATGGAAGCTCTTATTACCAATCATGTGAAAGTATATGTTTTGACTAATACATGACGATAAAAATTTTGCCGGGAAACTGCCTACTAAATGATATATTTGGTAAATTAGTTTATCTACATGGTCTGTGAGAGATAAACGCACGTGTCACGCACATGTGCGTATAGTCTCATATACATCTTTCTGTGTACAGTGCTTGTAACTTTACGAAGACTGGGCCAAATTTCTTATCATTTTGATGATTCCAGAACCTTGCAGTACACACCAATACTTATATGCTAGATGATCAATCTTTTCTGATCGATTCCACAATGTTTCTTTCACAATGCAATCGCATGACCATAACTAGTTTTTACCTTTAAAGAGAAACATTTACAAAATAATACAACAAAAATGTTAGATGAATGTGGAGACAGCTAGGGAAGCCAAAGCCTTACTATCAACTATCGCCTATTATCTGTTGATACCTGAAATGGCCTTTGCATTTGCACAACACAAAATACAATGACGCATACAACAAAGAAAACACAGAACAAAATCAGGCCGAGGGAAATGTATATGTACAAGTTTTTTAGATAGGAGGGACTCATTCATATCTAATTGTGAAGAAATAATAAATTTTCAAATAATAATTTTGGTACCTTTTTTGCTTTATTATTATCTCTTAATTCACATCCATATTCACATGACTTATAAAAAACGAAGAACAATGGACAATCTGCTTCCAAAGCTACCTCAACAAAAATACAAAAGTAACACTTGGAGATTGCGCTTTCTGTTGTGCAGCTTGAAGCTTTGGGAAAACCTACTACTAGACATTAGAAAAGCCTCATCTGTTGCTATCTTCAAAGTTTTGTTGATGATGTACTTGTCTTCAGAAACCTTTGAATAGTTTATGATTGTGTATCCATAGAGTAGCACTGTCATCACAGCGCAGTAGAGTATATTTATATAATAGCTGTGCTATATAAATTGATCTAATTATCATTACCAGGTCACTTCCATCTGACTTTTCGTAGGTGAGAGTGAAGAAGTCAAAGCGACTAAGGGGAGCCTCAAAGGCAAGATCAATTTCGGTGAAATTGCTCCTTGTTGAACGGAGGAATGCCGGTGGATCTGGGTCTGAATAAAAGAAAATATATAGCAATACAAAAACATCATCAACAATACTATAAGTGAGGTTTGGGCAAAAAAAGCATTAATGAAATCCATAGGGTATCTTGAGGAGAACAGAAAGAGCCATAACATGGAAAAATCCCAAGTGAGCTCATGGAAAGGCTGGGTCTGGAAAACACTGTCGTTGAAATGGTAAAGAGAAGTGGACAATGTAAGAGTTAACGGAAGACCAAAGATTTCATGGAAAAATATGGTGAAGAAGGAAAGCAATAAGGTTGGTCTATATGTTGAGGATGCTCGAGACAAGAAGTGGAGGGAGTGCCATCATGGTATGAGTGATATATTGTCAAGTTACGAATATTCAATTATTATGTACTAGCTGATATCAACTTTTAAAAAACATCATCGTTAACAGAAATGATTTTTGTTGATGTTACATTCTTTATGTTAAGCATTATTTTTTCAAAGTAGTCAATAAATGAACTTAAACTTGAAATATGGTCACATTATGATAGTGGCCTATTCTGAAACTGGAGGCGCAATAGCTCAGTCGGTAGAGCAGTGGTCTCGTAATCCGGTGACCCGGGTTCGAAACCAATATGATGCGCTAGTGCCCTTTCGTAAGGCATTAATCCTCATTACCAGATCCCTCGGAGAGGACCTAAAGCCGTCGGCAGTCTGGTTGCTTACTGACAAGCATTTTTTGCTTTCTTAGCTGTCAGGTAAAATAACCAATTATCACATACTTGTCCTCTGTACGACCGTAGACACAGGTTCATCTAAAGTGGTCAGTTTGAGTTGAATTGAATACTCCTGTCCCGGTATCAATCTTTCGAATGTAGCTCTAAACACATCTAATCCTCGAATCTAAAAAAGAAAAAAAAAAATATTCATAACAATAATAGTAACAACTAGACTTTAATTCGTCACTTTGACGAATTAGGTGATACGTGCTATTTTGTTATCATGAAAGTGTGCCGATGATGATCTAATGATAATGATCATAAATACGATAAAGACCATGAGTAAGAGTGGTATAGCGCCCCCTTCAGGTATTCGATAGAGATTTGTAGAATCAGGATTTCAGAAAAAGTCGCCTAACACGCAAACTAAGAAAATTCTGACATGTCGCCTTTAATTGAAATTTTCACTAAGATGATGTCAACGAAATGATAAATGATGTACGTCAATATTGTAGATAATTTATTAGCTACACCGTATCAAAATTTGGGAGAACATAGAGTACTCATAAGCTAGATAGTGCCCAAAGATCAATGTCATGAAGATTCATGATGTGAACGAAATTCACCTTCCTTAGGCATAACACGCAAATTAAGAAAATTCTGAAATGTTCACTTTAATTGAATTTTGCACTATGATGACGTCAATGAAATAAAAAGTAGTGTATTTATCTTGAAGGCAATTGCCTCAACTACAAGATACTGAAATTTGGAAGAAAATCAGTCAATATTATGAGAAATACACTAAATTTTCCATAAATATAATGACGTCATAATATGCAATTTAGTATTTTGACTTTCAAGGCCATTATGATGACGTCAAGATGTATTTCATGGCCTAATAAGATATGAAATCATATCTCCGACTCATACTGTATCTAAATATGAAACAAAAATGGCAGTCCTTATTCATCCCGATGTACTTTTTATAGGCATGTTTTTGCCCATATATGCTATGTAATACATTGCCTCGCGCGCACGGATATTTTTCTTGAACGGACGCTCATTCCGTTATTAATAGTGATAAAGAGATGAACATGGTATCAAATTGTTCAGAAAAATATGAGAAATATCCTGTCAAAACAAATATACAAGGAATTATTTTTCGTTCGGCCGTGACAAACGAAAACGCGCAAAAATGCGTGTTTTGCACGATTTTTTATGAAATGCTTATAATGGCCTAAAACGTATGCAAAAAAAATTTGGAATGATTTTGAGCAATTTAAAAATTTAAGCGCGCGTAAACGCGCACATCTAGGCGTGCGCGCATTTTTGCGCGCATTCATTGACCTGAAATTGACCGGACGGATATTGATCTTAATCATGATAAATATGAATGAGAAATTCCTTTTCGTTATGACGATATGATCATAAGTTGATTTTCACAAAATGGCGCCTGGATGACGTCACGATAACCTGGAGTCTTTGAAAAATCACGCAGTTCTAAGTTAGACTAAGATTTATCATCATGGCAAGTTTCATGTTTATGGCTTAATTCATTCTTGAGATATCCTGCGAACAAATTCATGGCAGAATAATAAAAATAATAAAGAAAATCTTGACGAAATCAAAAGGTGATACGTCTACGTACGTATCACCTAATAATCGTCAAACCTGTAAATAAACACCACTCAAAAGAAAAAGGAAAGGTTTTTTTATAGGCAGGAGGTCTTTGCATAGGTTCCTTTAGTACAAATTTAAATTAGAAATTTCTTAAAGGGAAAGGTAAATGCGGTCTTTTTAGATAGGTGGTCTTTCCATAAAGGTGGTCGATAAAGCAGGTGCTGTCATGCATGAAGTAAATATGTGAAACAAAATAAATGAAATGTAATCTCTGACTGAAATGTGTCTCAATTATTAAAGCGGGAATGCACTACTTGTAGCTACTTGCGCTCTCTCTATAACAAACAGTGCCTAATCGGTGACCGCTGGTCCCCCATGATCCCCTTTTTCTTACGTTCAAAATTGAGAGCTGATTTGATGAGAAAACTACCTGTCAGGGACCACGCTGGGTGGTCTAATCCCTCCTGGCCAAACTAGTGTAGTCGGGCTTTAATTATTTAGCAAACTTGATGTTTCCTTGTAATGTGCTTTCCAAAACCCACTGAAATCATCACCAACAGCAGAACGATTCAAACAGAGTTTGAAGACATATCCATTCTTAAACTATATGCATTTACTGAAATGACACTGCCACAAATTGGTAACTTGTATTAACCCTTGGGCTCCTGAATTTTCTTATTCCCATAGACTTAACACAGAGACCCGGTTCTTGTAAGCAGTGGGTTAACTATAACTCTAACTGACTTCAGGATGGGATGACATCTCAAGCGATTTGTATCCAGTGGAAAAGGCATTATATAAATTGCATGTATTTGTATTACTTACCAGAGATATTGCATCTGGAGGCGTGATGCTAAGTTCATAATTTGTCAACTCAGGCAGGTTGTCGCGATCCTCGTAGATTCCCCAAACTAGAGCGATGGAGGTATTTGAGACCGTTGTGACACTCAACTCCAATTGGTCAAAGACTCCTGTTAAAGAAACAGATGAATAAAAATGATAATAATACTTTGTTCTTTTATAGCACATTTCATGTCTATTGACATTTCATTTTTACAATATACATTTATAAAGTACAACACTAATGATAGTAAAAATGCAAATAATTATAATAATAACAATAACAAAAATAATAATTATAATGATTGCTATTTTCTTCGAAGATGAAATGCGCTATATAAGTCTAGGTTATTAGGTGATACGTAACGAAGTCTACGTATCATTTTTTGATTTCGTCAAGATTTTTCTTTATTATTATTATTTATTTTTATTATTCTTCCTCGAATTTGTTCGCAAGATATCTCAAGAATGAATAAAGCCATTATCATGAAACTTGCCATGATGATAGATCTTAGTCTAACTTAGAACTGCATGACTTTTCAATGACTCAAGGTCATCGTGACGTCATCTAGGCGCCATTTTGTGAAAATCAACTTAGGCTATGATCACATCTTCATAACGGAAAGGAAATTCTCATTTATAATTATCAGGATTAAGATCGGTATCCGTCCGGTCAATTTTAGGTCAATAAATGCACGCAAAAATGCGCGTACGCGTTTGTGCGCGCGCATAAAATTTTAAATTGCTCAAAATCGTCTTAAATTTTTTTTGCATACGTTTTAGGCCATTATAAGCATTTTATAAAAAATCGCGCAAAACACGCGTTTTTGCGCGTTTTCGTTCGTCACGGCCGAACGAAAAATAATTACCCCTCAATTTTTTTTGACAGGATATTCCTCATATTTTTCTGAACAATTTGATACCATGTTCATCTTTTTATCACTATTAATAACGGAATGAGCGTCCGTTGAAGATAAATATCCGTGCGTGCGAGCTCATGTATTACATAGCATATATGGGCAAAAACATGCCTATAAAAAGTACATCGGGATGAATAAGGACTGCCAATTTTGTTTCATATTTAGATACAGTATGAGTCGGAGATATGATTTCATATCTTATTAGGCCATTAAATACATCTTGACGTCATCATAATGGCCTTGAAAGTCAAAATACAAAATTGCATATTATGACGTCATTATATTTATGGAAAATTTAGTGTATTTCTCATAATATTGACTGATTTTCTTCCAAATTTCGGTATCTTGTAGTTGAGGCAATTGCCTTCAAGGTAAATACACACTACTTTTTATTTCATTGACGTCATCATAGTACAAAATTCAATTAAAGGCCACATTTCAGAATTTTCTTAATTTGCGTGTTATGCCTAAGGAAGGTGAATTTCGTTCAAATCATGAATCTTCATGACATTGATCTTTGAGCACTATCTAGCTTATTTGTACTCTATATTCTCCCAAATTCTGATACGGTGTAGCTAATAAATTATCTACAATATTGACGTACATCATTTATCATTTCGATGACATCATCATAGTGAAAATTTCAATTAAAGGCGACATGTCAGAATTTTCTTAGTTAGCGTGTTAGGCGACTTTTTCTGAAATCCTGATTCTACAAATCTCTATCGAATACCTGAAGGGGGCGCTATACCACTCTTAATGATGGTCTTTATCGTATTTATGATCATTATCATTAGATCATCATCGGCACACTTTCATGATAACAAAATAGCACGTATCACCTAATTCGTCAAAGTGACGAATTAAAGTCTAGTTATTATTATTATTATAACAAATAGAGATTCATCAATTTACTATGTATTCAAGATTTAAGATGTTGATTCATTGTTTGAAACTATTATACTTGGTATGTGAACTCTTAAACTGAATCTGAAATATTAATATCCCCTGACATCATTAGTGTCACGTGACATGATTACTATCACCTGCCATTTCTTGTGTCACATGACATGATTACTATCACCTGCCATTTCTTGTGTCACATGACATGATTACTATCACCTGCCATTTCTTGTGTCACATGACATGATTACTATCACCTGCCATTTCTTGTGTCACATGACATGATTACTATCACCTGCCATTTCTTGTGTCACATGACATACTGTACTGGCATGCGCACTCACCTGTGGTTAGTGTCCTGGTAACTGGTTCACTCTCCAAGCCTCCAGACAAGGCCTGGACACTCACAATGTAGTCTGTACCAGGATCAAGGTCCTACAAATAGGGGAGGAACACAGGGATTACTATTATGACCTCTTTTGTTTTCAACATGCATATTGAAAGAAGAAAACAAAAAAAGGAATAGGAGAAGAGGAAGAAGGAAAAGAAGACGTAGAAGACAAAGGACAAGGCGGAGACGAACGTTCTGTTATACAATATGTAATTTTCATAATAATATCTATAATGTTCTCTCAGTAACTGTGTTAACTTATTATGGGCGTTCCTAACTCAATTAAGCTATGCTTTTCTGGTTTTTGCCTCCTTCCGTATCTGAACTATTTACTTTAGCGGTATACTCTATGTTGAAATCGTTGTTACATATACAATTTATACACACTGCGTTTCATAACGTAATGTTGAGAAGGAAATAAATGTAAATAAATGAGAGTACCCTGAGAGTATATCTGGGTGGTTGACTAGGAAGGTCAGGTATTACAGTCCTTGTACCATCTAGCGTGTATGTAATACGGTATCCATCATACACGCCTATGGGTGGACTCCACTGCAGCTCTAAGAACAACTGCATCCCAACAGACTCTAGATTCTGTGGCATCTCAGGGACTATATTGAAAGACAAAGACAAAGATATTGACCCATTAGCTACTAAAATATTCAAATACTTTTTGCTTTTGTACAATACTGTCAGGAAAGGAAAATACATCTTATTCCTTTACATTTGTTTTCTACTATCATCCAGCTTTCCATTGAAATAAAGTTGTATTATCATCAGATAGGGTCTTTAAAGACCATCTGCACTAGTTTGGCCAGGGGGGATTAGACATCCCTGCCTGGTCATTGAAAGGTGGTTATCTCATCATATCAGCTCTCAATTAACATAAGAAAAAGAGGATCATTGGGGACCAATGGTCACCGAGTAGACATTATTTGCTATATAGAGGGCTCAAGAAGTTATAAGTAGTGCAGTGGGACTTAAAATCAAAATCACAAATACTCACGTGTCCTTTGACTTGTTGAATTGATATTGACTGTGATAACATACTCCTGGCCTGGTGTCAAACCGGAAAATCTATACGTCGGTGATTGAGCGTAGAGAATGTTTGAGCTAACAGCTACAAACAAAAAATCAAAAGCAGGAACAAGATATTATGAAAGTTGCTGAACAATTTCATCAAGATGGTGATTCGGATGATATATCTGAAAGAGTTCACAGATCCGTGTAAATAATTTTGGATGTGGCACAGAACTTTCTTCCTTATTAAATTGGTTGCAAACTTTCTTTAATACTTTAGATTAATATGCCACATGTCAAGAAATATAAATCAGAAACAAACACATTTTTCAAAAATTTAAAAGATAATACAAAACTTGGTAAGAGTATGAATAGTATAGAAGTTAATTGGAACTGTATCACTCGATACAAAACAGTAATGAGCATCAAAGTATTACCATGCTTCTGCACACGAGTGATTTTAGAGTATTCAGTGCAAATCCATGGCAAAATGAACACACTACATTTAACATAAATGCCCCCCAAAAAGGAAAGTTGGTCTGATAGAGTATTATTATTTTTTTTCTTCATTTATTGGGATTAAAAATATCGACACGTAAAGTTCAGGAACTCATAATGGTTGATTTATAATGAAATTGAATAGATTAAACAAAGTTAAACCAAAATATATACACTTAAGACAAACATGTTGGTTTTACGCACATGAAAATATGGTTACCACACAATATTCAACGGCTGGCTAGATGTAGCAAGGCCAAAGCGAGAGATGACGAGGAAATCGAGAAGCAGAGAAATGATGAGGGAGAGAGAGAGAGTGGCGAGAGGGAAAGAGAGGGACGGAAAAAGGGAGGGTAGAAAAAAAGAGAGAGGGGAGAGTATCTTACCAGGAACGGTTGTTAGGGTCCAGAAATCCACTCCCTCTTCAGGGCCCCACACAATCTCAATCTCTGTAGTAGATACATCACGTACAGCTATTTCGTTCACTGCCAAGGAAGCTGGAAAATTATTTTTAAGAAAGAAAAAAAAAATTAAACGTGACAAAAAAAGAAACAAGGCATAAAATAAAAATATCAGCAACATCAATAGTAATGATAATAATAATCATTAAAAAAATGAAAAAATAAAAAATAAATAATATATGTCTCTAAAATGGAAAATAGATAACTCAAATTCTATTTATGTTTGACAGTTTCTTACTTCTATTAAATGCCTCATCCCTGGAGACTTCGGAAGGTGCAAGATAATAATACCACGGTAAACATGCACATCATGGAAAATACTACAAATTGACTGGTACTTACTTGTAGTAAATAACTGGTCACTGGCCTCACTCCTGAGGGCAGCAGACAATGTTACCATGTTGAACGTGTACATTGTGTTCGGGTCAAGGAACTCTATCCTGACATTGGTCTCTGAAGCCGAGATGATTTCCTCCTCTCTGGCGGTACCCTTCAAGTAGGACAGCTCATAGCTGTCATAGTCTCCAATAGGAAGTCCCCATGTGAATAATACATAGGTGGTTCCAATCTCAATGGGGAAAAGTCCACGAACAGGAGCAGGAACTATATTGAGATATAACAGATTCAAGTCAATTTAATTCAAAGTAACATTTATTTTCTTCTGTTTATTCATCATCTGTTTTTGAAGAAAAAATACTCATGAAATAGATGTATACATATAATGGCATACTATTAAGAGCATATTACAATGCCTGCATTTACAACTTATCCTGAAATGTACAGATATCGCTAATAATTTTACATTGTGTTATATGTTTGTGATAAGTTTAACAGGTTTGTACTATAATAATTCAATATGTTTGGGATAAATTCAAATTGCTTGTAAACAAAATAAACATGTATTAAAATGGTTGCCATAAACTTACATGTTCTGACATCTTTAGTTGGATAAGTGCTCGTAATTCCAAAAGCCTGAAGGCTTACAGTGTACAGCCTGCCTGGTGTTAATCCATCGAACGTCACAACAGAGAAGGGCTCTGAAGTCGGGGCAACATTGAAGGACTGGAAACAAAGAAGATCAGAAGCACAGTATAAGAATGTTGGGGTGCCTTCAAGCAATTTTTCGAGGCTAGAATCACAAACATGAATCACAAATCAAAACGTTGTTAAAAAACCAGGTTACTACGGGAGAGCGTTCAAGCTAGTATTTTTCATCAACGCTGAATTCTCGCTCATTTCAAGCCCAGCCACTGCTCATCACATTGTGCAGTTTGACCCAGGAAGTATAGGTCAACTTCGCAGCATACTTTCTGTCTGTGTTTACGGCCGACTGTCGGTCGAACTGGAAGCAGGCCACGAAAATGACATTATAGAATCATGATCGAGATCTCCGTTCGTTCCAGCGAATTTTAGCGACCGTGATTCTGCAGAATGATCATGATACAAAACGCTTCTTTTTCAGCGTTTCATGTTTGCGGTTTTAAACACAGTTATTTTTACGACCGAAGAAAAATCGCTTGAACGCAATTGTGTTTTAAACTAAACATCTTTGAAAACCGTGTTTCTAGGGTGAAAAAGTGTCGATTTATTGCACCCTATGACACTAAAAATGGGGTCTGACAGCTCAGTGGCTAAAACGATGGCACAATTAGAAATGTTGCGAAACTATAATGTAAGATGTTCATGGTTTTTGCAAAAGGGGTAGGTTTTGTTTTAAAAAGCAAGATATTTACCCAGAAGGATCATGCATTTCAAAATAGGACTGCCACTCATATGATGTAAGGCCAATATAATTCCGCAAAAAAAGGGTACTTTTGTGAAAATATGGGAGCACCAGAGATATTGGGGGCGCCAGAGATAGCGTGGGGGCACCAAAGATAGCGTGGGAGCACCAGAGATAGCTTTGGGGCACCTGAGATAGCGTGGGGGCACCAAAGATAGCGTGGGGGCACCAGAGATAGCGTGGGAGCACCAGCGATAGCGTGGGGGCACTAGAGATAGTGTGGGGGCACCAAAGATAGCGTGGGGGCACTAGAGATAGCGTGGGAGCACCAGAGATAGCGTGGGAACTCCAAAGATAGCGTGGGGGCACCAAAGATAGCGTGGAGGCACCAAAGATAGCGTGGGGGCACCAAAGATAGCGTGGGAGCACCAAAGATAGCGTGGGGGCACCAAAGATAGGGTGGGAGCACCAAAGATAGCTTGGGGGCACCAAAGATAGCATGGAGGCACCAAAGATAGCGTGGGGGCACCAGAGATAGCGTGGGAGCACCAGAGATAGTGTGGGGGCTCCAAATATAGCGTGGGGGCACCAAAGATAGCGTGGGAGCTCCAAAGATAGCGTGGGGGCACCAAAGATAGGGTGGGGGCACAAAAGATAGTGTGGGGGCACCAAAGATAGGGTGGGGGCATCAAAGATAGCGTGGGGGCACCAAAGATAGCGTGGGGGCACCAAAGATAGCGTGGAATACTCACAGTAGAAGCTCCTTCCTCTGATGTGAGGGTGACCCTGTACTGAACGACCTCAGAGCTGAGAGGAGCTGTTCCAAAGAGAACCTCGATAAGGGTGGTAGTCTTATCCCGGAATTCAATCACGCCCTCCTGAAGGGCACCTATTAAAACAAAGGGGGGGGGGGAACAGGAAAAATGTGTAATCAACATGGTAAGCATACAGAGTATATGGTATGTGTTTGGTGTCATAATTGTTTGATGTAAAAAAAAGATTGATCTTTTCAATGTTAGATGGCTTGAGAAATCTACGCATTTAAACATTGCAATTTCATATTGCATTTGTGAACAAGCTTTAAGAGTTACCGTAAGTCACCTCATAGAATGAACTGTTCAGCTTAGTCTGTATTCAATCTTCGGTTTAAAAACATACAAACATTGAAATATACAAACACAAAATCAAAGGGTATCATACAAGTTTAAATAAATTCATATAAAAAAAGGAGAACAAAAGGGAACCTCATTTAAAATCTATTGAGGTTTAACAGGTTGATGGCAACAAGAATTTGGCAATTAATAACATATTAAACTACCGGTAATGGCCTACCTGTGGTGAAGGAATCCATAGCTGGTTCGCTTTTTGATGTGAGTTCACCACTTGTAACCTTGCTAAAGATCTGAACATCATACAGAGCAGATGGATCCAGACCACTGAGAGCTATTGACTCTGTATCACCATCCACCTCACCAGCTAGAGTATAGTCATTGATAGAGGAAGTTTGGCGGTACCAAACCTCGAAATTATCCACGTCATGGCCGACAAATCGGTTCCAAGTGACGGTGGCAGACGTTGACTCGATAGACTCGAAGCTGATGCTGTTTGGTGCCACAGGGTCTGCGGAATGGAGAAAAATGCATCTTTAAATGATGTAAATATACAAATATTTCTATGGAGAAAAGAAACCTACATGTCAATTTTCATGACCGAGGTATCAAAGGTATGTCCTAATGTGTGGCTGCAAGAGATGGACGTTCAATAAATACTTGGGACAGCAGAATTCAAGCAACAGCAATGTGGGTCTGAAGAAGAATGCTGAGGATACCTTGGACTGACAGAATATCAAACAAAAAAAGTGCTCGATAAGGCATGTGTCGATATTAAAATCCCTCCTTAACATCATTTGACAACGACAACTACAGTTTGTTTGGCATATTATGAGTAGAAAAGGAATAAAAGACATGGACAATTGAGGGGAAGAGAAGCAGAGGGACACAGCGCATCAAATACATTTATAAGTTCATTTGGCTGACCCGTAACAGAAGTAACGTCACATTGCAAAAAAACAGAGATAGAAGTAGATGGAAAGCATTGATCGCCAATGTCTGGAACAGACAAGGCACCTGTATGCAATGTATGCTGTAAGCAATGTATCAACTGTACAACATTAGCCAAGTTTTCAGTTCATAATAATTATACAAGTAGTGTTAAATTTTCTGAATTTTTGATCAAAATATTATTTCATAAAAAGCAGAATGACTTATCACAAGTGTTCAGCAGAGAATGCATACAAAATCAATGTCAAATTTGAAACCTTTAAAACAAATCTACAGTCTATTTTCATCATATGATGGTTAAATATTTGTTAAAAAATCCATTTTCTCCCTCTCTCCTAACAAGCAAAACATCCTTCTCAATATCCCTCCTCTCAAAATAGTGTCCTAGATAATATTTCAAATCATAAATCTGTATTTATTATATTTATTATTAAAATTCTGAAATTCTGAACAGAACAGAACAGGAATCAGACCACCAGAAGAAGCCAGTAGGAACCGGCGAAAGAAAAGTGAGTTGAAATATACTTCCAGTAATAGACATACAGTGTGTCCCAGAAAAACGAAACCAAGAATTATTGACGTTTTAATTATAACTTAATCACAATTATAATTAATAAATTTCACATATTTGTAAAGCTTAGGTATTCCTCTTTCATTTGATGCAACTCATATGATGTATATTTAACGTGTGAGCGATTAAAAACAATTTGAAGAGAGGAAACCAAAAAGTCATTTTGCGGGCGGTATCTGAATTTCAAAAAGAAAATCACATTTCTAAAAAGTTCATTTTCTGCCCTTTCATATGACACCTCAATCAGGACAAATGAGCCAGTCTGTTTATTTAAAGTAATGCTTGCATTTCCAAAATTTGATTAAACAAGTTCGTTTTCACTGGCTGCCTGGCCTAGCAACAAAAACAGTTGACAAAATACTTAACTCGGTTTCGTTGATGATCGTCAACGAAACGGATTTGCCATTAATTTCTACGATACTGGATGAATTATGAAATTGTTGAGGAATAAGCATACCAGTTAGTACATCAATAGAGCTGACGTCATTCCCTTGCTCGATGAGTCGTATGGAGTAGAGTGTTGCCGGGTTCAGAAGGGTAAAGTCCACGTTCCTCTCCTCGTTGTTGACGAGCACGTCAGCAATGTCGCCTGGAGTGATTCTTACGACGTAGTTACCCTCAGGTATGGTGTTAGCAGTGTTTCCAACACCCCATGTAACACTGATAGTAACGGTGGTCTTACTTCGCAGAAGTAGCTGACCAAGAGGCGCAGACACTATCAAGAAAGACAACAACGAAATGGGGTTATACAGTACCCTTGCAGGTGCACCATGTGAGAGAGAGAGGATTGAGGAGTCCTGAAAAGGACTCTGACTCTTGGTAGTGTGTAGTCCTGAAAAGGACTGTTTGTTATCTTTCTTAGCTTATAGTTCAAAGGAGAACTATAGCGCTTGGAGAGGATGATTTGCTCGACGTTTCGAACAGTTTGACTATCCGTCATCAGAAATGGGGTTAATGGAAAGATTCTTTACTATTATGTAACTCGATGAGTTCTCTAGGCCCATTTCAAACAATCCTCATCTTCATCATCATCCCGTGGGTCCCCTCTGTGGGGGATCAAGGGGGTGTTTCACAAAGATCCTAAGTTGAACTTATCTCTTAATTGGACTTAACAATTATGAAAAGCCAGCATCCTTGAAAATATTTTGTAAAAGTTTTTTTAAAAGACATAAAATGTTGATTCAAATCATTCATATTTTCTATTATCATGCGGAATTTCATGTTCTTGATGTGCAATCTAAGAAAAGTCTAAAATACTTGAATTTTTGCTTTTGAATTTATTTCAAAATAAGGCTACAAATGGCTCTCCATAATATTTAAGTCAAACTTAGAGTTAAGTTTGACTTCGAATCTTTGTGAAACACCCCCCCCCCCCCCCAGGTCCCCTTCTTACCACTCTCCATCTCGTCCTGCCTGTAGCAAACTCAAAATCCGTTTCTCTACCGTTTTCCTTAATACTATCTATCCACCTCTTCCTAGGTCTCCTTTTCTTTCTCTTTCCTTTCTCTTTTCTCTCTGCTGCTCATCTAATTGATTCATCTTCATCTGTCCTCTTCACGGGCCCACACCATTTCAGTCTCTTCTCTCTAATGTTCTCCCTTATCCCACTTCACTTTAACTTCCTTTTGCCTCCTCTCTTTTCTTGTTACCCTCTCACACCTCTCAGAGATCTTATCTATGCAGCTTCCAGCATCTTTGTGTGGTCTTCCTGTTAATACTGCCCAGGTATCTCCTCCATATTCCAAACAAAGGGAAGTGTAATTAGCAATCAAGTGAAACATACACGTGTCTGACCATGTACTAATTTACATTTTAGATGTGTCTGATTCGCCTAATAAAACATCTTCAGGACTCTTGATTTTGCTTAAAACAGTCTAAAATAACAAAAAATATGGCTGAAAGTCATATTTGTTACAATGCAAATGACCACTTACGAGTTCGTTGAGTCATTTCAACCTCTGAACTCTCCGTTCGTGTATCGCCCTCTCCAGCCACAGTCTTCATTCTGAACTCGTACGTTGTGGAGGGTGTGAGTTCGCGGAAGGTATAGAACTCGTCGTTGGCCTCCAGCACGATGAACGACTCACTCAAGCCATCGGCTGGACTGTAGGTCAACTCATACTGGTCAATTGCAGAGGGTACCGGCATGCTCCAGAGCAGGAGTATGGAATACGTGGAGCCCTCCACCGTGGGCTGAGTTTGAAGGTCCCTCGGTGGAAGAGGAGCTGAAGGAACAAAAAACAGATATTGGAATTAGTGGAAATAATAATAACCGCATACATGGGTATGTAAATGATGATTATAGTAATGATTGTAACAACTATCCATTCATTCATCCATTCATACATTCGTTCAATCATTCTTTCATTAAGAATGATATAATTCATACAATAGTAATTATTACAAGGATATGATTACTCTTTAAGTTTATCCTGTAATAATCCTTAGGATTGAAAGCAGAAGAATCTAAAAGACAAAGAACTGTTACCTGTGCGCTGCTGAATTACACTGATTGGATCAACCTGATCAATCAAGATCAACGAGATAGTCTGGAGCTGACCGGGTATGAGTGAAGTGACCGTCGATTCTCTCGGCTGAGTTCTCTCGACCCTGTTGTATATTGGGTTCCCAGTGGGGGGCTGGAACTGGATGATATACACATCAAACGTGATGCCTTCCACTGCTCCCCAAACCACGGTGATGGAGAAAGAGTCAAAGTCAATGACCGATAGCTGACCAGCATCCAACGAATCTGAGTTCAAAATGGAGAAATTATAAACAACATTTTTAAATATTTAAATCAGTTTATTCCATATTAAAATTAAATAAAGGAACACATATATATACAATTTTATGAGGATATTAAACATATAATATGCAAAGGTAATGCAATGGTTAATAATAATAATAAAAATCTTGACGAAATCAAAAGGTGATACGTCTACGTACGTATCATCTAATTACATGCTTTCATTACCGGTATATAATTTCATATGGCAATATTATGCACACACCAAGACGCGCATTGTACATGTATTTGGCTGGGCGTGTGCACTCAAGATGTGACATCATTCAATAAAGCAAATGGTGGCCTCCATGATTGGGTGAATCTTGGCTTTTTTTAAATTCTGCATTTTTTAATTTCTCAACTTTATGTTCATAGTGTAGACCTGTCTAATTAAAAAAATAGCACATGTTTTTAGCTCGTGCATTAGTGATATCCACTGCACTTGTCACAATGAGTCACAATGAGATGGAAAAAAAACATAATTATAATAACGAATATGAAGAAAAAAAACTGACAATACATATAAACAAAAAACAGAAGTTTTACCAATACAAATAATCATGGTTTCATATGAAATTAAAAACTCAGAGGACAGGTAACAGTAATTCATGACATATTGAGCAATGAACCTACCAGTGGTGAATTGATTTTGCCGCGGGGGACTTCGCTTCTCCAGGTTTCCGCTTCCAACGACAGCAAAGATGCTTACAGAGTAGCTTTCACCAGGCCTCAGAGCATCGAATGTAAATGAGGGTAGCTCTCCAGCTTCGATCTGATCACCCCTCAGAGTGCCTTGAAGCTGTTCGTTCAGATTTACTTCAAATCTTTCATATTCACCGACTGGAGGATCCCATTGAACCTTCAGGGTGGAAGTTGAAACTTCAACCTCCACAAGATTATCTGGCGTATTGGGATCTGTATATGTAATAAAAATCATGATAATGATAATAATAATAATAATAATAATAATAATAATAGTTACAACAAAAACATAAATGATAATAATAATGATAATTACAAAAATAATATAAAGATTAAAAAAATACCTATGATTGTTACAATAATTATTATGATTTTAATAATAATAAGATTAATATTAATGATAATAACAATAACAAAATCAGTAATAAAAGTGGAGTCTGGTGTAGTGTTTGATGAGCAATGAGCAAATACTGCAGAGGTTCCATAGTTCTGTTCTACTACAAACAAGCAGGGAATATTTGATGTTCAATAACTAACAAGCCTATCGAAATGCAATTTATCCTCATAATACATAAAGAACGTAAAGAACGTAAAGAACAACCAGGGTACTGTACTTGTATAGATGGAGTCTGTGGCGTACGGTTCTGTGGAGCCGGTATACCCCTGATACCGATAATGTACCTCTGACCAGGAACCAAGGAGTAGAAGGTGTACCAATGTACTACTACTGTTATTACTACTACTACATGTATTACTATTACTACTACTATTACTATTAATGTTACTACTTTTATTATTATCATTATTAATTCATGTGTGTGCAATAGTACTCTACCTGTGTAGACGGAGTCTGTGGCGTACGGTTCTGTGGAGCCGGTACCCCTGATACCGACAATGTACCTCTGACCAGGAACCAAGGAGTTGAAGGTGTACTCAAAGTTTCCACCTATGGGCACGTTCCCTGGCGGAGCGTTGGCAGAGTTGGGTTCAATGGTCAACTCGTAGCTATTGACGACCACGGCACAAGATCCCCACTGGACGGTGATCTCGGTGTATGTGGTTTCGGTCACTTGGATGGAGCAAGAAGGAAGTGCAGCTGAAAGAGAAGCAGACATATTGATGATAAAAATAATATTGATGCTGCTTGTAAGCATCAGCTTGCATGGTGATGTAGATATACAGTAGACTTGCAGATGCACCATGTGAACCAGGACTCCTTTTCAGGACTCCTCAATCCTTCCTCTCTCTCACATGGTGCATCCGCAAGCCTACTATATAATAATATTGATGATGATGATAGTGACAATATCACTACTAATTATAATGATAATGATAGTTATGAAGTGATAAGATGGCAAAAGCAAAATTAAAACCATTTTATATGTTCCGGTATAGGGGGAGAAAAGATTAGTACCTGCGCTCTCAGCAAACCAACTTTTCCTGTATGTTATAACATTGATTAATGTGAAGTGCACTACATTGATTTCCTTTCACCTCATTGGGTTTTTTGGGCGGTTTAACCCATTGGCTACTGAATTATCTCATTCCCATATGCTTTAGTACAGGAGCCACCAGGTTTCCAGAGGCAGTGGGTTAATACGTCAAGTGTGAAGGAGGCTTAGAGAGGAGAACACTTACTGGTTGTAGCCGGGACGGACTCTTCTGTACTTGTTGTCTCATCAGCGTCTGTTCCACTGCTGGTGTAGACAGTTACCACGTAGGATGTATCGGGGAGCAACCCATCTATGACTGACACTCGGGTACCATCGCTAGGGATGCGATCCGCATAGATGACTGTCGTGGGTTCATCAGCGAGAGTGTAGGTGACAACGTAGTCGTTGAACGAGCCTGTAGCCTGTTGCCAGTTCACGGTGACGGATTGGGAGGTCGTATCAACCACAGTGAGTCCAGAAACTGGATTCGGTCCTGAGAGCGGAGAGAAATCATTAACAGAACATGATAAACAGGAAGAATCATCTTCAAAGTTTTTCTCCTTGTCGCAAAATTACAACCAAAAAATTACAATTACAACTTCATTCTATCCTACCTTCTGAATTCGAATCTTCAGCAACAAACACTACCACCTTCTATCAAAACCTACATGTACATATGTCCCAGATCCCGGACCATGACGTGTTTATGGCAATCAAACCTTTCTTCTCTTGCCCAAAAACTATGAGACAATCTTCCCATCGAAATTGGAGAGGCCCCCACCATGGATTCATCAAATACAGTTCTGAAGAAACTCAGGGTAAACGGCTGCTACACGTATTCAACTTGGCATTATGTGAACAACACTTAAACTCAATGACTACTGAATTGTCTATTTTATCAATAGACATGTATAGCGCTTAATACTATGTTTCTAATCATTTCACATTGTAACTACTATTACCCCCGGTCATTGGGTTCATTTGAGAGTGGCAATTAAATGTAGATTAATGTTTTGTGAAAGGACATTAGTGCCACGGCAGGACTTGAACCGTAAACCATGTGATCCACAGTCCAGTGATATATCCACTAGACCACGACACCCCTACAAAATTAGTGACAACCCTGTTTCTATTGCAAATGGGTTAATAGATGAATGGGAACAACCATCACTTACTTGTTCTTTGAGATACAGTCCTAGTCACCACTGGATCAGAGCCTTGAAGGATGTTATTGACGGTGTACCTAACACCTGGTATCAGGTTCTCAAAGGTATGCATCCTGGGATCCTCGGGAGGTATCACAGCAAAAATTGGGGATCCGTCGCCCTCTGGTGTAGCCTGGAGGCGGTAGTTCTCAAACTCGATGCTGACGACCTCGCTCCATTCCACAGAGATCGAGTTGGAATCGAAATCTGTCACGTTCAGCTCGCCCTCGAGGGCCTCACCTGGAAATAATTATAATATAAATCATTAAACAAATCCGGAAAGTTATAAAGTCATTAATTGGTGCATGCCTGGTGTGATTTAATGTGATATTGAATTTTGCTTAAGCTACAGGAACCAACTCCTTTGTCACCTCTCTTCTTTTTTAATAATAGCCTAATAGTCCACTCCAAATTTTATTAAACCGAAACAGAAATTCTTTTTGCCCAATTGATCGTGAGCCCGGTAGCCACTGAGCAGCGCCAGATCGACGTTGCTCAATCCCTTATTGTTGAACGTCAAACAAGGAAGCAACAACTCCCATCTTTTAACGTCTTTTGGTATGACGCGGCCGGGGTTCGAACCTGCAACCTCCCGGTTGTGAGGCGGACGCTCTACTGACTGAGCCAACACTCCGGTTTTGATTTTTGTAATTTTCTTCTTATCAATCTCTCCCAAAACAGACATCGCCAAGCTTCAGCAAATTCAAAATTCAGCTGCCAGACTAGTTTCTCAATTACCAAGGCAAGAGCACATCACTCTCACCCTTCTAACTTTTAAGGCACTTCATCAACTCTGTCCCAGCTACATATCTGAACTTTTTACACCTTACGTACCCACTTGATTCCTCCTCTCTGCATCTCAACACCTCATTGAACCTACGAGCGACAGGACAAAGTCATAAGGATCCAAAAGGTTCTCATCTGCAGCTTCGCTTCTTTGGAACTCTCTCCCCACTACCTTCCGAACCATCACAGACTTAACTTTCTTTAAATCACAACTGAAATCTTAGTTGTTTAAAAACATTTGCGTCCACTACTTAGTGTGATGAAGGGTGGTAACTCATACACTTTAACTCTATAACACCCTTCTTGCTCAGAGCAGCACATTCGCGTCCACTTACTGAGTGTGATGAAGCGGGTGATTGCGTCGCTTCTGGTAGTCTTAACGTCGTCCCCTACACCCACCGACACCAAGGCATACAAGGAGATGGTGTATTCCACATCAGACTGCTCTAACGTCAGGAGCTCCTGGGTAGCATCGGCAGTAGGACTTCGAGTCTGGCTGGAAGGAGTCCAGCAGAGCTCGTAGGAATCAACCTGAGAGTTCCTAGCAGGCCATGCTAAAGTGACCTCTTGACCTTCGACTGTCAGGAAGGACAGGCTACCAGGGGTCAGAGGTGCTGTGGAAAGACATGTACATGAATATCATTTATTGTTTAAATAAATTTAATCTAATTTTTAATTAATATGAATATTTCAATTTGTAATGTTCAAAATCTAAAGTAACAGGACAATTTTGAGGTGAATTCTAAAAAAAGAGAAAATTAACAAATACAGATCTACATGTGAGTGGTAACATACTGAACAGAAAATCGCTAAATACCTTAAACTTGCCTTCTTATCAGTCTTCTCTCCATATTAAAGGGTCTTTGGTTTTTGGTTTGTTGTTGGAATAATCATTTTATTCAATACTAAAATCCATCAAAAAAAACTAACATAATTATACATGTATGCGGGCATTGAATAAAAATAAAGTCCAGGTCAAGCAATCGTTATTTACATGAAGGGCAATAACAATAAAAATATATCATATTATGACCAAACATAAATTATATACAATATATAGAAATTTTTATTGTAAGTGTTCAAATTTTCAGAACTAAATCAAATTTAGGAACAAAGGGGTATTGAGGCTGTTGAGAGCCAGAAGGGTGATTTTACTCAGATTGATTCAATAGTTCACGCCCTTTGGCCCCACAGCAGGCAGCAGTTTATGATCAAGCAATATGAAATATTTTGTCTTATTCTCAAACTAAAATGTACTCTGTAAACTTATTTCATAACAAACATACTTGACAGTATTTTGTCACTTGTATAATTTACTTGTTCTATTATATATTGTATTAGTGTATGGTTTATATATGGTATGTCATTTAATTACAGGACCAATATGAAAAACAGCCTTGGTTGATATTGTCATCCTGTATAAATATTTTTAAATAAATAAAATAAATAAATAAATAAATTTGTGGATATTTGAGTGGGAAATAAATCAGATCAAAAATCAAAATCAAAAAATCAAATCAAATCTAACCTGTGGCAGTAAGTATGGTAGACTGTGTAATTGCATCTCCTTCCACAAGCAGATTCAGGGAGTACTCTGTGCCTGGCAGCAGGCCCTCAAATAACACCTTACGTTCCTCGTTGATGCCCTGTGATTGGAAATCGGTCCGAGTATTACCAAGAAACAGGTTCAACACATAGTTGGTGAATGTTCTATCGGTGACTGCACCCCAGACTACTTCCAGAGACGTTGTGGTTCGATCATTCACGTATAACTGGCCAGCAACCATGGTTTCTGATATATAATATAATAATAGTTATAAAAATTATATGAATGATAATAATAAAATCAATACTACTACTACTACTACTACTACTTAGAATAATAATATCAATAATAACAACAACAATAATAGAAATAAAAAATGAAAATTAATAATAACTATTTAAAAAAATATTAATAATTATCATAATATATTAGTATCAAAATTAAAAAATAATGATAATGATATTGATAATAATGATAATAATAACAACAACAATAATAATAATGATGAAGTTTATCGGACTCAATTGCCCCCATATTCGATATATGGCTAAAAAATTTGGACCACACATTTGTGTACGTTGAGTCCCATGTACCTCTTTCTGTTTGCAGTGCATGTGATTTTAGCTCGATAGAGCCAACTATTTGATGATACCAAATTATCCAAACCTCAATATACATGAGTGAACCAATTCTTATCTACTACATAAACAACTTGTCCTAATTGCTACCAGACTGTTACTTTCACAATCTAATTGCTTGACCAGAACTCAACTTCATCTATCAGTACATGAATGTAGAACTGTATAACCATGTATTTACCTAAGGAGACATCCATGGATGAAACAGCACTATCCGTCTCTCCGGACACAGCTACGACCTCAACGTCGTACGTTCCTCCAGGTACCAGGTCTGTGATGAACACCTCAGGACAGGCCTCTCTGGGGATATTGAAGCTAGCGACACCGTTTTGGCCAACGCCCAACCCTGTCTGTCTGGCTGTCACACCCACGCGATAGTAATCCAGGACCCCTGAAGAGGCTGGTAGAATCTTGATCAAAATGGTAGTTGGAGAGAGGATCATGATCTCTATAGTCGGTGCAAGCGGCGCTGAAAGAGAGAAAACAAAAGGCCATGAAAGTCCTTGATTTAGCTTTAGTTAGTTGTACGCAGGTTTCCTAGGAGAAAAATCTACATATATATTTGTCAATCTGTCGGTCTTACTCCATAGTGTACTGTTTTAAAAGGGAAATAAAACTAGATGGATGCTCGACTGCACGCAGTCGACAATGATGCCTCCGTCATGGAGCAATTTTTCAAATTCTAGTTTGATTGTAATTCATTAACAGGTTCTCAGAATACCCTGATTACAAGCTATTTATTATATACATGTATATACATGTATGACCCTTTGAGCTTAGACCTTAGGCCTAAAATAAAAACTTGTTGTATTGCCCTTTGGGTGCCAAAACATGGGTCAGTCGGTCGGAAAAGTTTTTTTTTTTTAACTTTTTTTTGTCGCCCTCTTTGGGCCGATATTTTTCAGTTTTTAATGCTTTAATACATGTGTTTCAGCATCATCATTCCATTGATATCTTTTTCACCTCTTAATTATCCATGGCTTACACAAGTAAGGATTTCGGAATAATTTGATTTTATGCATTTATATTCCATTTAAACAAACAAAATACTTGTTTTTTTATTCATTAATTTTAAAAAAATCTAAAAAGCGGTTGAAAAAAAATACTTTTTTAAAATGCCGACCGTAGACTTTCAGATTTTTGGGTCAGTCGCAAAGGGCAATCTTATCAGTTAATTGGCTGTGCAAGATACATACATCTCTCGAGTTCCATAGTAATCCATCCATCGGTTCTAATGATAATGTGATCACAAACTATAATGAGCCCTGTGACCTTTGACCTTGTGACACCCAAGTCTAAGCAGTTCATTAGCTCTTCAAGATACATACATGACCTTAGTCTGGCAGGAATTCATCCATCGGTTCTTGAGATAACGCGATCACAAGCTATTTTCGCATACATAATGAGCCTGAGACTTTTGACCTTTGACCTCATGACCCCAAAATTTAATCAGTTCATTAGCTTTGCAAGATACATACATAACTAAAGGTTGGCAGGAATCCATCTATCGGTTCTTGAGATAACGCGATCACAAGCTATTTTCGCATACATAATGAGCCTGAGACCTTTGACCTTAGACCTTGTGACCCCAAAATCTAATCAGTTCATTAGCTCTGCCAGATACATACATGACCCAAGTTTGGCAAGAATCCATTCATCGGTTCTTGAGATAACGCGATAACGAGAACGGGACGTACGGACAGACGTACGGACGGACAACCCGAAAACATAATGCCTCCGGCTACTTCCTAACGGAGGCATAAAAATCCAAAAGGGAGGACAGCAATGGGTAACTTTGATTTAAGATATGCAGCCATTATTCTCTCGCGTTATATATCTTCATATAAAGAAAGTGCAAGTGAGAAAAATACCACTCCTACTTCTAGACATGCTCAAATAGAACCTGTCTCACTAATTCAAGAGCAATATAAGGCGCGATAGCTCAGTCGGTAGAGCAGTGTTCTTGTAATCCAGGGACCCGGATTCGAAACCAAGGCGATGCGGTAATGCCCTTTGGTAAGGCATTAATCCTCATTACCAGGTCCCTCGGAGAGGACCTAAAGCCGTCGGCCGTCTGGTTGCTTACTTACAAGCATTTATGCTTTCTTAGCAGTCAGGTAAAATAACCATCACCATTCATAACAATAAATCTTACCTAAGACATACGTTGCCCTGACTAAACTTTGTGTGCCAGTATCAGGAGTGCCAGAGGAGAGAGCGAAGTTGTAGATCTGTCCTGGGGTGAGACTATTAAGGAAGACACTGTCCTGGGTGGTAGGAACTGGAGAGGGCGGCACACCATTTGAGGGATCATATTCAAGATAGTAATTGGAAAAATCTGGTGCATTAGGCCAGGACACAGCCACGCCAAAGGCATCGATTGTGATGAAGACCAAAAGCTCCATTGCTGCAAAGAAAAACAGGAGGGATTGATATTATGTACAGCAATAATCCCCTCACAGCTCCAACAGAGGAAAACACATTCTGTCAGCAGTAAATATATTTCAGACCTATTTTGTCCATATAAACTGAAAATGCAAATCAGCGAATCATTTGGGCATTTGAATCAGTAATGGGAAAAGAATATCTATAGACTACAATAGACATCAGACAATTCAACAATCAACAGGTTTAACTGACAATAATATGATATCCAAATAAATAATTGAGTAATATTGACTGCCTTCTGGGCAATACTACATATATCGCCCGAACCAAAGGTGAGGGTGATATATGACAAGTCGTATTGCCCTGAATTAGGCAGTCAATATTACTATTATTAACCACATCAGACATCTAGAGCAAACAAGAAACTCTTACTATTTTATACTCTTAAATTATGTAGCCTACACTGCACAGGATTTCCTAGCATTAGAAGTTGCAAAAACATCATCATGATTGTTACGTCACAATAGAGTTTGCGCATACTACGCATAGTGCGCATTTTCTTATATCGTAATACCAGTAGCTGATGCGCGATGAAATTTACAACTGGCTCTATATTATTGCTCACTAGTTAAACACGAATTTTGCCATTGACTTTTCAGATCGGGCAATAATATTTGTTCATTGGTTTACTGTATAACCGTATTGACTAGCAAATTACACACAAAATCCAATTGACTTTTCAGATCGGGCAATAATATTTGTCATTGGTTTACTGTAATATTTTTTTCGGCTGTAGTTTTGTTGGCTTATCCATCAAACCTTGCGGGCAATAACATTTAAAAATTGCCCTGCTCAGATGTCTGATATGGTTAATAATATATTTTATTCATTGAACTTAATTGACATATATATCAATATTTTTTTTCCAATATACACCGTTACATCAATAAATGAATTACAAATAACAGAACAGTGTATACTATAGATAGAATACCAGTAATAAACAAACATACTTGTCTTACGATTCATCATCTAGAATATTTTTTTTCATATCATATGTAAATAAATATATACTACATGTACATACTTTAAGTACAAATGGACCATAGTGAAGTTACAATATAAGCCTCTAACACTTTAATTTATTACACAAAGGACCAAAAATACTCATACGTTGGATAGAAACATGTTTAACCACTTGACTGCTCATCACATACATGTACGTGCTTAGTGCATCGCACTTTTACGACCGTAGCAGTGCATAAGGCCTAGCCCTACTGTGTAATTAGCACTGCAATGATGTTATACAGGTCTCGAACAGTAGATGGCGCTCTTCCAAAAAAATACCGGCTTTTTTGTGTAATGCTGTAGCACAGGCGATATGAACGCATTTTAAGCCAATAGTAGTCAAGTGGTTAAGTAAATTACAAAACAATATAAGCTTACCAGTAGAAGCAGTGGTTTCTCGGAGAGCACTGCGTGTAGTTCCTGTGACAGCATAGATCTCTATCCTATACAACGTTCCAGGGGCAAGATAGTTCTTGGAGACGGTAAGGTCGGAGCCTCTGGGAACATCCTGCAGGAAGGCAGTTTGGGAACCATCAGGGTACAGATTGATAGAGTAGCGATCAAAGTTTCCTCCGGCGCTGCCCCAGGCAAAGGTGATACTGGTCTGCGTGGTGCGAAGGATCTGAATGGCACCTGGGGTCTGAGGGTCTGTATAAATAAAAATAATGATAAATTATAATGTTGATAATGATAATAATAATAATAATTAAAATAATGATGATTATGATGATGACAATGACGATACTGATGATGATAATGATAACGATGATGATGATGACAATGACGATCATGATGATCATAATAATAATGTTGTTCATGATGATGATGATGATGATAATGATGTTGATAATAATAATGAAAATAATGATGATGATCATGATCATTATTATGATCATGACAATGATGATGATGATGATGATAATGATGATGATGATGATGATGATAATGATGATGATGATGACAAATGATGATGATGATGATAATGATGATTATGATGATAATGATGATGATGACAATGATGATGATGATGATGCTGATGGCATAATGATAATAACAACAACTTGAAAAAATAATGAGAATGATAACAATAATATTGGGTGGTCCTACCTCACTTTTAGACATCCTGGCCTTAGACATTGGTTACTATTTTTGCTTTTTCAGCCAAAGATCCAATGGCAAGTACCTTTTCTCCCCAAATAGCCCTTAAAAATGGGTTTGGGGGGCTTTAGACCACACATCCCCACCCAAACCAAATCTGAGTACCCCCCCCCCCCACCCTCGCAACCCCAGAACCCAAAGGCAACGATTAACTTACATGTCGTAACTGGCAATTCCTGTGGTGCTTCTGACAGCCCAAAAATCTGCAGACTGATGATATAGTTTGTTCCCGATTCCAAGTTCATAAAGTTGTAGGTGGTGATTGCTTGCCCCAGGTTGAAGAGGATGGACGTGCCTCCTTCCGGTCTGATCCTCAGCTGGTATCCGGTAGCCAATGCATCCGTTGATGCACCCCAGCTGATGGAAATGGTGGTAGTCGTACGTTCTACAAGTACCGGGACTCCCTCTGGGGCTCGACCTACAAGAAGATACCATGTTAAAATGTAATAGTAGTTATAATCATAAAAACAGTTTTGGTTTGAAGAAGGGACTGCATGTTCAAGTTAATTCCAGCTCTAAACATTTTTAGGATTCTTTAGAGAATACAATGGCTGGAAATAAAGATATCGTTAATGCCATGGATTTTTTTTTTTTTAAAGAAGCTTACATGTCTGAGAAATCACATTTGTGGTTAATCACCTGTTGAGTTGATCCAGGGAAATCAAGGGTTCAGTGAGACAAGGACGTAACTCCATATTTTGCCAAAATAAGTATTTGATATCAAAATTTTCAGAAAAATGTGGGCTTTCCAGGAAACACAAAGACTTAACTCCACCCAACACCCCATTGAAGTCAATGGCTAGTGAAAAATAGACTGAACTGCTCAAGGCCCAAGTGCTCAATGACACATGAACCACTTTTTCTCAAAATGGCCAACATGGAGTTACGTCTTTGTGTCACTGACCCCTCAAAATGATCTTTTGCCTCTCAGCAGTGGAAATCTTAGTAAACTCTAGTTCAAAGTGTGGATCATATTAACTTTGATGCGCCACCAGTACAAACTGGTACAGTCACAGAGTTGCCATGAGTACCATTTGGCACAGAGAACTATTATGTGCGTAATAACCTCATAAAATTAAAAATTTCCAATCTTAATCACCTACATTAAAACCCAATAATACCTGTTTAGCTTTTTTTTTACATATGACTACCCCAGCAGCAGTAATTTTGCACAAGGAGATCATTTGCATGGCACACACACACAAAGGGTTGAGCGAAATCTGGGACCCGTTTCACAAAGCCTTTTTTCAATGACAAATTACAAAAATCAGTGACAAATCTGCAGATAACCAATCAGAAGCAAGGATTTCAGTAGCTTATAACAAAAACTGTCATTTGTCACTGATGACAAGTTTTGTGAAATGGGGCCCTGGATGAACGATGAAAGGAAGTTACCTGTGGTTCCTGATGTCTCAGCAGGCTGACTGTTGATAGTTCCTACGACCGAGACAACCGATACAGCATAGGACGTCTCTGGCAGAAGGTCGGGCAAGGTCACAGAGGGTGCATCACTCGCAGGAACAGGTATGGTAGTGACCTCACTAGTTCCAACCCGCGAGTAGGTTAGACTGAAGGAGTTGTAGAACCCTTCCGCCGGAGGACTCCAGGATACGTCCAGTTCAAAGGCAGTAGTTCTGGAGATGGCTACATCCATGGGGGCATTTGGTACTGTGGAAACAAAAAAAGATATCACACTCAATTCATTTACTGACACCAAATCCAAACTGACTCCTGTCGACAAACAGAGCTAGCTGTTCCAAACGTTGAGACTTTCCTGTAACAGTTCGTTTAGAATTATTTATTGTCTGATTTTGTTCAAACATTCACAGGTCTTTCTTTAAGAGTTTTTACTTATTAACCCTTTCAGAACAGAATTTATTCATAAAGCTTGATTGATCACATTTTGTCCTTCAAATTGGCAACAATAATATTTTTCTTTTATTGCTACATTGTTAAAATTGAATGGAATGTCTCTAAAAACAATATACATGGGCGGGAATGTTGAAACATTGCCAATTTGGGTCGAAAAACAATAATTTTAATTTCTCAATGTGTTGCCAATTCAAGGATTTAAAGTTTATTTTCCTTTATAAAAATTCCTGACATCAACCGCAAGATAGTCATGAAATGCAAATAAATGCAATATAAGCAGAAATGTTTGCCCTTTCTACTAATGCGAATTTTGTTAGGCTTTGAATCTTAAGTTCTTGAACCAAACCAACAAATGTGGAACAATTGTTGTGAAAGGGTTAAAGGGATTGGGTAACTTTCTCTCAGATTTTGAAACAGAAATCCTGAATTTAGCTCATGCTGTAATGATAATAATAATCCTTTAGGTCAGTCAGGAACCCCATGACTTTTACAAGCCGATCGCCTGTCTGATTACCAAGATATTTATGATTGGAAATAGAAATCAAATTTTGCGTTTTCTTAACAGTTTTCATAACACTACAGTCTAATGGGGAAAACGAGTATGGTAAAACCGGTCACTCAAGGATTTTTACTTTTTTGAGGCGCTTCTTGATCATTTTAAAGCGCAATTTTTTTAGTGATTCAATATTACACAATATCACAGACACTGATAACAGGTAGTGCCGTGCATCTCACATTTAACATTGTTAAACAATGCCTTTAGATTTTGATTTCCCTTTAATTATTTAAGAAACAATCTGACAGTAAAGCACTCACATGTATACTGTTGAGTGGGGGGACCTGAGGAACCACCAATCTGTGTCATTATCAGAGTGTAGAGCTGGCCAGGGGTGAGTTCTTCAAAGATGGCGGCCTCGGTATCCAAGATCCTGGTTGTCCCTTCATCTGGTGTGATGGTGGGGATGTAGGTTGCACCGAGAGCACTGTTCCATGTGATACGAATGGACGTCTCAGTCAGCTCCTTGATATTTACACCACCAGGCACACCATCGGCTACGAAAGAGATACAAAACGTAAAGATAATTTAAAATTATTAATCATAATAATAATAGGCATTTCTTTAGCGCCGTCTATCTAGATAATTCTATTCGAGGCACATTTATTATGACCCCGGCTTTAGCCTAGCTGCTGTTTATACAGCGCTCCATCATTTTGATAGTAAATATGCACAGTTCAAAGCTATGTTGCAACGCATGGTTGTTTTTAAAATAAATACCACTTGACAAAAATCAGTGAATTTAAAGCCCGTCTGCACTAGTTTGGCCAGGGGGGGGGGGGTTAGACCACCCTGCAAGGTCACTGAGAGGCAGTTATCTCATCAAATCAGCTCTCAATTAACATAAGAAAAAGGGGATCATGGGGGACCAACAGACACAGATTAGGCATTGTTTGCTATATAGAGGGAGCAAGTAGCTATATGTAGTACAGTGGGACTTTAACAATTTTACTCACATGTAAGATGTATAAATAAAAAAGTGTACCTGTTGTAACTGAAACATCTTCTTCAAAGCTGACTTGTTGGGTGCTTCCTTGTCCAGACACAGACACCAATGTAACCATATATTCAGTCCCTGGTTCAAGACGCGTCAGGAACAGTGATGTCCGAGTCTTATCAAGTAACAGTGGAGACTCAAGCGCTCCATCGGCAGGGGTATAGATCACGCGGAACCCGTCAAAATCAACTTCAGCTGTAGAGGGGGCTAGCCATTCTAAGGTGAATGAATTTTCATCGAAGTCCGTCACTGGACTAATCAGACGAGGGGCAGAGGGTCCTGAGTAAAAAAAAGAAATATACAACTCATGTACTAATACTGGAGATGGATCAGACATTCATTTCAATCACTAGTTAATCCAGCTCAATGATCATTCATACCACTAATAATCACGGACTGAATAACTCAGGTCGAGTCCAAGAATATACTTTTTATAAGACTTTACTTGTGCCTCTTTAATCAACCATATTACATAGGGAGGCGCGATAGCTCAGTCGGTAGAGCAGTGGTCTCGTAATCCGGTGACCCGGGTTCGAAACCAACGCGATGCGCTAGTGCCCTTTGGTAAGGCATTAATCTTCATTACCAGGTCCCTCGGAGAGGACCTAAAGCCGTCGGCCGTCTGGTTGCTCACTTACAAGCATTTATGCTTTCTTAGCAGTCAGGTAAAATAACCACCACCACCACCAAAGTACATAGAACACACCCATTTCTCTGCACGTTGTGTGTTATCGCTAGTCTTATATCCAGACTCTATTCTAACTTGAGGATATTACACAAATGGAAACAGATTCAACATAAAACAGTAGATTGACATGTGGTCTAATCAAAGCTTACTTGTTCTAGCCTGGATCCGATCAACTTCGGTGTAGATCGATCCTATTCGTGTGTCCAGCGTTATCTCATACAGAGCACCTGACCTCAATCCCTGGATGCCGAACTGAGACGTTCCCGAGTCAAGCGGCTCGTAGGTGATCGTACCAGAGGGAAGGGCACGGTATCCATAGCGGTAATCATCAAAGATACCAACGATGGGGGTGAAATCGATTAGCAAAACATTCTCCACGGCAGAGAAGAGTCTCATGATGATTGGTTCTGTATGAAATTAAAATTAAAATTAAAATCATTTATTCACTCAATATAAAAACAGATACATAGAATTGCGAATAAACGCATACATGTATAACAAATATAAAAAGATGGACATAGTAAATTAGTAGTTGACAGGACAAGTAACATAAATTGAGTGGGGATCAGATTAAAGATCTATTTAAAGATCTTGTGAATTTGAACCCAATAGTATACATTGCATTGTATACTGTTGCATGTACAACAACAAGAGGGAGAGAATACATAAACAGCTGGGTCAGAAAGAAACAAGAGAGGGAGATAGAGATCATAGAGAGAGAGAGAGAGAGGAAGAGGAAGGCAAATTACAGGAGAGAAAGACAAATTGAGAATGTAGAGTTAATACATAGGATGAAATTAGACCCAAGCAGAATAATAATACATACAAAATACAAAATACAAAATAGAAAAAAAACAAAAAAACAAGGGAAACGCTCACGCCTGCATTACGCAATTTGATATGATGAAAAATTGAGGTTGGAACATTATTTATAGGCAGGGTGGCCCATTAGCAGGCCCCAAAAAATGAAATCCTCTGAACATAATCACATTTTGAAGTGAATATTGACTAAGAATCATCAGAAGAATTATTTACTATTAATTGTACCACAATTGATAACTTGAATGAAATATGAACAAATTAATAACAAAAATTATTAATTCTCATATTACGTTGTGAAAACATAATCCAAGTCTACTGACCTGTGACCTTGTGACCTGGAATTTGTGTCATATGATTTGTGATACTTGATAACCCTTGGATACAAGTTTCATGGAATTTGAACAAACAATTTTGAAAATATGCTAAAAATTGTTGATGCCGAAACACAGTCTAAGTTTGTTGACCTAAAATGACCTTTGACCTTAACTTTGTGACCTGAAATACTACTCACATGATTGGGAATACTTGATAACCCTACAGTTCAAGTTTCATTGACTAAGAACTTATACTTTCAAAATAATATCAAAAATTCAAAAACTTAACCTTAGGTTAAGTTTTTGATGTTGACGCCGCCGCCATCGCCGTCATCGGAAAAGCGGCGCCTATGTCTTGCTTTTTGCTACGCAGGCGAGACAAAAACAACAACATACAAACCAGGGATATAACAATTAACATTGACATAAACAACAAAGGAGATGGGTAGAACGATCAAAATTAGACAGAATTACAAAGGTTATGGATAAATCAACAGAAAATTGTAATTTGCACAGGATGTCGATCTTATAAAAATAGAAGGTCATCTTTTTTTGCAGCATGACAATTTTTCTGAAAAAATTAAAAAATTAAATACAGAAGATATATCAATAGGGGGGGGGGGGGTGAGAGAAATGAAATGACAATTTAGCTAAGCATCCTCTTGTTTGATATTCAAAACAAACTTATTACTTAACGACCTGACTACTGAATTTTTTTTTTTTTTTTTTTGGGGGGGGGGGTTAGATTTAAGGCAATTCAGTCAAAATTGACTATTGACTCCTTTATTACTGGAGGTTTTTATACAGGATCCATCCGGTTCTTGTAGGCAATTGGTTAATAATACAAGTTCGATACACATCAACTTGGTAGACAGTTTGAATCAAGATGAATAATGCAAATCAAACAATTAACGAATCATTTGGCTCATGAGATTTTACTGGTGATACATTTTCCTGTACTTGGTGAATCACCAGGGGGGTGTTTCACAAAGATCCTAAGTAGAACTTAACTCTAAGTTGGACTTAAAAATTATGGACAGCCATTGGAGTCTTAAAATGAAATATATTCAAAAGCAGAAATTCAAGTAATTTAGATTTTTTATGAATTCCACATCCAGAACATGAAATCTCCTTGATGATAGACAATATGAATGATTTGAATAAACAATTAATGCCTTTCAAAATAACTTTTACAAAATATTTTCAAAGATGCTAATGGCTTTCCATAATTTTTAAGTCCAACTTAGAGATAAGTTCACCTTAGGATCTTTGTGAAACACCCCCCTGGATTAAAGAACCTATCAGCCCATGCCCGGGGCAAGTAAGGTAATCCCAAATGTGCTAAATCTTTGGTATGACAAAATTAAGAAATCCGAGAAAGAGGAAGGCCGAGGACTTTGGGGAATTTTTTGAATTTTGTTGTTGTTGAGGGAACTAAATCTGACAGCGGCACAAACAAGGAACAGAGGAGAGTTGAAATAACGCATTTGGGCAACCAGCCCCTGCTAAGGGATAATAGTTTTATAGAATAGTAGTACCAGGGGTACATGAGAATTTAGTTGTTAACGGATTAAAGGGATCCGGTAACTTTGTCGCAGATTCTGAAACAAAATCCTGGATTTAGCTTTAATATGCTGTAATGATAATTATAAACCTTTATGTCAGTCAGGAACTCCATGACTTTTACAAGTCGATCGCCTGTCTGATTATCAAGATATTTATGATAGGAATTACAAATTTTGAAAACCGTTTGCCAAACGGTTTCCATAACACTACAGTTTATTGGGGAAAACGAGTATGGTAAAACCGGTCACTCAAAGATTTTTACTTTTTTGAGGCACTTCTTGATCATTTTGAAGCGCAATTTTTTTAGGGGTTCAATATTACACCATATCACAGACACTGATAACACGTAGGGCCGTGCATCTCAGATTTAACATTGTTAAACGATGCCTTTAACAACAGTGAATTCTCTTCTCCTACCTGTTGTTGCACTTGCTGTGATGGCAGCACTCTTCTGCAACGAATCCCCACTGCCGCTCACACTCCTAATATCAAAGACATACTCTGTATCGGCTAACAAGCTATCTATATCAACGCTGAATTGATCCCTTGGTATGGTCATGGCAGTCGAATCTGTCGAGTCAGCTGAGGGGTAGAAGGTGACTTCGTAAAACTCAAAATCATTTGTGGCGGCGGTCCATGTGACCCTGATGCTCTCTGCGCTGAGTGGTGCTGCAGCAGCGTTCATAGGTGGAGACGGCACTAGGATAAAAATAAAAGACATCACATTAATAATAGCAAGCTGTACTATTGGATGGTACCTCCATAAGGCTTTCCAGTGGTGCTGTACAGAAATAAATCCTGGACATTTTTCAATTTATTTTAATTTATTATCTAATTTCATAAAAATACAAAAGATATAATATATAATAAAATTGAGCAAGGGAAATCGCATTGAAACGCCAGTGGCTTGTAATAAAACACAGTGATTTCTCTTACAAAGATAGTAATAAACAAAATAAATACAGAATAAAAACAAAGCACAAAACAAGACGAAAATCATTATCACATTTCAAAGATTCAAGAAGTAAATAAAGAAACTTATTTCAAAATAATATATATTTGTAAATTTAGACACATTTGAAATGTGGTGTTGGTGGAGAATGCTAGATAACAAATGGCTACCTAGAGCACGAGCAAATTAGAGATTGATAAGTTACAACTCTGCTGTTCCTTGAAGGCTATAGCTGTGAAACAGAGACTTTGCTTCGGTGGACACATTGCAAAATTGAAGGGTATGAAGCATTTCTTGTGTTTTCAATTTCATTCTTACAACATCTCTACAGAAGAAATATTACATGTATCTTTAACAAAGAAACTTTCATTAAAAAAAGGAGTACACTCTTTGATATATCTTTACCTACAAGATCTCTAACACATGATATTATTACAGAAGATAATTTCAGAGAGGGAGAAGTTTAAGTTCTAGAACGACTTATAACAGATGAGATTTATCGTGTTACCTCTTATATGTCTACTTTATACAATGACATTGAGTGATTTCAAGTTGGGTGTTTAGAGCTGGTATTAGTGTTTAATAAACACTAACACCAGCTACACCGAAATGGAAATCAGCTAGTGTTAAGACTTTTTACAAAGTTGTCGTCTGCTGAATCGACCTTTATGGCTGGTGTGATTATTTTACGTACAAATGTCCTATTCATTAACACTAGCCCCTAGGGATTTAGCAAATGTTGATTTCCAGTTTGGTGTTAGTGTTGTACCGCACAACAGTCTACGCACCAACGACGCTAAATTATTAGCTCGATTTAAGAGCTCTTGACTGCTCTAAACACTAACACTAACACTAACACCCAACTTGAAATCACTCATTGTTAGTTTGGAGCTAGAGGGGTATCATATTGTTTTACACACATCTAGCTTCAACAGACGATATCATTCCGGAAGAAATTTTCAGAGGGAGAAAATCATCCCTCTGACTCTAGTATGACTTACAAGTTCTCTGACTAACACGGATTGTGTCTTCGCTTTGATCGTTGCTTCTGACGATGAGCTCATAATTTCTTCCTGGAACCAGGTCTGTGTACCTGAACGACAGGATGGTGGTGGTCGATGATGACGACTGGACCAGGCCTTGGAAGTCCTCTCCAATTTCCTGGCCTACTTCAATGAACTGCGCCAGGTAGTCGACACCTTCTTTCTTGCGCCAGGTGACGGAGATGGTAGTGCTGTCATAGCCAGTCACGAGCAAGATAGCTTCTGGGAATGGAGCTGAGGGAAGAAAGAAAAAAAATGTTTAAATATCATTCATTCATTCATGAAGTGCCGTCCCAGGCCAGAGTTGGTGGCTTCGCACATCAATGGGCTTTGATCATAAGATCTTATTCTAATTAATCTCTCAATAACAGAGACCAGTCTTGCTTGATGTTGTGAAATCTAGTGATTCCTTGTTCACTTCTTTCATGTTTCCCTTCTATAGTTCTTTCACGTTATATGGGACTGTAATGGCAGTTATTATGATGGTATATGTATTGGAAATCTGTATAGCAGCCCTTAAAGTGTAACAATCGCCAAAAGACGTTTTTCTCTCTATTTTAGGGGTTCCATGTCACTTTACTTAACTCAACATATGAGCTATAAAGAGAAGGTTGAGTTCTGGGAAGGGGTGAAAATAATTTGTGAGCGTTATCATTGTATTATGCAAGTGTGGAAGAACATCAGATAAAAAATGTTCCCTGAAGAGCATGACTCTTCAAATGCCTTTTGAAGAGTGACCGCCCAGTTCCCGTAGGCAAAGATTTAAAATGAGCTTACCAGTTCTGCCCAGTGCTTCAGTCGGGTCACTCGTAGATGAAAATCCCTCTCCAGCTGAGATGGTTCGCACCTCCACAGTGTAATTCACCTCTGGGAGAAGGTTATCAAGCAGTAGCTCTGTAGTAGAACTATCAACGACCTCTGACATGGTGGTCAAGACCTGATCAGCCGGGCGGACACTAACCTCGTATCCGCTGAGGGAACCAGCAGGAGGTGCTTCCCACTCCGCGAGCAAGGAAGAATAGGGCACCGATGTAAGTTCTACTGACACGCTTCCTGGAGGGTTTGGGTCTGAAAAGCAATAATAATTATATTATTTGTAACATTCCTATTATTATGATTATAATATTATAATAAAAATGATGGTGGTCGTAATGGTGATGATGCTGATGTATTAATGATAACTATAATATCAATAATAATAATGTATAAATACTTATGAATAATAAATGATATCAGTACTACTGCAACTAATACTCCTACTACTACTACTGCCACTACTTCTACCTCTACTATTACTACTACAACTTCTTTTACTACTTCTACCACTACTGCCACTACGACTACTTCTTTTACTACTACTACTACTATTACTACTGTTACTACTACTACAACTACTAACAACAATGTAATTCTATCTTATATGTATCTTTTATAAGGGACCCAAAGTTTGAATAATTTACATTTGCATATCAAATATTGTTGTTCATTAAATGCCTTCAGATGGGAAATATTAATGATATTAGAGCATTATAATACTTTATAATTAGACCTTACTATTACTTTTGTTTAGGTTTTTCATGTATTTGCTCTCTCCTGTTTCCTCTGTTTGAATGAACATAGACATGCACAGTACATTAAATGTACTTAATGTTGAATGAAATGAAACAATAACTTGACTAATACATAAAATGGCATTGGTTGTTATCCTGGTTGATCTAGAGCAGTGGTCTTGAAACTCAAAACCAAGTGATACGCTGGTGTCATTTGGTAAGGGATTAGAATCTAATCTTCATTACCCAGTCCTGCATAAGGGACTTAAAATAGCTGGTCCCCTGATTGCTTTAATACTTAATCCCGTCTGTACTAGTTTGGCCAAGAGGGATTAGATCACCCAGCGTGGTCACTGACAGGTGGTTGTCTCATCAACTCAGCCCTCAATTAGCATAAGAAAAAGAGGATCATGGGGAACCAACAGGCACCGCTTAGGCATTGTTTTCTATAAAGAGGGAGCAAGTAGCTGCAAGTAGTGCAGTGGGGCTTTAACACAATGCTTTCTTAGCAGTCAAGTAAACTAAACCATCATCACCCCAAATATAACCAACTGTAAATCATAAAAAGAAAATATACCTGTTCTGACTTGAATGGTGGCCAAATCTCCTTGTGTACCAGGCACAGTTAAAACAAGCGTGTATAACTGACCCGGCGTGAGTTCGTCAAACTCTCCTTCGACATTTGGAAGTACGTGGGGATTTGCGGACTGTAAATCTGTGCCTATGTTCAGCTGAACAATATACTGGAGGACACTGGGCACTTCACTCAATGTATAGGTGATGGTGTCGGTTGTGATCCTGCGCAAGATGATCTCTCCTGGCTGCGCTGGCACTGAGGTGAAGGAGAAGTTGAATTTGAATTTAAATGAAGAGAGTAGTATTATTATAAAGCAATATTCACATGTACAAGTGCATCTCCATTTTTCACCGAACACTGCAAGACGTAGAAAGGTAAATTCAGATATCCAGGACTAAAAAGAGTCATGTTCGCGAGTTCCTAAATATTCACTTTATTTCATGACCTACATCACGAACTGAAATATATGAATTAATGAAGAGGCAAAGGCTGATTACTATTCAAGAGCTTGGCTATACATTCAAACGTTAAACTATAGTCACAAAAGAAGGACGCTTTCAAATCCTTCCACTAATATATTGTTGGACAAGATTGCATGACCATGAAATACAACGTTTTGGTTTGACATTTAATAGGAAGTTAATTCTAATCTATTGAATGGTATTTTGCAAATTCAGGGCAGTCAGTTTTAGTTCCTATTGTGCAACTAGCTTTACAAATATTTACCATAAAATAACTTGTTCGATTCATGTACCAATTTAAATTCTTTGTCACATTGTCCTTTTTACTTTTAAGATATACTGTGAGAAAAAAAAAGCTCCATAATAAAAGTGAACTTCTGGAAGAAAAAAAAAAAATTATTCCAGAGTTTTGGTAGAGCATGTTGCTGTCTAGTAAACAAAGTGTAGAGGTGTTGCAGTCCGGTGGATAAGTCCCAAGGTACAAGGTTCAAATCCCTGTTGCAGTACTAAAGTCATTTGGCAAGACATTCATCTAAGTTTACCAAACTCCACCCAGGTGAGGTAAATGGGTGCCCGGCAGGAATTAATTTCTTAAAATGCTCAAGCGCTGTAAAGGCAACCGTCGGAAAGCCGGAGTAATAATAATGGAGCGCCAGGATTGGCAATGTGCTAGGCATGAGCGCTACATAAGTCTCCAATATTATTATAATTATTATTAGAGCATGTGAATTTTTATGGAATTTAACACCCTCACAAGGGTTTAAAGCATGTGTCAATAGGTCCTATCGGCTTACATGTTTCGAACGTTCCGTTTACGGCTTCACTGATGCTCGGCATGTTATCCACTCCTGCCACAGCTCTAACAAACACAGTGTACACCTTCTGGGGTAGAAGAGTAACAATGTCCAGAGACAGAGTTCCCCTAGCGTCTACTCTAGAAACGGCCGGAGTGGTACCATCGGGAGGAGAATACGTTACTTCGTAAAAGCTGATAGGTCCAGGAGAGGCGAGCCAAGCGACTGGAATCACGGTGGATGTGGGGCTTCCGAAAATAGAAGACGGAGCGATGGGTCCTAAAGGGATGAGAACATATTAGCACTTGATTATTAGACCCCCTCATTCACCTATTCAACATGTGTCTTACTAAAGTGACAGGTGTCACTATCGTTGTACAGTTAAACCTGTCTATGGCGGCCACCCAAGGGAAACACAAAAAGTGTTTTTTGTAGACAGGTTCCTTTAGAACATGTTTCAATGAGAAACCACTTTCAAGGAAAACATTTTTTTTATATAACCAGCATTCTTCCCCCCTTTTTCAAGCATTAGCATTCATTATATTTGTTTTACCAAATCAATGCACAGAGAAAACTCAGTATTGTAAATGTCATGAATCTGTGTGATATCAAAATGTATTTGATGCTCTCTGCAGTTGTAGAGAGGCAACTCAGTTTAATATATACCAACATTATCATTCCTTAAAAAGATTTTAGTTATGCAAAAGATATGAGAAGTGTAAATTTTTGCAAATGCACAGAGGCATCTCACTTTCTGTAAACTTTATTGATCCATTTAAAATCCCACTATAATTCCGCATTATATCAAAGCTTCATATTCCATACCAGTAGGTCTAAAGAGAAGCTACTCACTTGTGCGGACATTGACAGTCCTTTGCATAATGGTGTTAGTTAATTCCGTGATCCGTATCGTGTAAAGCGTTCCGGGTACCAAGCCATCGAATGTCTTCTTGACTACAGCTCCGGTGACGAAAGAATTGGATCCTACTTGAGCTGGTGTTCCTGCAAGGTAGATGGCTTCAACGAATCCGCGCCTGTTACTGGTGGCGTAGAAGATGGTGATGCTGTCTGTCGTGGTCTCTTGAACAACGATCTCGTCATCAGGCACGTCATCTACACACAGTCAAGGACAGGGATATAACTCTTTAAATGCAAAACAATTATATCTTCCTGTGCCATACTGTATACTTTATTATGGGATACATGGTATTAATTTCCTAATCCAATGGAAGCGCATAGAGATGTTATTTCATAATGTATTATGCGCTCTACAAGAACTGAATATTATTATTATTATACATGCACATATACATGGTACATGAATCAAAGCCTTCAAGATATTTAACTGTTTCCATTGCAAGATTAATCTTTATTTGTGTTAAAAGGATTGTCATGGAGCAAGTAAAGACCAGAAATGATTAATCCTGTAAAGCTGATGTGTTTCCTAATGCAATTTTTCTGTCAATTGGTGCCAACTGTTTTGAGCAAAACTGCATCTGAGGCAAACAACCAATTGTGCAGAGAGGATAAGAAAGCAACTGAAGTGTTAAAAAGAGAGTTAAAGACCAAATTTGGATATAAGGAAAGAGATATTGTGCATGTAAACATAAGCAGGAAAAACTCAAGAAAATTTCACATTTTTATCATTTCAAACTGGTACAGACTTTAATAGATACCGGTAATGAAATTTGATTCCTTTATTTGGCTGCATGTACTGTATCAAGCCTGATGACAGCTATTGATGCTCACTGTGCTAAATTCTTCTGCAAATTAATCTAGAAAGACAACTAATTGTAAAATCTCTCACAAACTGTGAATTCTGCGTTCCACCCAAGAGTTGAATAGGTACTGGAAGGAAGGAATTTCTTAAATGCTGTGATCACCCAAATCAGTAGCCTAGCTAGGGCTGGGGTAATATTCCAGTGACTTGAGCACCCCAGCGTGGTGGACAAGAGTGTTATAATCCAATATTACATATTATACAACTCACTCCCAGATCCAAATCAAATGATTGGTCATGCGTGGTCACGTGTGATTGATTTACTGAGCCTATTGCACGCTTTTTCATGTTTTCATTCGTACATTATATGATCTATCCGCTCTCATTGACGCTGTGTGTATCTATCGCTCTCAGCCTAACGGCTTCGTGCAATAGAGACACACAGCCTGCTCAACTCGAGTGCGGATAGATCGTATTATGAACTCATGCGCATGCATCATTTGTTTAGTATCGTATCACATTTTATATTATAATATATTATTACTATTATAATATTATTATCATCATCATCATCATCAGCGGCAGCATCATTCTTATTATCTTACCTGTAACGATGCTACTCTCTAAAGGTTCATCACCCATCTGCTCTGCAAATTGGCCATCCATATCCAGGCAAGACGACACGGTTACTAGATACTCTTTGAGATAGACCAGTCCCTCAAGCTCGTAGACCAGTCTCTCATTGGGGTAGATGACACCGTTGAAAGAACAGGACATATCTGCGCACTTCACATCAACCTTGTACTGACTGACCTCCGACTCGGCTGCTACCCATTCGATAGAGAACGAGGTTGAGGTCTTGGAAACCTCCAGATTTGATGGCGATGCTGGGTCTGTGTAATGTATAGTAAACGAAAAAAGTTTACAATGACACAAGTAATTGTTTTATTTTGTATTAATTTATTCTCTCTGCTCTAACATCTTTTTTATCATTATCGCACAACTACTTCCCAATATCTAGCAAAGTGTTAGCCACGTCCCTCCCAGTCCACACGTCAGCCGACATGTCACACATCAATAAACTCATTTTCTTTTTTATCATTATCGCACAACTACTTCCCAATATCTAGCAAAGTGTTAGCCACGTCCCTCCCAGTCCACACGTCAGCCGACATGTCACACATCAATAAATGGTCCATGGTCTGAGGGCCCTCCAAGCATGCACTCACAGTCTGCTGAATGTGTGTCAATGTATCTGGGGGGGGGGGGGTTTCACAAAGATTCTGTGATGAACTTAGCACTAAGTTCGACTTATCAATTATGGAAAGCTGTTAGCATCCATGAAAATATTCTGTAAAAGATATTTTAAAAGTCATAAAATGTTGATTCAAATCATTCATATTTTCTATTATCAAGTAGATTTTTGTTTTTGATGTGGAATTTATACAAAGTCTGTGCAGGTAAACGTAACAAAGGCGAACATAAAAATGATCATCTTCACTTACTCGTTCTAACTTGAGTCACTAGGTTCTGCGATTGACTCAATGAGGTAATAGTGTAAGTAGTAGATGGGTTCAAACCGGTGAAAGTATGAACGGGCCTGTCACCAACATTCACGTTCCTTGCTTCATCATCCTGGGGTTCAATGTTCACTATGATATTGGTGTTTGTGTCTCTCCAGGCCACAGTAATTGAAGTTGAGTTGTAGTCCAACACGACAAAGGCGTCGGCAGCAATCGATACTGAAGATGAAAAAAGTAAATAAATAAATCGTAAATGAAAGAAGGTGTGTGGAACAATAAGAACACATTATTATTACTATGTTTTGATTTTTGAAGGCAGTACAAGAGGGTATCTTGAGGAGAACAGAAAGAGCAATGATATGAAAGATGTGTGGTGTGAAACTGTTCGATAGAAAAAACACAAGTGAGAACATGGAAAGATCAGGTCTGAAAGAAACTGTGGTGGAAGTGGTATAGAGAAGTAGATGTAGATGGATTGGTAATGTGTTGAGGAGGGAAGATGATGAACCAGTAAAAAGAGTGTCAGTATTCATTGCAATTCTTTGATTTTGTAGTACCAATCATCTCTTTAAAGCCCCACTGCACTAGTTTGACCAGGAGGGATTATATCTCCCTGCAAGGTCACTGACAGGTACTTATCTCATCAACTCAGCTCTCAACTAACATAAGAAAAAGAGGATCACGGGGGACCAACGGGCACCGCTTAGGCATTTTTTCTATATAGAGGGAGCAAGTAGCTACAAGTAGTGCAGTGGGGATTTAAAACTTACATCATCACACACTCCTAGCTTAATTTCTTCCCCAAAATTAGAAGATGTTGTATTGCCCTTTAGGTCAGAATTTTTTTTTTCCTTTTTTTTTCCCCTCCCTCTTTGGGCTGATATTTCTCAGTTTTGAATGCTTTAATATATATATTTTTGTATTTATTAAACACTTTTACTTTGTTTAAACGGTAAAAAAAAAAAAAAAAAAAATTAAAAGCCGACCGTACATTTCAAGATTTTTGGGTTGGTCACAAAGGACAATTCAACATTTTTTTTTTAAACTTCTAATGTAAAAACTCACATGTGGTGGTGTTTGTCCTCCTGGTAGGTTCACTGTAGGTTGTGTTGTGTTCTCCACTCACCGCAACGACCTGGAAGTCATACGAAACGTCCGGGGAGAGGCCTTCGACCTTCCATGTCCTCACATCTTGGTCCACCTCCGCCACATCAATGTACGTAATGCCCGCTGTGGGTTTGTAGCTGATGATGAAGCCGGTATACTCCCCACTCCCTGGAACCCATGTTAAAGTCACTGACACATAGTCAACAGTGGTAACAGCGAGGAGACCTGGACTTGAAGGCACTAGATAACAACACAAATCAAACATAACACAGGGGTGATAGTGAGCACTAACAACAACAACAAAAAATCCTCAACCACCCCACTTGAGTAAAAAAAAAAGAAGGAATCTGGGGAGAAAAGAAGAAAAAAAACCGGGAAAAAAAAAAATCAGGAAACCGATTTAAATCAGTTAATTATCAGGCCTGAAAACAACAACAGATCAGACAAATGAGTTGCTTATTAGCAGATTGGGATGAAAATGCATTAGAAAACAAAACAGGGTGGATTTTTGCGCTATATAAATATCCAATATTATTATTATTATTATTATTATAACAACAACAGATCAGACAAATTAGATGGTTGACGTTAGCAGACTGGAAGAGGTAACAATAATAGCGACTTACAGGTACGAACGAGGCCCGTTTCCTGCTGATCTCCTGGGAGAACAAAAACTGTGAGTTCGTAGAGACGTCCTGGGATAGCACCAGTAACATCAGACTGTCTGATGCTGAGGGTATCAAGCTTGGTGCCATCTGATGGACTGTAGGTGGTGATGTAGGTCACCTCTTCCATAATGGATGGACCCCACTGGAATCTAAAGCTGGTCGGAGTTCGGTTGATGATGACGATCTCTCCAGGAGCTGGGATTTCTAGAACGGTAAGAACAAGTAAAAACAGTCAGACACAAATATTGCATAATGAAGTTGAACTGTGGAGTGTGGAGAAGTGTCATAATCATAATCACAATGCTGAAAACACTATACTGTAAGCCATAAAAGCATTTTATTATCATTATTATTCCTCTTAAATATTTGTTCGATAATTTCACCCTCCACACAATGAGGTGAAAAAGGGAAGGAGGATATAGCAGAACTCAAAGAGGATAGAATGTTTATTTCCCCCATCATCAAACCGACAATAAGCCCGAAAGACTCATTTTGGAGTAGATAGGAGGAAAACCGAATTGTGTAAAAAATCTAAGAGACTGAAAGGTGTCATCTAAAACCAAAAAAGTTGCTCTTACAATTATCTCAAGAAACTGGGTTTACATGTTACATCCTTCGTATATAATAAGATTTTCATGAACTTGAATTGATTAAATTGAAGAGTGGCGTGAAAGGTGACATGATAATAGTATACCCCGGGTAGCCACTTCAGTTATGAAACTGCTCTTCCAGCGGGCCCTGCATAACATAATGTTATTACTACCCTTCTCCAATCCAATATGCTGAGCGCCTAGCTAGAAGCCAGAAGGTCCCATTGTTATAAGTCTTTGGTATGACTCGGTCGGGATCGAACCCACGACCTCCCGTTCATGAGGCGGGCGCTCTAACCACTGAGCCACCATGCCCGTCTATGGGATCTATGGGAAAATCCCAAGAGAATCAAAAGTGTCATCTGAAACCAAACAAATATAAATGCTCTTCTTACCTGTTAGCCCCTCCCTAGTAATCACATTGCTGCTCTGGGGGAAACCTCCATCATTAGCCTCGGTAACGAGGTAGATGTTGTAGGTGGTAGCCGTGTTTAGGTTATTGATGGTTGCAGTGGTGACATCGGGTGCAAATCGTCCAACCTCCGTCCTGATTCTATCCCCAATGCTATAGGACAAGATGTACTCATCGAAGACTCCTCCAGCCCTTGGTGGTGCCCACGCCACGTCGATGGATGTTGGGGTACTGTCGGCGACATCGAGATCCAGTGGAGGGTAGGGGGCTGTAGAGAAAGAAGGGAAGCATGCTAAGCTGAACATACATGTACATATGTAACACATTGCATGGGATACTGTAGATTACAGAGATCATCATTTGCTTCTCAACGTAGGGCCATGCATCTCAGATTTAACATTGTTAAACGATGCCTTTAAGATGACAATTCCTTATCGCACTAGGCTAGGGCACAGTGCCCTTACACAAGACATGTTAGTTGTAAAAGAGAAGTCTACTCTTGGTGAGTGACAACACCTGTTATAGGGGAAACACTCAAATGATGTCAAATTCTCCATGCAAACCGACTTACTATGGACCTTTAAGATCTATTATAGAGTTTCTATACTTATTGTGTTTTCAATTTAATTTTTTATAAACTTTGATCAAAGTAAACCCCCTTCATAGCAGAAGTTTCTATTCTCTTTGCTTTTTTTTAAACGAAATTAATTTACTTTGTTCAAAGTAAAAATCTGTTTCTTGCAGGATTTAAATGTGATCTTTCGACTTCAAGCAAAAAATACAAGGGCAGAATTTTATGGTATCTTTATGCACAACAAACAGGAGTGTTACCCGAGACTACGTCACAATCCAGTAACCAAATTTCTGACTTGGAGATTGGCATAGGTATAGTGATATCACACTCATAACTTTCTTCTTATTGGTTCAATTTATCTCAAACTTTTGCCATTCTGTTTCTCTCATTTTCCGCTTTAAATGAAATGGTTACAAAGGTTGGATCACCCTGCAAAGAGGCTTACATGTCCTGAATTGTTGATCTGGACCGGTGGCCGTTGTAGTCTGAACGTTTGCAGTATACAGACTTCCAGGTGTTAGCCCCTTCCTCACAGACAACGGTGTTTCTCCTTCCGGAACCGTTTCTGAAGAAGGGATGGGGTTCGCACCACTATCATCCACGGTGATGATGTACGTATCCTCTCCAAGAACTAAACCCCAAGTCAACTGGGCCTCGGTCTCGTTCACAAATCGCACAATGACTTGCAGTGGTAGGATAGGAGCTATATCAAATGAGGAAAAAACAAATTTTCAAGTTATCAGGGGTGATAGTGAGCACTAAAAAAATAAAACTTTTTTTTTTTCACTCAACCACGCCCCCCTTGAGTAAAAAAAAAGAAAAGAGGATTCGGGGGAGACAAAATGGAATCCAACACCATTCCCCCCATTTTGAGTAGGAAAATTGGGGGAAAATAGGGAAAAAATAGGGGGGAAATAGGGAAGAACAGAAAAGACAAGGAAAATTTGGGGGAAAATGGATAAAATCGGGAAGAAAAAAATAATCGGGTAAAAAAAAAAAAAAAAAAAAAAAATCTGGAAAAGAAAAAAAACAATTGGGAAGAAGAACAAAAATCAGGAATAAAAAAAAAGGGTAATTATCAGGCCTGAGTTGTTTCAATACAAGGTTAACTAGCAGATACAGGATATCTTTCATGAAAGATATCAGGAAGAATACAAATCAAATGTTTTCCATGTCCTTTCAATACAAGTTTTAAAAGCAGAGGCAGAGGTTAGTATGGTTAAAGCAAATCAGTAAAATGACGGTAGGTTGCAGTTGTTGGATAGAGTCTTCATGAAATAAAACAGATGTTTTAAGGTTACTCTAATACAATTTTAAAGGTAACGCAAAGTTTTGGGAAATTTTGAATATTGGGTGGATAGTAATTCATAAAATTGTTGATATATTTGGATGCCCCTGTGGATGTATTATAAGCAATAGAAAATGTAGCCTCTAAAACACTTCAGCTTTCGAGAAATTGAATAATAAAAAATACTGGTGCTCCTGGTAAATTTCAAATATTTCAAATAGTGCCTAAGCTTTTTGGTAGCTGCATACATGAAAATCTCAGAATATGCAGTTTTGATATATAATTTCCAAACAGAAATAGCAAATCGGTCGATTGTAGTCAAGAAACATTGTTTTAAAGCTAAAGGAATTTCAGTCTTGAGAGGGAGCTACACAACATAAAGAGATTATTATTTACAATTTCATCACTTTAGACTCAATTTCAACCTTGACAACGATCGTTGAATATTTTAAAATCGCATATGCTTCCCATGTATTCATTTGAACCAATTTCATGACCCCATACCAAACAAAACTTTGTATTGCCTTTAACAGCAGACACAATACACCATACCCATATATATATATTTCATTGCGTCTTAACTTTGTACATGGCAGAGGCACACAAATATGTATCATGATATTAAATTTGTTTGCGTAATGTTGTCATTATGATCGCTATCCTTATCATCATTATTATTCTCACTGCACAATAATGATTCTAGATTGTATACATACCTGTATTAAACATGACAGAGAATGGTGTGCTTGATGTAGCATCTTCACCGGTCCCAGACCACGTTACCACGGTAACTGTATATTGAGAATCAGGGAACAATCCTGACAGGGTAAGGGTGCGCGGTTCATCTGCCCGTACATCAGTGCGTCTTGGAGAATTGCCATCGGGAGGATCATACGCGACTTCGTAATACGACACAACCCCGGGGGCGCTATTCCAGTTGAGTGTGATGTTGGTTGATGTAGTGAGGGACGACGTCAACTGAGTGATAGCATTCGGCCCTGGAAACAATCAAGAATATTAGATAGCTTAGAAAGATACCGAGATGTGATTGGTTCAGGGCTCGTCATGTGATATCAATTGCGAGGATCGTAATTGTTATATTTTCCTGGCCGGTCACTTTCGATGGTTATGTTCACCAGCTGGTGAAATAAATAAATTTTTAATCATGTCGCCCTCTTGAGGAACGTATGTCACCAATTACACCAATACCAATGAGGGTCAATTTTTTTTTATCAATATATTTTTTTCTCCAATTTTTTCTTTCCCCTTGTAATTACCTTTTCCACATTTTTTTTTTACCCCTAAAATACCTTTTTTTTTCATAAGAATATTTTTGTTTTCCCCTTGAAATTTTTAAAAATTTTCTCAAATTATATCTAATATTTTTTTTCTCTCACAATTTTGTCTAAAATGTTGTTCATCTTCTGCCAATTCCGGCCAAAAAATTGACCCCCCTCCATCCCTAAATTTTTCAAACCAGGGCTACCGGTATCTAATATAACAGATATTGACTGGCAGGGGGTATATAACACTCTTCAGCAGTCCAAAGAATGGTATATCATACCCCCTGCCAGTCAATATCTGTATAATATTAAACAGTTGGAAGCGAGGCTCCTTACAAGCTTTCATTATGAATTTCATTGTAATGTGTTCATTCAAAATACCAGCTGTCAGTGGCCTTGCAGGGAGGTCTAATTCCCCCTGGCCAAATTAGTACAGATGGGCTTTAAGGTTGGATTTTCTTTCAAACATGCCACATGATTTTGGGCCGAGATTTCAAAATCGTACTTACGAGTTCTCTGTGTGATCTCATCGTTGAGGTCGTTGTCACCATTCTGTATTCTAATTGTATAGAGCTCCCCAGCAGTCAGTGAATCCAGAGTGTACTCAGCATACACGATTTCTGGTGATACAGACAGAGTTCTCTGTGTCTGTTGTGTTTCATGTGTAGGTTTGTAGCTGATGAAGAAAGCCAAGGAATTCAAATCAGTTGTCAGCCATACCAGGTTGATGGTAGTAGTCGTCGTTTCACGAACGTCCACGGTTCCTGCGGGGAGTTCATCTGGTTTGAAATAAATAGGAGGGAATGAATTACAAATTGCTATAGAGACTAAACAATGACATTCATAATTAGTGCTTTAGCATTACGTACATCTACAATACAGCTTTAGCAATAATAACAATAACAAAAAGAAATGAGAAAATTGAATAATGATAACATTTAAAACACAATAATAAAAACAGAAACAAAAACCACAGTTGCATTTGAATCATACATGTAACTGTTTACTAATCCTGTTTTTGAACACACAAAGAAACAAATGGTTTAGTTCTAAATATTACCTGTGACGACGTCGACAAGCTGTACTTGATTGCTCATTTGGAGGGGAAAGCCATCTGCAGCATTGAGGAGAGAACTGATCTCATACATGTAGGTTGTATTAGGATTCAGACCTGTGTCTTCAAATGACAGTGGGGCAGTGGCAAGCAACGTTGCAAGCAACACCCGGTTGCAACACGATGGATTACCAAGGACCCTTGATGTTCCATCACCCTAGACAACATAATGACAAAAACACAAAATTATTGAAAAAGTCACAGGTACATATACAGTCAAACCTGTCTATAGCGACTGCCCAAGGGAAACACAAAGAGTGGCCTTTGAAGACAGGTGGTCTTTGTACACAGGTTCTTTTAGTACATGATTCAATGAGAAACCATTTCAAGGGAAACAACAAATGTGGCCTTTGTAGACAGGTGGTCTTTGTAGACAGGTGGTCACTAAAGCAGGTTTGACTGTAGCTTCAATTTTGTTAAATTCTCACCTCAAAGACAGACTATATGAGATGCATGTCAATTTGCTTAAACCAGACTTTGTATATTCCTAATACTCTTTACTTGTAATACTCTAAGGGGACTGTCTAGAAGAGAACATCTTGGTCTTTTATTGCACTCTTGATTCCATAATCACCATCACACATATTAAATTGTACAGGAACGGATTTGTATGACTGGTTACTTCTTATAGGACCAATAACAATTCTGATTCAAGCAATTGTTATCCAATTCTCTGACTCTTCTTGGCTAGCAGTGAATACATACATAAATACATACAACTGCTTTTAATGTTGCACAAAATTCTGTGAAATATTTCTCATCGCAATTTAAAAATAATGCTAATGACAAACAACCAAGACCCCAAAAAGGGAGAGAAATGTACATATTCAGTTAATATTGAAGAGGTGTGTCTTAAAATTCTTTATAGAAGAGTCAGTCAAAGCTGAAATGCCAACAAAAGAAGGAAGTGGGTTCCATATTCAAATAATAACAGTGAAGTAATACTGAAGCTTTTCCTCTTAGACAAAAAAGACAGAAAAGATTAGACAAACAGCATTTCATCCGAAAGTTAACTATCTCAAGCTTTAGACTCAACCCTTCAGAATGTCTTTATTCACCGCTATTCTTTAATGTTGTACCAATTATCTCTTCACTTTTCAATGACTGGAGAAAAGGAAATTAATTTGCTATTTTTCTCCTAATGGACAGGATCTTATGGCTAGGTACCATGGTAGGCAGACACTAAGGAAGTTACTACAGTAATGATATTAAATATATGAATAGTGGAGTCTTGTATAGTACTCATATTTGGCACATTTTCACTCCTGGGGTTCCATCATTATTACCCCAGCATTAGCATGGCTGCCTTTATAGCACTCAAGCATTTTAAGGATTTTAAGGATTCGAACCCTCAACCTTCGCATCTTCAGTCAAGTGCCTTAAACCACTCAACCACGACACTCCCACACGACAACCATGTTAGTAATAAACCTCATTACCTGACGATAAATCTGATAAGAGTTAATGGCTTCTGCAGGAACACCAGCACTGAAGCTGAATTCTACTGCAAATCTTCCACCCTCAAGCGAAGTCACTTCACCAGGATTAGGCGGATCTATGTCGTAGAGAGAATCAGATTTTCGCACTTAGCATTTCCAGTTCAATGATTTGACTTGATATAATTTGAGCATTTATCACAAATTAATGTTGCATAGAAACAAATAATTCATACATGAACAGTATATACAGACATATTTTGGTGACAACACAGTAGGTTTTGCTATTAATTGGAGGACTTACAATAGATCTGGTTCCATTTCACAAATACTCTTGTTATGTGGTGAATTATTAAAGTAACAGCAATAATAATTATGATAATGATACTAATCATAATAACAAATAGTTATAATAATAGTAATGATAATGATAATAATAATATCAACAATAATAATAATAATAATAATACAAAATAATTAATTATACTAATAGTATAAGACAGCGCTTACTTGTCCTGACAGAGTCACTGTAAGCCTGATCCGACCTGTAAACCTCAAGATCATAAACAGAGCTAGGTGACAAGCCAGTCAGGGTAAAGGTCAGGGGTTCATTGTCTTGAATGGTCAGATCGGCTCGCCCAGGTACAGCGACACCGTACGGACCGGCTGCGCCACTGATGGGGGCAAACCATGCTTTAATTGACGAGTCTGTCGTTTCAGCAGCAAGGATGGTGTTTGATGCCAGTGGATCTATCGGGGAGGTAGAGAAATCAATATACTCAGGTGAATGGAAGAATCTTTAAATGGAAAAATCCAATCCAAATAGACAACTACTCTAAAAGAAAGCAGAGAAATCAAAGAAGAAAACTGATCTTGAAAGTTTCAATTAAATAAGACTAAATATTGAAAAGTTACGAAATGTCGAAAATTGTAATCGCTATACGTAAGGGCACTTCAAATTGGCTGAAGCGGCAATGTCAATGTGATATATTGCTGGAATACTTTCCCATCTGTTCCAATATATAAAATGACTAAAAATTAAATTTAAAAAAAATCATGGCTCAGGAGGGATTATTCTTTTTTTAAAGGACTAATAATAATATGGTACCTATAATATATATTTTGAGTAGTGCCCCAAGAGAGAAGGAACTAACAAGTAAAAAGAAATACTGATATTTTTGGACACAGCAAATGGGAGAGTTATCCACGTCCTACGTCACAATCTACTGACCAAACTACCTATTTGAGGTTTGCATAGATAATAGTGATCTCATATTTCAAACATTCATAACTTCCTTCCTGTTGGTCCGATTCATTTCAAACTATTACCATTCTGTTTCAGTTATTTTTCTGCTTTCATACAAATCAGCTTATTACAAGGGTTGGATTGCCCTTTAAATGTTTTTGTAATAAAGATAATGAACAGTTTATGTATAGCCCATATTACATTATGATATAATGTCCCTATGCTCTTCCAAATAACTGTGGATGTTATTACCCTAGCTTTAGCTCTGTCAGCTGAAATCAGTGCCCAGTTCACTCAGCCAGGTACCCATTTAACACCTCGGGGGAGAGTGGCAAATGAGGATTAAGGTCTTCTCAAAACATGTAAGTGCTACGCTGGGATTAAAACCTTGAGCCCCTGGATTGAGATTTAAGTGAATGAAGCGCTATACCATGTAGGAGTTAGGGGAAGGGGGGGGACCATGCATCCCTCCTAAAAGATATCTGACAGGAAAAATAAAAATATTGCCACCTGCATTTTCATACACTGGTACTAAGTAGATTTATAGGGAATCATTTTATAAGTCAATAGTTGTTAGACTGCCCTTTCAATAATACAAACCACGGCCATGAAAACAAAATATGAGCATGAAATAAAAGCTGATTGATGCTCATTATTCAATATTGATTAGATGATAATACTTGAATGAAAAGTGCAAAGAAAATAGATACATGAAAGTGCATATTTCTGAAATTAATTCTAACAACAACAACAAATATCAAATGAGAATCCTTACATACCTGTTGCCCCATTTGTAGTGACCTCTAAACTCTGTTCATCCCCACTAACTGTTACCATGCTGAAGCTATATGCTGTATCAGGCTCCAGACTGGTCAGCTCGTAGGTAGTTAGACCAGGATTGACCGTCACTTCAACATTGTCGTCACGTAGCATGTAGGAGATTGTAAAGTTATCTAGTTCAGTGTTTCCGAGAGTCCAACTGAATGTCACCGACAGCGGAGTCCTGCTAAGGACTACCAGGTCGGTCGGGGGCAGCGGTACTGCAAGAAAAAACATACAAAAAAATCATTTATTTTTATTTTTTCCATGGGAAAGAAACATAGCCTGCCACAGTGTTTTAAAAGTGTATTGTATATGTCTGTATATGAGTGAAGGAAGCTGATTGCAGCATTCCTTGTTCGTCAATAACGGGGAAAAGCTTGGAAAAGATTAAAATAAATTTCCATTGTGATATAAAGTTGCTTTGGAGTAAAAGTTGATTAGAGTGATCATTGGCCATACGTAAAGTTGCATGCAGTTCATGTGCCTTTGAAATGTATTCATCAATGTAGATATACAATTGATATATACAACATTTTTTTAGTACCGGTAAAACTTACAAGTAGTTTGTAGTGCATGTATGCATTGCCTGAAAATAATATGCATTTAATTTGAACAAACTGTATGAAATTAAATCAACTCAAAGACTACAATTTTTTTTAAAATGATCTTGAAATGTTCTTGAGCCTTTCATCTTCTAGTGGCTCCATCAGGTCTGCAAAATCTATTAAGAATATATTGAGTGGACATATTAAATAGATTTGCCCTGAATTGTGTTTCTTGAGAATGAAACATATTAAAGCTTACATCTAAAAGTATTTAACAAAGGCCCTTATTCAACCATCTTTCATTCTTAAGTTACAAAAAAAATATTTAAAAAATATAGAATTTACAAAGGGTATGAATAATTTTGTTATTAACTGTTCATTGGAAACTTTTTACAAAAAAATATAGAGAAATGGCAGTTGACTAACAGCCTTTTCACACACAGCTAAAATTCATCGTTTCTAGAGATGATTAGTATAAACGTGTTTATCTCAACTGTTTTAAACATGTTTATAGAAAATTTTCCCTGTGTGAACATCGTTTATACGATGTTGGGATAGATACGAAGTCGCGATTCATACGCCCCTAAAAGCAGGCTGCAGATACGAAGTTCGTATCTAGAGAGCTTGACATTTTGTGTGTGAAAGGTAATTCTTGTTTAAACGTGTTTCAGACGTGTTTAAACTGGATGGAGCGTGCACTATGATTGATATGGCATGACCTTCAATGCGCAATGGCACTACTGCGCATTTTACGAGCAGAAGTTAATCACGAAACGATTAACGATTGCACCGAAATTTCTGTGTGTGAAAGGCTCGTGATTAGTTTTAACACACGTTTCAAACATGTTTATACTAATCATGTTTATAGAATTTTAGCTGTGTTTGAAAAGGCTGCTAGTAGCATGTGCCAGTGAACCTCTCCTCAAGATTTTTCAACATCCTAGATATTGCTATTCTTTGAATACAAAGTTGATAACTACTCATAATTTGCATCACTACCAGATTTGGAATAATAGGTATCATTATGAGTGGCAGCATCCAGAAGAAAAGTGTGAAACAACCACCACAAATGCCATGGAATACCATGATTTAAGAAGCTTAGCTTCTAAAGTGGTCCTAAACCATTCAGTTTATGATGTAATCAAGTTAAAGTATGTTGATTAATGTATTGGTACCAGTCATTTTTTTATGAAACAGATTATATCTTGTTTTGTGTGGTTTTGAATAAAATGAACTGAAACTGAACTGAAAAAATACCTATATAAATATGTGTAAAAACAAATTAAAAAAAAAAAAAAAAGTTCTATACAAAATCATTACCAGTTCTCTGGGAAGTAGTGTCGTCCTGAGGAGCAGATGAGACGACATCAAGACGAATGTTGTACAAGGTACCAGGCGTGAGGCTTGTCAGTCTACCTCGTCTGGTTCCAGTTAGTTCAAAGTTAGAATTTGTGGTTAGCGGCGAGTAGGTCACGTCGTCGCGGACGAATCCTGCCTCGTCGCTGCTATCTCCCCACACAAAGTCAATGGTGGTAATAGTGTATGCGATGACAAGGATTTGACCGGGGAGGGGTGTCACTACAATGAATAATAGTCATAATATTAATAACAATAAGAATACATGAGATATATATAGCGCAATTATCCATTTTAATTAAATGTTCAAGGCGCTTCAAAATATTAGGGAATACATTACATCATGACAAAGAATCGTGTAAATTTACATAAGAAAGAAAATGCAAAAATGAAAGAATGAATGAATGTCTGTCTTCAAAAACGCGAAATTAAACAAAGAGGGTTTAAGGTTGCTCTTAAAAGACGTTGAAGATTCAGAGTTCTTCAGCTCCTGTGGAAGTGAATTCCAAAGGGCTGGTCTGGCATGAGCAAAAGCTTGTACCCCCCAAGATTTTTTTGAAAGCGGTATGTGTAGAAGACCAGAGTTGGAGGATCTTAGGGTACGTGTGGGTTGGTAGAGGTGAACTAAAGATTAGTAGTAATAGTAGTGGCTCTGTGGTACAGCAGTGGTGTCACAAACTGGGAAGTCCTTCAATTGGCAGCACATCAAGAGGTTCGAATATCATTTTTTTATTTTGATTGAAATTTGCAATTTTTCAACTTATTAACAAAGTTTGTACCCACATATTGTTTTCAGAGACATCACATTTCATTACAATAATGTAAAATATTCTTGTTGCCAATTGAAAGCACAATATCGTTGCCTGGGTGGCAGAAGGGCGTTAGCTCAAATATCAGGTAAAAAATGAAGCTCTAAGCAGAAGGGCGCTAGCACTAAATCGCCTCAAACTTTTAAAAAAATTGTGGCCGTGTTCTACTATGACATTTCTATTAGCCTTTTAAGTTTTGAGCCAATTTTTTGGACGGAAAGCAGTTTAAATATAAAACAAATCTTTAAATGCGAATAATTTGAAAAGTACTTTTTGAGTAACTTGCACGCAAACGCCCTTCTGCCAGCCGGGCGACGATATATGAGCAGCAAACAGTCACAAAAAACGTGAAAGGGTTAATGTGCTTACCTGTACTAGCAGTGAGGGTGACAGTGTCACTTCTGACGTTGTCCACACCTACACCAGCTAAAGAGGTGACATGGACATCGTATTCTGTGCTGACCTCCAGTCCGTCTACCGTAGCTGCGGTGACCTCGCCGTCGACGGTCTGTGACCCCGCTGGATTCCCACCAAGAGTGACTTCCATCACGTACTGATCTACCACTGGGAGAGGGGAGTCGGCTGATGGCTTCAATGGACGATCCCACACAGCGGTCAGCGACGTCTGTGTCGTCCTGGCTATCCAAATGCCCACTTCCTGAGGAGGTCGGGGAACTGGAATGGACAGAAGGAATGTTAATTTCAATGTTGTATTGTCAATTGGGATATTTTTATTGCTTACAACCATCACGAAAGATAATTTACTTTACTTAATCCAAATCTAAAAGATAACTGATATGTAATGAGAATATACATGTTATAGACACATTACAATGTATATATATATTATATTATATATAGAGAGAGAGTCCAGTATCTACATTTAATTTGTGTGCTACTAGAATTTAAAATACCAACCTGAAACTTTTTTACCAGGCATTCTATGGGTAAATGGTTAAGGCATATGAAAACTAGATGGAATTTTGACTGCGCGCAGTCGAAAATGATGCCTCCGCCATAGAGCAATTTAAACAAGTTTGGAGTTTAAATCTCCAGTGGTTCTTGAGATATCATGATAACAATCGCAATGTATGGAATTTCATAAGTTGACCTCTGTGACCCTTGACCTTTGACCTACGTGCTCCAAAATCTAATCAGATTGTCTTCCTATGGTGATACACACTATCATTAAGTTTGAAGTTTAAATCTCCAGTGGTTCTTGAGATATTATGATATGGTGATACATACTATCATTAAGTTTGAAGTGAAAATTCTCCAGTGGTTCTTGAGATATCGCGATAACGATCTCAATGTATGGAATTTCATAAGTTGACCTCTGTGACCCTTGACCTTTGACCTACGTGCTCCAAAATCTAATCAGATTGTCTTCCTATGGTGATACACACTATCATTAAGTTTGAAGTTTAAATCTCCAGTGGTTCTTGAGATATTATGATAACAATCTCAATGTATGGAATTTCATAAGTTGACCTCTGTGACCCTTGACCTTTGACCTACGTGCTCCAAAATCTAATCAGATCGTCTTCCTATGGTGATACATACTATCCTTAAGTTTGAAGTTTTTACATCTCCAGTGGTTCTTGAGATATCATGATAACAATCTCAATGTATGGAATTTCATAAGTTGACCTCTATGACCCTTGACCTTTGACCTACGTGCTCCAAAATGTAATCAGATTGTTTTCCTATAGTGATACACACTATCACTAAGTTTGAAGTTTAAATCTCCAGTGGTTCTTGAGATATCATGATAACAATCTCAATGTATGGAATTTCATAAGTTGACCTCTGTGACCCTTGACCTTTGACATACGTGCTCCAAAATCTAATCAGATCGTCTTCCTATGGTGATACATACTATCCTTAAGTTTGAAGTTTAAATCTCAAATGGTTCTTGAGATATCGCGCTAACAAACTCAATACAAGGAATTTCATAAGTTGACCTCTGTGACCTGTGACCTTTGACCTACGTACTCCAAAATCTAATCAGATCGTCTTCCTATGGTGATAAATACTATTCCTGAGTCTTAAGTTTAAATCTTAAATGGTTCTTGAGATATTGTGATAACGGTCAAACGGGACGGACGGACGGACGGACGGACGTACGGACGGACGGACGTACGGACGGACGGACGTACGGACGGACAACCCGAAAACATGATGCCTCCGGCACCACCTTCGGTGGCGGAGGCATAAAAATGATTGAAAGCAGAAAAACCATGCACTTATGAGTTTGATCCTTTCTTAAACAAGATGCTGTATGTGTATGCCAGCATCCCTTTTCAGTTTTCAGAGAGAAAAGGTAAAAAATTGACAACATACTTGTTGTTATCTGCCTAACTGGGCCTGGAACTTCATTCCTTCTGATAGTGATGCTATAGGTCTGGCCCGGTGTGAGGTTATCTATGTCCACAATCCTGTCGTTTTCCGGGACCAGTAAGTCACCAATACCATCATTGGGGGCTGGAGTGATTGTCACGACGTGACGGAAGGTCGAAGATGGAGCAGTGATGGGTTCAAAAAGAATCTCTATTGAATAACTGGTGCGATTTATCAAAAACACCTCTCCTTCAAGGGCATCCGCTGTATAGAAAAAGAATTCAAGATTCAAGTTTTAGTAGCCATGTACACATTTCAAGACTTAGCATTTCAACATTTTCTATAAAGTATCTTTTGATTCAGAGGCCTAAAAATATAACAGAGGCATGAGAAGAAACGGCAGAAATGTCTTCACACATTGTGTCCATTTTTTGCATGATAACATTGCCTTTGCCAACAAGGATTTTCAAAGACAAATAATCCTTATATTAGCAGCAAAAGAGGTGAAATCATTGTTTTTCTAAGAATATTGGCTACTTCGCTCATAACCAGCGCTCAAAATACACGAGGGCAATGGGCGCTTCGCCCCCGTGAGCTACACATTCGCCCCCGTCAGAGTGCTCACAGGGGCGATTGCAAAAAATTGCCCCCGTGGAATATATGGTAAAAAACAAAAATGAAATCAAAATTATCATTTCTGTTATAATTTTCACACAATATTGAGTTTGAACTTTCAAAGCTTAAACCAATAAAATGGAACTATGGAAGTTCTATTTTAATGGCGTGCAGGATTTCTCGCTCGAATTTTTCGGTGTCTAGAGGCTGCCATATTGTAAAGAAATAAACACCTTTTTCGCCGCGAGATTGCAAGATCCCATCTCCTCACCTCTGTGGGTATTACGGATACAATCAACGGAAGCTTGCACGCTGCCGCCCCATATGTACTGGAGCTAGAGGCGATCGCGCAAGGACTGAAACGTGGAGAAGTTTTTTGTTGTGAAAATTGTGAATCCTTTGAAAAGACCAGCAAATAATGAACCTCGACCAGTAAATCAACCGAAAGCTAAAATTAGTAAAAGGAAACCTGTTGGCAAGGAGGTGAATGTATATGGGCTTGGACCAGAAATTTTGTACAAAGGGAAGAGATCTGACCAATCGCTGCATGTTATAACTTGTAAAGTTGTAAGAGGGAAATAATGCCGACTATAATGATAATGATGAAATAGCAAATAATTTAGGAGTTTCAATGGTACCACCAATTTAATGGAAAATTGTATTAAAATAGAGCCCCCGTCAGTACTAAAAGAGCCCCCGTGAGCCTTCTCACGGGGGCGCTTTTTATTTTGGAAGAGCCCCGGTGGACAAAAAAATTAATTTGAGCCCTGCTCATAACCATGCATATTATTTTCTGAGACATAATAGTTTAGGATAAGGGTATTAAAGGTATAGTGTTGGGTCCAGGGTTGAAGTTTAGAATTTGGTTGGTATTGAAAATTCATGCAGAACAAATTTCGCATGCAGGAGCAAGCAGTCTTTACAACCGTACACATACCTGTTGTTGTGCTCTCAATCTAATACTTAAATACTGTTTCGGACAGGGGGGAGAAGGGTGTGGGAGGGGGACGATTGTTTTAAAAAGATTGCATTTTTCATTTTGTTGTTATTTAATTGCAAAACTTTCGTAGTTATTCTAGCTTCTCTCCCTGAAGGTATTGCATCTCTGAAATATAACTTAAAGGAAACCTCAACCCAAGAAATGACTTTACTTATCCTGAGAGATATATTATATCCTTGCCCATTAATCTACAAGATTCCCCACCAAAGTGTGTGAGGAGGCAAAAAGCAAGAATAATGTACAGCTTCTCAGCACGACATGGGTATCGCCTTTTCCTTGATAACGTGACGTACTATGTGAAGTCGTGTATCAAGTAAATGTATTCAAATTTATGGATGCCTCCTAATACTAGTTGTGTGTGGTGATGGAGCATTTCATTCACCTGCTATTGTCCTTTGTACTATGATTGCCAGAACGCAAATTGGATAAATAAGTGTGTGCTCTTGTAGAGGGAAGGTTGCTCATATATGAAATAAATTTGTTAACTGCTATATTTTAGTATTCTAAAATTAATTAGTTACAATTGTTCATATATTTTTAACCAGATATAATTTGCTATCTCCTCATTAAAAAGTAAAGCTTGGTGCATGATACATATGTACAACTTCAACTGGTATGTCACATTTTCAAGAAAATGGCTCCGCCCATGTCAGCTAAAAGGCATCGCATCATGCCAAGAATATCTTCATTTATATATCTCTTGTAAATTTTCGTCAGGAATATTGTCCATCAAAGGGCAGGAATACACCTCATTTTCAGCACACCTACACTTATTATTTGGAGTGAGGTTTCCTTGTTTGTGTGAATGTTTTGTATTTTGTTAAAGGTACTAAATAAGTTTTGGTATGGGGTCATGAATTTGGTTCAAATGTACATATTAGAAGCATAATGAGATTTTACAATATTCAATGATCTTTGTCACGGTTGAAATCAAGTCTAAAGTGATGAAGTTGTAAATAATAAACTCTTTGTGTTGTATAGCGCCCTCTCAAGACTGATATTACTTTTAATACCTTTAAAACAATGTTTCTTGAATACAATCGACCAATTTGCTATTTGCATATTCTGAGATTTTCATGATCGCAGCCACCATGGAATGGCCTTAGGTGCTATTTGAAATATTTGAAATTTACCTGGAGCACCGGTAAGTTTGTTATTATTCAATTTCTCGAAAGCAGATGTGTTTTAGGGGCTAAATTTTCTAGTGCTTATAATACATCCTCAGGGGCATCCAAATATATCAAAATTTTAAAGAATTACTATTCATCCAATTTTCAAAATTTCCAAAAAACTTTGCATTACCCGGTACCTTTCATATCAAGATAACTTCAATCTTGTAACCTTAGCTTTATTATATATTTATAGTTGCATTTAAATTGTAAGCAAATAATGAACATGAAATGAAAATGAAAACATACCTGTTGTAAAAGTATTGGACTGGGCAGTGCTCTCGGTCTGATCCTGACTGATACCGGCCACCGCTCTGACCGTCACCAAGTATGTTGTTTGAGGGAAGAGTCTGTTCAACGTCACAGATCGTAGATCAGTGGTCTGCTCTGTCTTCTCAGGGCAGTCGGCCATGTTAAGAGGGGAAACGGTTATGCGGTAGAAATCTGCATTTCCAGTCTCCAGCGGCCATTCGATGAACAGCTCTGTTGATGTCGTCTCTGTCAGTGAGAGTGTCCCTGGTTGTCTGGGAACTGAAAAGAAATAATAATAATAATAATATAAATAATAATAATAATAATAATGATAATGATAATGATAATAATATAAATAAAAGACAGTATTGGTCAAGCTGAGATATTGATGAAATATTAATAAGTCCTGCCAGGTTACCAATCACCTCACCTGGCTCGAGAGAGGCAAATATACATTAATTTCTTCCCACTGAAATTCGAAACCCAAATTCCATGACTTTCCGTAAACCATTTTTGCCTTTTCCATGTCAAGTTAAGTACCATATTGGAATGGCTTGACAGCATCCAAGACTTATAGTTATAACACGCCTGTTGTCAGTTCAAACTGGAAAGCTGCCTTGGCCACACACAGCTCACACCCACGATCAATTTCTACAACTTTCCATGACTTTGGGAGATTTTTTTCCTAAATTTCCATGACTTTCTAGAATATTTTTTCCCCATGACGTTACAGTTTTTTCCATGACCCTGGGGACCCTGACTACAGAGCTTACAGTCATTACCTCAGTCAATGGATTCAAGAACTATTCCGTGCGTTACAGTTAACATTCCCCACTCCCTGGGGAGCATCTCAGCTAGTTCCCCACTATTTTGGGTCGCACATGCTACTCAAATCGGACCTTCGCATCCTACTGGGTACCCATTTAGCACCTGAAGTGGAGCAATGTAGATAAAATGCCTGGCTCACTGACATAACAGCCGTGCCGGGGCTTGAACCCTGCAACCCACCTGTTCTTCCTATTCCACTTGCAGCAGTGAAGCCACTGATGCCTAGTTGGAAAGAGTAGAGTGTTCCGGGCAGCAAGTTCGTGAGAGTTGCAGTATTCCCGCTTGCTGACACAGACTGTTCAGCATCATCTGAGTCTACGCGTCTGTAACGTATCAGCTGACCACTCAGACCCTCAGCATTCCATACAATGCTCAGTGTGGTTGTAGATCTCCTCTGAACCACTATTGTGTCTTCGGGAACAGGTTCTACGGGGAGAAGCAAAAGATAATAATAATAATAATACTCAGTTTTTATATAGCGCTTATTAGAATCACTTTAAGCGCCTTCAAACTTATTACCCCTGGCTTTAGCTGTGCTGCCATTGCGGCACTCTAGCATTTGCCTGGGTTGAGTGTGGCAAATGTAGATCAATGTCTTGCCAAAGGACATTAGTGCCGCGATGGTCTCAAACCGCGGACCTTGTGATCGACAGTCCGGCGCATAACAACTTGACCACGGCACCTCTACATGATTGTTTGATCCATATTAGTTGAAGGGAGGGACGTAATATTATGTTACAGTCAAACTCTATCAAAGTCAAAGTCTATAAGGGCCACCCAATGGAAACAGGAAAACTGGGCATTGTAGACAAGTTTCCTCTCTGGACAGGTTTCACAACACACATTTCTTTCTAAAGAGAAACAATATAGGTGACCACTATTAAAACACAGGTGACATTGATCATGGATGGCCGCTAAGACAGGTTCAACTGTACTTTTGTATAGAGTAGAGGCATAGAGTGATAAATGATTTATTTAATCATCCATTTATTTTCAGTTTTAATTTAACAGATTCCGATAAAAAACAGAAATGCAAAAGACTAAATGGAAAGTAATCTTCAGGTCACATTAATTTTCATGCACGAACTTGAGTAATACAGTAAAACTTTTATATAAAGACCAATCTAGACAAACATGAAAAATTGTCTCTATAGGAAGGTGTTCTTTATGCACAGGTTCCTTCAGTACAGGTTTAAACGAGAAACAATATTCAAGGGAAACAGGTGGTCACTAAAGCAGGTTTGACTGGAGTTTCTGTTTCAGTGTCCTGTCATGATGAAAAACAGAAATGCAAAAGACTAAATGGAAAGTAATCTTTAGGTCACGTTAATTTTCATTCACGAAATTGAGTTATACAGTGTAACCTGTATATAAAGACCGATCAAGAGAAACATGAACAGTTGTCTCTATAGGCAGGTGTTCTTTATGCACAGGTTCCTTCAGTACAGGTTTAAATGAGAAACCATATTCAAGGGAAACAAAAAATGTGGTCTTTATAGACAGGTGGTCACTAAAGCAGGTTTGACTGTAGTTTCTGTTTCAGTGTCCTATCATACTTACTTGTATTGAACTGTATAAAGCTATCATCATCGCCCTCTTGCTCGGGGAAAACCCCTTCCTCCATCAGTTGAGTTTTGACGATAATCTTATAGTACGAGTCTGGGTTCAGGCCCGTCAAGGTATATTCATTCGGGTCACAAGGCTTTGAGAAGACAGTTTCTGTCTCAACTCCTGATGCATCGACGTAGCTGAGCACATAGCCAGTGACTGTGGTGAGATCATTAGCAGCTCTATCCCACGATACCCTGATAGATGTGGAAGTAATTTCCTGTATGGTGATGTCACCAGGCGATGGTGGATCTGAAAGAAAGTCATTATATGATCCGATGGTAACACTTCCTTTTTCTTTCTTTTTTTGGTGGGGGGGGGGGAGAAGGGTAAATGTTGCATATATATTTCTTTCATTTTAGTGAAATCAATATTCTAAACGAGCAAGAAAAGTAAAATCTCATGAACAAAGAAATTACATAAATGATCACAATTCACAAGTGCACAGATATCTGTGTATTTTACACTTTATGTAAAAGTAGTAGGATGACCATGCAATTTGAAAACCATGGGGGCGTTTCACAAAGATCCCAAGTCGAACGTAACTCTAAGTTGGACTTACATATTATGGAGAGCTATTTGTAGCCTTAAATAAAATATATTAAAAAGCAAAAATTTCAAGTATTTTAGCCTTTTTATAAATTCCACATCAAGAACATGAAATCTCCTTGATAATAGAAAATATGAATTTTTCAAATCAACATTTTATGCCTTTTAAAATAATTTTTACAAAATATTTTCATTAATGCTAACGGCTTTCCATAATTTTTAAGTCCAACTTAGAGACAAGTTTAACTTAGGATCTTTGTGAAACACCCGCTATATATCATGGTTTGTGATATAGTAACTGAATGACTATGCAGTATTTTTCCATATCTCATGTTTTAGTGTGCGCAAACATGTAAAACCATAAATATATGTATGATTACACAAAAGCTAAAACAATATGAGCGTTGCCATTAAAATATGCTTCAGTGAGAACAAAAATGTTTTCCTTCCTTTATTATAGTCTTGGAAGTTAATTAAATTAGAAAACAAACCTACGGACGTATCAAAGAAAAATGAGGTAGAAGATATACCATACACTTAATAATAATAATGACTGAATGGCTTTTCTTTCATGAGATACAAAAGTATATTGCCCTCTCTTTGAGAATATTTCACCCATCATGCTGAATTGTGTAAATACGCTTTAATATCAGCTCGTGGGATAAACCCTTGTATCCCACTCAAGACTATTCAATGTTTATATATTTATTGTACATGTAAATACTGTGGACTTGCCCATATCCCTTACAAAAAATTGCCATGGTAACCATGTTTTTTTTGTCCAAATTACCATCCACCATGGTAACCATGGTAATCATGGTACCAAAACAATAAAATACAGTGTTTAATTAAAAAACATGGTTACCATGGTACTTTTTTTGTAAGGGATATGTGCATATACTTGTAGAATAACATCCATATTCAATGCTTACTTGTTCTGAATGTCCTTGAAAGAGATTCAAATGGAGGAGTTAATGAATTGATATTCAAGGTATGTACTTCAGAGGGATCGAGATTATCAAAAGAAGCCACAGGAGAGTTCAACAGCTCATCATTAATTACAGGGCCTTCTGAATTTTCCAGTGTGGCAACGTATGTCGCTCCTGGAGTGCCCCTAAAGTATGCATCTACTGTAGTCGATGTCATTGACTCATGAATTGTAGAGATCAAAGCGGTCTCTGGATAAAGCAAGATAAGTATTATGATAATTAGGCACATCCACAATGCAAAAATTACAGAGCAATGCAATTGAATACTGAGTATGAAATATGAGAATAAGTACATGTATGATCCCTTCGGTCAAAACAAAGATGTATGTCACAACCCAAGCGACAAAACAAATGGAACTAAATTGCTGATTTATATGATTATAAAGATGAACAAGATTCATTTACTATTTCAGATACAAGTACAATAATGATTGATTAGGTAGCTTGATTAAATTTACTATCATTTCCTAAGTTCATAATTTTCCTGTAGAAATGGGAGTCTGTTATGTTTATTGATTTCTCCTTCATAAGAGTGTCCTGCAATAAAATCATTTCAAACTCCATTCCTGTATAAGCAAAATATGATTTTAGCGAACTTTTCATCCACTACGGATGACAATCCTAGAAATTCCAAATTGCTTTGGAGTATATGGTGTGTTTCCTAAAAGAGGAACCTGACTGTCTCCACTAACATCTTATCAAATTAACATATCTAGATGCAATTACAGAACATACATGTATTACGCCTTAGGTATAAACCAAAACTCACAAATCCAGCAACAAACATGATAATACAGCATTAAAAAGGGAAATTCTACCCATTTAATTTGAAATATTTGTGATGATATAGGCCAGGTTTATTTAACTAAGAAATGCAGTAGGTCCATAATAATCTGTTCATCCAGTTTTTTGTACTGACCTATATGTAGCTAAGGTACTAACAAAGGTGTCATAGTCAAGTGATTTGAGCACTTTATGCTACGGTCACAAAGGTTCGTACGAACGCTAATTTTGTACGAATCTCTGTTTTTCCATTGTCTTCCCGAAAATCGTTCGTACAACGTTCGTAGCAGTTCGGCATTTATGACCGAGGCTTTACTTGAAATGCCAAGGTCCATGCATGAATGAATCTGATTCCCTTTGGTACCAATATCTGCAAAATGCTTTAATAAAGAGTTTATTTCGTTTGAAGCACAGCCGTGCTAAAGCCAGGGTAATAATCGGGAGCGCCAGGATCGAGGATCAAATCTGACTGACATAAGCGCTGTACAAGAACCCACAGTTACTATTATTATTATTATTATAAATCCTGATTATTATCATTATAATCAACATGATATATACAGTAAAACCTGTCTATAAAGACCACCCACTGGAGACAAGAAAAGTGGTCTTCATGGGCAGGTGGTCTCTATGTACAGGTTCCTTTAGTACATGTTTCAATGAGAAACTATTTTCAAGTGAAACAAAAAAAGGGGTCTCTGTAGACAGGTGTTCTTTCTATACAGGTGGTCACTAAAGCAGGTTTGACTGTATTTAGAATCTTACGTGTAGTAGTTGATCTAGTTGAAGGACTACTGGTGCGTCTCGCATTCAAATCCTCACTGACGGAGCGTACTTGCACCTCATAACTGGTAGCAGGCTTCAGTCCTTCGATGACCAAAGTTCTTGTGTCTCCCGGTACATCCGTATACCTAGCACCGTCCACACTGACCTCGTAACCATTTACGATGCTGCCTGTGGGAACGCCCCAAGTCACTGTAGCATCAACATACCTTGTCACCACGTTGATAAATGGCGGCTGTAAAGGCACTGGAAGTGGAAATAATAATAATAAAAATAACATTGGTTTTAATATATATCGCAGCTACTATCCGAATATAAACTCTACTAGACTGAGATGACAACCCCCAACAAAAAAATTGCACGCTTCTGAAAACAAGAACCACTTCAAAAAAATGGCAACAAATGCAACTTTCCTTATGTCTAATGGTACCGGATAAGTTATTCAAAAGCTTTGGAGCAGCACAACTAAAAGCACAATCTCTAAGAGTTACTTTTGTTCTTGAGTAAGGTAGTTTTAGAAGCAGCTTGTCCTGTGTACTCCATAAGTAAATATGACACCTATCAAGCTACCTGTAAATAATATTGACTTACTGTCTTAAATAATTAATTTGAGTGAAATGCACAGCCGACTAATTTCATGCTTATATTTCATCGTTTCAATGCTACATGTATATTTCAGCTTTTATATAAAACAGAACTTCAGATCTCATTGATTTTTTCCTCTACTTCATGTTCAATTAAGTATAGATATCGTCTGTTTGGAGACCGAACACTGAAGTGATGCCCATAATGGCCCTCAATTATTTCCCCCTTAAAAGAGAAAAGAGGATTCGGGGGGGGGGGGGGGGAATGCCATCGTACAGCATTCCCCCCTTTTGAGTAAGAAAAATGGGGATAAATGGGGAAGGAAAAAAAATCGGGAAAAAATCTTTTAAAAATCAGGAAACCGATTTAAATCTGGTTTTTATCAGACCTGACAATAGCACCTCCGAAAAGACATTGTACCGCCAGAGGGCGCAATACATACCTGTCCTTGTAGATTTTGTGTACACAGAATCATCACCTCCAACAACATTAAGAGTAAGTGTGTAGCTCTTTCCAGGTATGAGACCGGTGAGGAAGACACGTCGCTCTGCAGCAATGTGAAGTATGGTGCCATCACTTGGAGACCGTGTGGGTAAGAAGGTGACCTCTCCTGTCAAACTGCTGTTGACCCCGTATGCAAATGTGATTGAAGTGGTGTCCACAGTTTGAACAATGATCTGACCGAGCTCCAACGTAGCTGTATGGTTAGATGGATAAGGGGAATCAAATCAATGACCTGGACATTTCATGCCTGTTGCACCATTATCAATGGGTATAGAGCACCAAACGTCATATTGGCTCATCGTGGAGGTTACTGGTTCCGATCAACAGAGCCTACGCATGAGATTCACTGCAAAATGATTCAAGCAACAGGCTGGAGCAGGGCAAATTCAGTGGTGGGCCGCGGTGTCATCACCACCACATTGTTCAGCACAAAATTGTTTCGAACCAGTAACCTTGACAACCTGGCCAGTATGACGCAACACTCGGTACTCTATTGAGTTACATACTGTCTTGGTGACGTGAATGATTTCACCTTGGTGGACTGTGGCAAAGGAACAAGGAACTTGAACCCTGTACCTGGTGGTTCACAGTCCGGAGTCTTACCCACTAGACCACAATACCTCTACTGTTTCACAAATTTTACAATTTGATAAATTACTCACAATTCAGACAAACGATACAACTGATTTACGAATGGTGAGGGAATAAAAAATGACTTACATGTGGCTTCATGAACCATGGAGGGTTCACTGACACTTCGTGATGGCCCAGTCCCACTTAACGTCCTCACATAGATGGTATACAACGTATCTGGGTTAAGACTCTTTACGAATGATGAGGGAATGAAATATGACTTACATGTGGCTTCTTGAACCATGGATGGTTCACTGACACTTCGTGATGGCCCAGTCCCACTTACAGTCCTCACATAGATGGTATACAACGTATCTGGGTTAAGACCCTCGACCCTGTACATGGTGTCATTGACACCGGCAGACCCAGCGGGCACCTCGATGTTGCTCCCATCTTGGCTGAAGGAAACCTCGTAGCTATCAAAATTGGTGGCAAGAGGAGGTTGTTCCAAACCGACGACAAGTGACACTTGCTCTACGGTGATGATGGTGACAGGTCCTGGACGGTTTGGGTCTACAAAAAAACAAAGGATATTGCTAATCCATGCGGTATCTCAATAAAGGCTAAACATTACTGAGCACAAATGATGTATATCACAAACACAAAAATGCATCAAGCTTTGAAAATGAACATAATGCAGTGAATTTGATACCCTTTTTCCCCCGATTGTTGATACCCCTAAAGCGATACACACATACACGTCTGGTGATTATGAACTACACTTTTTACATGTGTTGGTGTACAGGGATGACGTACAGGCCTCAATGAGACAGACTTCCTGGAACACTAACATGATATAAATGTACTTTGCTGCTTACTTGTTGTTGTGATAACACTGTTCGTTCCAATCAGTGATTGAGGAGTTCCTAGCACGAACAAGCTGTAGTGATTTACAGTCAGTTCATACTCCGTCCCAGACTGTAAGCCATCGAACCAGGCGCTGGGTCGAGAGGAGCCAGATACCATTACCACATTCCCAACCTGTACACCATTTGAAGTCAAAGTCAATATGAAGTAAGATGGCTGGGCAAGGCTGAGTTGTGTCCAGATATACTCAATGGAGCTGTTGGTCCTGGAGAGCACGTAGGTTTGGCCTGGTACGGTATCTGCATAGAAAAAACAAGAAGCATAGAAGATAATTATACAGAGCTGCCAACCTTGTGCGACCAAAAAGAGGAACCATGATGTTCTTGATGAAGAATTTACGAAAAGCCTAAAATACTCGAGTTTTTGCTTTTGAATATATTTTATTTTAAGGCTACAAATAGCTCTCCATAATTTTTAAGTTTAACTTGGAGTCAAGTTCGACTTAAAATCTTTGTGAAACACCCCCTAGGTTTTACCATGACTGTGGCAACCCTGATACATTCTCAACCACATAAAGGAGTTCAGTATATATGTGATCACTGTATCAAAGTTAATAGCACATCTACAAATTGAGATACATGTAGGACTAAGATAGCTTAAAGAAATATAGTGGCACGAAAGGCCCACCTGTCACACATTTTTGAAATTACGATTCTGTTTTTCTCGCACAGAGGTAGAACGACATCATTAGCTGGTAACTGCATATACATCTGGATGAGGCTTAAACCTATTTAGCCTGGGGGAGGGGGGGGGGCTTTGAACCACCCCACCCCCTGGTTTTAGTGGGTCAAGTTGAACATAATGTAAAAATTGTACTTACCTAATGTGAAAGTGCGGACGAGGGGTTCGCTCTCCAAGAAGACATCACCGCTCTGATTCTGAACCAGTGAAGACAATGAGAAAGTATAAGGAACCCCGGGCACAAGATTAAGTACTGTCCTGGACGTGTCCAAGGGGGCAGCAAACAACTCGGTCTCCCCATCATCTTCTTCCGACGGTGAATACAGGATCTTGTATCCAAAGACGTTGTCTGATGGTACCGGGGGACTCCAGTTGAGAAGGACAGATCGACCGTCGGAGCTGGGAAACACATTCAATATTGTAGGACTTGATGGCACTGAAAAGAAAATGAAACCACTGGTCAAAAATTTGAATATGAAAAAGGCTCCATTTGTTATTCTTAGATCTTCAAATCATTTCTCTCTCATACAGCTGTTCATGCCCTTTACCTCATTCCATTTTCTTTTCAACACCGTGTAGCTTTGTTAGCGTTGTATATTACTGAGAACGGTACAAAAAGTACCCACTTATTATGACAGTGATGATAGCGTAATATATTAATTAGAAGCCACTACCTCGTCATAACTGAATTCAAGACACTTAGTAGTGCAATACTCGTCTCATATTACTCAAAATATTCCCATGATACACCCCTTTTCATTAATAGTAACATCGCCTTTTGGAAACTTTTGCTTGTTTACAAAGCTTTGAATGGTCAAGCCTTGTCAATTCAAACTTACATGCATTATTCAAAGAAAACAGAAAATAAAATGTACATGTCACATGGAACATTCAACATAAAACGAGTATAGGAGAACAAACATATAGGGCATTAACATTCACATTATATATGTCTGAATTATTATCCCTTAAATCACATCCAGAAACACATAACTTACAAAGTACACAGGACAAGCTGCTTCTAAAGCTACCTAAAAAACGAAAGTAAATCTTGGAGATTGCACTTTCAGTTGTGCTGCTCCAAAGCTTTGGTATAACCTACCACTAGACCCGAGGAAAGCCTCATCCGTTGCAGTCTTCAAAGGTTTCTTGAAAGAAGCACATGTTTTTCCGAGGCTTTTGAATAGTTTGTGGTTATGTGGAGGTAAAGAAGCACCATTGGGAGGTTTTTTCTTCATCACTACCCAGTAAGGTTATATTTAAATAGTTCTTGATACCCTTTAATTCCTTTTGCAGCTCATTTAGGAAGATATACTGGGATGGTAGGTGAGGCGAGTAACTGCAAGGAGTGTCATGAAGTGCAGAAATGGTGTGTGGACAAAGCACTTGTCCATTTACAGTAAAATATGCCAAGTCCAGTGAAAATAAGAACCGTGCCAGTCAACTTAAACCATGTGAGAGCCTACAGGAGGCTGCATCATGCTAAGGAAGGGTTAAGCAGTCTGTATACCTGCGCTTTATAATTAGATGTAATTATTACTTACATGTTGTTAAGTAGTATTCTTCATTGTCGTCTCCCCAAGAGACCCTCAGCCTGTACGTGGTAGCAGGCGAGAGGCCTGAAATCGTTTGCTCAACAACAGGTGGAAGGGGAGATTCATCATTATAAGCCTGAAACACTGAAGTGATTCGTGTATCATAATCGGTGTAGACAACTATAAAGAGTAACGTTACACTCGGATTTGGAGGGATGAGAGCAAGCGTAACCGATGAGGAGGTTTTCGCAACCTCTGTAACCGTAGTATTGGAAATACCACCTATACAGTAAACAAAATAGAGAAAAGAAACATGCGTAGTGTGAACAAATTGAGTAAAACACATGAAAAAAGACATACAAATCTCACAAAACATGTTTTAATAACGATGGGGAAAACTTCAGGTAATTTTCTTTACTTCAAATTTAGAAACAAATAACACTGTTCGGTGGAATTGGATAGTCCTTGTATATCCGAGTAATTTACTCATTTAGCACCATTATGCATGCCATTCACTCAGTGAAAAAAAACGTAAGTGTATAATACTGTTAGCTGCCTGCAAGAATGATGTACCGTAACTTCCATGAACTATATTATAGATCTTATGTTCTCCTCACTGGCAGCCAATGGTATCTGAGTATTTTACTTAAAAGCAAGTCAACTTATAGACAAAATACTCACTGACGAGCATTGTGATGTCACATGGTCTATCCAAAATTATGCACAATTAACGCATCGCATAATAATTCAGAGCAAAAGATAATTGTGTATGATAACCATATGCTTGCCAATCAAGGCCTCCACAATAATTGGATAAAGTCTGCTTGGGAGCTTGGCAAACTGAAGGTAAAATACTTAGCCAAAATCTTCAACTGAATACTAAAGTTGGCTAAGTATATTATCTAAGACAAAAACTTAGTAAAACTACTCATATTTCTGACATAAGTATTGAATGTGTATGTCAATTTGTACCTGTGGTGTGTTCAGTCGTTACAGCTTGACTCAAGATTTCAGGGAACTGTGAAAACAGGTACAGTCCCGACCTGACAATCAGTTCATATGCCGTGCCGGATTGGAGACCTTTGAAAGTGGCCACAAGTGGACTGGTGGCAGGAACATCGCCATCAGGATGAGAAAGTTCGCTACCATCAGGGCGTACAAGAGTAAGGCGATAGAATTCAGCACCAGGCGATGAAGTCCAAGTGAAAGTGATCTCCACATCATTGGATTCATCTTCGGTCACCTCAATTTTAGATGGTGGTGAGGGCGCTACAACGTAAAAGAAACAGTAATATTTTATCTCCATACATAGAACTTGGCATTGAGAGACAGGAGAGAGGGTTCTAGGATGTGAAAGAAACAAAGTGAAATTTATCTGGGTACAGGACTCTGAAACCAGGTATCGATGCATCAGCCTTAATTCACTGTCTCACGTTACAGGAGATCTCAGTGAGACAAGTAGGCAGGGCCATTAAGAAAAAATATTAAAAACAAGCTCAAAATCAAAAAAGTTTTAGGTCTACAAAAATCTGCCCAAATTCTTTGGTGCTTCAAAATGTTGAAATTACATAGAAGACAGTATATCCTTTCAGGGAACACTACAAACTAAAATTTGACCCCTTGACAATAAATACTTTTAGCTCTAACTGAAGCTCACACCACGTGATTTCTGGGTTTTTAATGGTGCCTGGTCACTAGTTATCTCTTAAGTCTAGTTTGTTAACAAATCTGCCAGTTTTACTACAGAGGTTTTTTCAACCATACTTCAGCGAACTGGACTTAACCCTTACTGTACTGGGGGGGGGGGCCTGGGAGGCTCCCCCCTCGACATTTTCGGAGATCGCGCCGCAACCGCTTGGATTTTTGAATTGTCGTTTCATGACTTTTTTCCCTCAAGTCTTGCGCACATTTTGATACCATTTTCGTCAAAATCGGATATACCTGTAAGGTGTTACATAACAATTAGTATGCGCATGTCAATCAAAAAAGTGCTATAATTGCATATATTCATGTACAAGCAGAAATGTGAAGATATGAATTGATATGAAATTGCTTTTATATGTTTCTCAGAGTAACTTGATGTATTCCAGAACAAAAGAATACATTAGAAATAAAACAATAGATATAATAAGAAATAAAAAACAATAAAATACATAAGAAAATAAATAGTTGAAAATTGCATCAAATTTGCATAAATTATTATTATTAATTACATCAAATAACTATTTTGTGTAAGAAAAGAAGTTTCATATGAATAATGAGTTTCAACATTCAAAAAATGGAGTCTGACAATTTTTGTAATGATTCTAGTTCCCTAAATATAGTTCCTGATTTGATATTCATGAATGCGTAATTTGCATATTCATAATTTATGCAAATTAACCTATGCATTTTCAAATATCATAACAAAATGAAACCTCATGAATTTGAGATGAAGGAAACATTTATTCAATACATTTTCAAGATTCTTCACAAGTCTACGGACAAATATGTGGCATTTTCTGTAAAATGCATAAAATTAGCATTTTGCATAATTAATTAGGCTATAACGACAAAAATTTGCATATTAGGAAAAAACTAATTATACCATCTTGTTCCTTACGTAAATATCTACAAATATGCAAATTTTCGTGTTCATCGGACATTCGACGTCCGAGATCATAGGGGGGGGGGCCTCCCAGGCCCCCCCCCCCCCCCCCAGTCAGAGGGTGCTCAAAATAGCCCAGTACAGTAAGGGTTAACAGTTAAAAAAAAAAAAAATTAATAACACATACAGAAGAAAGTGGGCGTAGGACCTTTGTTTAAATACGTGCAGTTCGTTTTTGGTCCCCACTTGCCAATGCCAATCATTTACTAAAACAAGAAAATGATGCAGCAATTTGCCGTAGGATGTGTGAAAAACCCCTCAGATGTTCTAATTATTAACATTCTTTGCATCTTTATATAATCAAATAATCAAATTAATAATCTTAAAATACATCCGTTTGATTTGATGTAATATTAATTATTCTCTTTCCTTTGTTGAATGTTCGATATTACTCCTGTCCTGTTCATGTGTATAATGCAAATACTCTTATGATTTCAGCAGTGGATTTTCAGGTGGATTTGGTGACTTAAATTTGTTAGATATTATAATTAGAATTATTATCATTATAAGTATGAATATTATCACTATTATTGCAATTACCATTATTATCATTATTATTAAAGGGACTTGGTAACATTGTTCAGATGAGAGATAGTGGTGCTAAGGTAGTGACTTCAATGCTAGATGTACAATTATTAATGGTACAAATTGGGAAAAACTGAGCAATGAAATGGCTCTACATTCCATTCCAGATATTGAAGTGTTGACATATTTTTTATAGCCTGTTTTATGTCTTTTTTTCATGGAAAAACGGTTGGGAAAATTCAAAAATGGTTGGGAGAATTTACTGTTAATCACTGTTAGAGGGTGTCGTACATCAACGCCTTCAAAGAAAACCATAGATATCTTCGTGGTTTGAGAATCTTTTCAGGATTCTTTTCATGTCAGAGGGTTAGTACAGTAGAAGGAATATAGTAAGTAACATTTTATACAAAAATTAAGCAATTTTTTTCATCAACCTTCAACAATGTTACCAAGTCACTTTAATATTATCATTATCATTATCCTTATTACCATTATCATTGTTATTATAATTATTATTATCATCATTATCATCATTTTTATTATGATCATTGTTATCATTATTTTTATTATCATTTTTATCATTGATCATCATTATTATTTTTATTATTATCTTTATCATTATTAATATTTTAATCAATATTTTCATTATTATTATCATTATTTTTTTAATTATCATTAGTAGTAGTAGTATTGTTATCATTATCATCATTTTAATAACTATTGTTATTATTACTATTGATACTGATGTTTTTGTTGTTATTGCATAATAAATACCTGTTCTGAACTCTCTCATAATTACACCCGGGCCATTCGGTCTCATGAGGTCAGTCACAGAGACTCTATACAAAGAGGCTGGCACCAGGTTTGTTAGCGTCACTCTTGAATCATCCAAACTTTGACTGTCAACTGTGACCGTGAACTGATCAAGTACATCAAATATGGTGATGCCGTCCCAGATAGTCCAGATGATAGACACTGTGGTCTCATTTATCATGGTGATTATCATAGTATCAGCTGGAAGACTCCCTGGTAGTAAAGTAAATTTTCAATCAAATCAAATTAAATCAAATTCAATTCAATTCAACTGTATTTTACCTTGCAATAAAAATACGAACGACCAAAATACATAGATATGTACCCTTTAACACTTATTATCAGCACTATTATTACCAGTAATATTCATGCAATGAGTGCCAGTTTGTATTTGAGGGGGGAGGGGTAGGGGTGCAAAGAGTGTCACCTGGAACGACCAATGCAGAGTAGGTTGTGATTAGCAGAATGACAGCACCATCCATCAACAAAACTAAAATGACCCTTCGTAAATCCTGACATTCATCACATGTGTATAGTAGTTTTTTTCTACCAAACAATCACTGGAAGCCTTTAGTTCTTAAGAACACTTCTTGAGAAATAAAATTTAGCACAGGGAATCATCTCTGTAGAATCCAAGAGAAATTGTGCATGAAAAACATTTAATTAAGTTGTGCATGAAAAACATTTAATTAAGTTGTTCCGTTCACTTCAAAGTAATTCTCAAGACTTCCTAATCTATTTCAGGAGTTCAAGAGAGCATATGGAAATAACTTGATGTAGCATTGTGATGTGAATGACTTATGAAGTGGTGGGAACAACTTACTAAGTGGTGGGACCAACTTACTAAGTGGTGGGACTAACTTACTAAGTGGTGGGTACAACTTACTAAGTGGTGGGACTAACTTACTAAGTGGTGGGTACAACTTACTAAGTGGTGGGACTAACTTACTAAGTGGTGGGACTAACTTACTAAGTTGTGGGACTAACTTACTAAGTGGTGGGACTAACTTACTAAGTGGTGGGTACAACTTACTAAGTGGTGGGACTAACTTACTAAGTGGTGGGATCAACTTACTAAGTGGCGGGTACAACTTACTAAGTGGTGGGTACAACTTACTAAGTGGTATGACCAACTTACCCAATGGGGTTAGTGACTTACTAAGTGGTGTGAACGATTTAATAAGTAGTGGGAATGACATACTAAGTGGTGGAAAAGAATCAGTAACTGGTAAGAATAACTCAATACTAAGTGGTGTGAATGATTAACAAATTGTTGGGAATGACTTACTAAGTGGTGTGAATGACTTCAGTGGTAGAAAAGAATCAGTAACTGGAAAAAATAACTTAATACTAAGTGGTGTGAATGACTTACTAAGTGGTGTAAACGATTTAATAAGTGGTGGAAAACAATTAGTAACTTGTGAGAATAATGTAAAACTAAGTGGTGTGAATGAATAACTAATTGGTGGGAACAACTTTAATACAAAGTGGCAGAAATTACATAGTATCAGAACTTTGTTCCTTGAAATCTCCTGGACCCCATACATCTCGGTGAAACATAAAGAGTCAAAAATTGATCTGAGTGAATTTAGGCCATGTAGTGTACTTACTAGTCAAAGTCGTTTGTGAGACTGGCTCACTTTCTTCTGCTAGATCATCAAGTCCTGACACAGACCTCACATCCAAGGTGTACTCAGTGGCCTGGTAAAGTCCTTCCAGCGTGGTACTTGTCACTGTTTTACCAACCATCTTATACTGACTTACTCCATTCATTGGAGTGTAAGTAATTCTGTAAATACAATGTTTTGTAGAGGGTCATACCTAATGGTCTTGCTCCAAATTCAAAGGTGTACACATTGATCGTATATATTCTAGCATTATTTTAATACAGTCAAACCTGTCTATAGCGACCGCCCAAGGAAAAAATAAAACGTGGCCTTTGTAGACAGGTTCCTTTAGTACATGATTCAATGAGAAACCATTATCAAGGTAAACAACAAATTTGGACTTTATAGACAGGTGGGCTTTGTAGACAGGTTGGCACTAAAGCAGGTTTGACTGTACCTGTAAACTGAACATTTCATTTTATTTCTTGATTTCATGTTCTCGCATACACTCAGGGTTAACTCTTAAGCTGCCACCCATACAATGCACCCAGTGCCACAGTGCTAATCCCTATTGTGCCCGCTACTAATCTCCTGTGTGCCAAGTTAATTTAGGGTTGGTTCAAGTGCGTGTAGTTTAAATTGTTACTATGTTTGATCCACTATAACATCTCATCTGTATATTGTATAAAAAAGAATTGTATGTTAAAGTTGTAGGAAATTTAACCCTCTTTCTGTTGATACCAATATCATTTCATGAATCTGTAATTTTGGTAAAGTAAATAAGCACTATCAGTGAGTTGGCAAACCAATCCGTTGTCTCATTTCCCGCACACAATCTGAGGGGCCATGATCAAAACTGACAAATTTGATGATAAAATATCGCAATTTTCTCAGGAAAATCCAATGTAACGGTATATGTGAAGCACACAAAATCAAAACAACAATAAAGCCCCTCCATAAATACAGTAAGCATTCATGCGTGCACGCAATGCGCATCGCACAATAGGCATAAACAATTAGCTTGTGTACTTATGCACGAAAATGTGTCCGTGGCACGCGAGCGGATGAGAGTTTATGTGTGCATGGCATGTCAACAGAAACCCGGTTATGTGTGCGTGGCACGCCAGCGCATGCACAGAACAGTGTTCTTGGCACGATAAGAGTTAAAATAAAATGCTGTTTCTTTTGAATGGCTGAAATGTACATACATGTATTTCATTTTGTGACAAACTTTTCATTTGTTTATATAAGTGCAACATGAGAAAAGATACAACACTGAAAATGATTTTTTTTTTTTTAGAAATTCATTTTTCATCATTACCAGGAAAGACTAATATTTCACCTTACGGTATTAACTTTTTGGTTCCTCACTTCGCCTTTGTTTATGGTTGCTCGTTTACCACAAGTGCCATTTTGCAGAGAATAATTGGCACCAATTGATGGGAAGAATTGGTTTAAACTACACGATGGCTTTGCATATTACCCATTTCAAGTTTAAATGAGCTCCAAGTCAACCCTTCTGACACTGGTACACTATATATCTTGTGGGTCAATACTTTCGTGTCACAGGGAAATTATTTGTTTGGCATGTAAAGATTTATGTTGTTATGAGATAGAGAAATGTGAATCGCATGTAATCCTAAACATTAAAAAGATGCAGCAGTTTTGCTGTGTCATATCTGAACAAGCCTTTAGAGTAGACTCCTTTAATAATAATAATCATAATAATCTTTTAGTCCACTCAAAATTTTATTAAACCGAAAAAGGAAATTCTTTTTGCCCAATTGATTGTGAGCCCGGCAGCCACTGAGTAGCGCCAAATCGATGTTGCTCTATCCCCTTATTGTTGAACGCCAAACAAGGTAGCAGCAACTTCCGTCTTTTAACGTCTTTTGGTATGATGCGGCCGGGGTTCGAACCCACGACCTCCCGGTTGTGAGGCGGACGCTCTACTGACTGAGCCAACACACCGGCCAACCTACCTTTGGTCCTCTTCAACTCTCTCACTCTGTCGGCATCCTCGTCGTACAAAACTGATTTCATGTACCAAATTGATTTAATGTACTAAACTGAAGCTGTTATGACTCTATTTTACCATTACTGTACCTATCTATGATTACTTCTTTTTGTAAAGTGATCTGTAAACTTTTCCCAGTAAAAAAAAATTTGAATGAATAATATATGCTTAATTTCAATTTCGATACATACTTAATGGCATCCCATTCTCCTGTCGTTGGTAGCGCCCAGCTAAGCTGAAGGCCTATTGTATCATCCGCATCAAGAGTCTCGACAACCAGTGCTGATGGTGGAGATGGAGCTGATAAAAGTAGATACAATTTTGATGTAAAGCTTTTCAATGGTATTGAAGAATATTCCACTTTTTCTATTGCACCAGCCAAGCACTCAGCTCTCACAGACTTGTTTGATTGTGATGTTTTAAAGCCCGTCTGTACTAGTTTGGGGAGATAGCCAGTGGGATTACACCTCCCTGCAAGGTCACTGACAACCTGTGTATGACATTAATCTATTCCATCATCAATAACTAAGAAAATGGACTTTCAGAAATTTCGAGAGAACTTAATGTCTGAACCTAGCTAGTTTGTCTATATAGCACTTGCTCAGATGATCTGCTCCAAAGCACATACTGGTAACAACAGCTGATTTTTTTAAAGCTACTTTTCAGACTTTCAAGAACATTCTTAATTTACCAATGCAAAGTAGCAAAGTAAATTCTTGCCTTTAAATTTCAGGAATATAAATCAATACATGTATTACAAAAGAAGTGAATAAAAAAATGTTAAAGGAATCTTAACCTCAAGACATTTTCCACTCACCTGTGCGTTGCATCACACTTGATTCTAATTCCCCAGTGATGAGTGATGATGAGATGAGGGTGATAGTATACAACCTCCCTGGAGTAAGCTGCGTGAAGTCAACTTTTCTGCTCAGGATATTTTCTGTACGCTGTCCTTCTAACGGGCTGATAGTGACAGAATACTGAGACGCAGGCACAGCTCCCCAGCTGACTGTGATCGAGGTTGAGGTGATTGACTGAACAGTTACTTCACCAGGGGCAGGTGTAGCTTAAGAACAGAGACAAAGGAGGAAACCAATCAACGATTTGGTTCAACTTTTTGGTAGCTTGGTAAATAGACGGGTTCACTATAATTATACAGATATTTACTGGCAGGGGGTATAATATAATATTCTTTGGACCGCCGAAGGCAGTTATATTTTCTCAAGAGGTTAAATTTCTTAAAGCACGCAGCACTGAGGGAAAATATAACTTATATATCCCCTGCCAGCCAATATCTGTTATATTAGGTAGCCTGGGTTTGAACATTTAGGGGGATCAATTTTTTTTCTGACAAAAAGTGAAGAACAAAAGATTTGAGAAACATTTTGAGGGAGAAAAAAAAAATTTGAGAAAAATATATAAACAACAAATTCCCCAACATTCAGACTTTATTAGTTTTCCTCGAAATTGACATAAAAGATTATCAAGATATTTATGATTTAAAATCAAAATCAAATTTTCTGTTTGCCTAACAGTTTTTATAACTCAACAGATTATTGGGTAAATGATTATGGTAAAACCGGTCACTCAAAGATTTTTACTTTTTATGAGGCACTTCATTATCATTTTGAAGCGCAATTTTTTTAGGGCTTCAATATTACACCATATTAAAGACAATGATAACACTTAGGGTCATACATCTCGGAATTGACGTTGTTAAACGATGCCTTTAAAACGGGCCATTAAAACGTTAAGTAACTAACGTCTTCATAGTAGGAAAGAAAGGAAAAGAGATAATTATGGATCGTGTTCATTCGAATTGAACGCTTGGGTAAGACTGATTTTTTTACTTTTCGATGTTTGTTCATCAAAAAATGAGGTGAAAAGGAAAGAGGAAAGAAGAATTAATGAACATTGAAAAGGTTGTGAGCAGATCACAGATGTTGTAGAGTGAATTAGAGTTCAGAACATTGTTCCAAAAGGAACTATTTGCATACCTCTGTACAGTAATTCTGAAGGAGAATTTCAAACTACAGTATTCCCTTTTTTTTTACTACAGTATTCTGTCATATACAATTTTTTCCAAGTGAAGTACCTGTTGTTACAGGAACTGGGGTGAAATCCATGAGGGCCTGACTTGTCAAATCTGGTGTTAACAGAAAGGAGTACGCATCCACGCTGTAAGTCTCCCCAGGAATCAAGTTCTCAAAGGTAGCCTGGTAATTCGCTTGGGCTCGAAGGACTTGTTTTGATTCACCGTTAGCTGTGATGACAAAGCCATCGTAGCTACTGTTAACTGGAGGCTCAAGCTCTACGGTGAATGAGAAGAAACCTGCCGATACCTCTGTCACACTGACAGGAGCCTTGGGCACTGGGGAAGGAAATCATCAGAAATGAATAAGTACGTATATGAAGATTGACCTATTGCCAATGAGATACCCCTGTACTAAGCCTATGGGAATTAGAGAATTCAGTATAATCATGGGGTCAAGTTGAGTGCAGTTCATGTAATAGCATTGTGAAAGAGATTTTCACCAGTAACTTTATTAAGACCGCCTCGTAATCGATTGGATTATTGGATAGAAGCCAGTGGACGGCACAAACAGTTAACAACTAAATATTCACACCCTTACAAATTTTGATAATTTTTCAAATCTAAAAGTATTCAACAAAGGCCCTAACTCGACCAGTCCACCTATCATTCTTGAGTTATAAAATCAAAAACAAAAATTTAATTTGTGAGTGGTATGATAAATTTTGTTGTTAACTGTATAACTAATTTTATTCATGCCTAAAGTTTGTTTTTTACACCATTTTTTGGAATAAAAACAATTAGCTAAGCAAAATACAGTGGCACAAAGGACATATCCGAAACAGAAAATGCATATTACATGTAGTTGAAAATTACAATTTTATAGCATTATGATAGAAACACATGTTTAGGACATGGGACTAATACACATCTAACCATCTATACTACCTGGAATAGAATTTATATTACCCCCCAAAAATGTCAATTAGATATGTCATATTACAACTTTTTATGAACCAATTTTACTAACTATTATGCTGTTTCCGTTCTAGAAACCTTTTTTGTGCCACTATATTTCACTAAAGCTACCTAAGAGTAAACTTGACAGCTTTGAAAGAATTTCACAATTTCCTTTCAGTCCACCTTAATTGACATTAGAGATCGATTCCTAGCATCAGGCACAGCTAGTATACTTACTGACTACATAAAGGGTTGAAAAATCTTGCAAAACCCTCTGATTATCAAAATTTAATCGATAGCAATTCCTGTTTTTTTTAAATTACCAAACACTTTTCTATAAACATCGTACAAAATGTATACAAAATAATAAGTCAATTTATATAGCGCAGCTACTATTATGAATACCGCGCTTAATACAAGACATCATATTATTACCCTGGCTGTAGCTGAGCTGTGAATATGAAACTGTGAATATGAAATGCATACAATACTTACAGGTTACAAATGTTGTTGTTGCTGTATCGTTGTCTTTCTCGCTGTTCAACAGTACAGCTGATAGTAGCACATCATAACTTGTACCACCAATCAGGTCTGTGATATCTGCAGTGTAGATGCCCTTTGTAACTGTGATGATCTGAGCCATGCCTCCAGCCGATGGGGTGACTGCTATCTCATATTCGTTTACATCTTGAAGCATAAGATTGGTAGCAGAGAATTCCACTGATGCTCTCGTATCATAGATGTCCACGGCTACAATCTCAAGGACATCCAAAGATTCTGTGGTTGAAACAAATTCAAGATATCCAAGTTAGTCTGATAACCATGACTCTGAAGTGAACTCGTTTTGACCATGCTCAAACTTCATTTCTCCTTTTAGAACACCCTACAACATTTGGGTGTGGTTAATACACATGTGCTGGACCTAAAATCCTCATTACTTTAATGGTCACGTGGGTCTCATAGTCCCTTGATTAACTATCTTTAAATTGTTCCTAGATAATGTTAAATGTATATTATTATGAAACTATGATATATTCTCATGTATATTATTTTTGTTTTACTGAAATTGATTAATACATCTAATCCAGAAGGATATTCACTCATGAACGAAAACTTGTCAAAAGTAGTCCTTCTGGATGTGGAGGTATATCAGGCAAGGCCCTGCCGGGCATTTATATCACTGACATTCATGCACTTACACTAAACGCAGCCCGTAGTTTTACCATGCATCAGTTTTTGAAGCTGTCAAGGTGGCCTGTTTTTGTTGCAGTTTATACACATGTATGTAGACTGATAATTGAACATGATATGAATTTGCTATAAGTGCAATTATAGGAAGCTTGGGATAGACATTTAAAATGGATAATTAATGCTATATAATAAACTGAATCGTTCAATATTTATTCAGAATGTTGTTGGTGATATTTAATCGCCTTGAATGAGAAGTGTCATGTTTACGGTGTCGTGATATACGAGGCAGTTCAATAATTGTATATTATGTAATGAGATGTTTTATTCACCATCAGATGGAATGTGCATAGGCGTGTAAAATATATTCTTTTTTTTAGATTTTTGGGATTTATGAGTAGTCTGTAAGTATCATACTCAGTTAAGGTAGAATGTGGATTTTACAACAAATATTGATTTAATAGATGATGAAGTCTATAGTAGATAGTTGATGTTTTTCTTTTCTACTGTAGCTGAGGTGTGATGTTCTTTACGAGCTGCAAATCATAGGTACAGCTGAGATGACATAGTTTTATTTTGACCTGTGTGACACTCTAGGGTGAGTTACGTATGATTATCTATGCTATGTATGTACCATTATTTTTGGTTTATCAATTGCATATTAATAAATAAAAACTGTACTTATGAAAACTGTATTTGTCCTTGAAAGAAATCTGATCACTGTTTATAAGATGATGACTTGCCTGATTTTTTGCTGTGATCATTGTTCTCATGATGCTTTTTTGTATCATCTGCTGTACAAGGCAGGGGGTTCCGTTTTTCCATTTATTTACCAATAAACACGTTCATATTTTTCTTGTTATATTTTATCATTTTTATTGTGAACTATGCGCCGTTCAGCATTATTTCATTTCATTTTATTTCATTTCTTTATTGTGTCCATATAGGATAATTGTTGATTACATTAACAATCTTGCTTCAACATATGAACATAGGAACAACATATAATTGACAATCATAAGTACTTGATTAAATACATGTGAAGTGTAAACACATACTTCATGTTTGTCTGAATTATGTTGCAAAGCACAATTAAATCTATGCATATATACCATTTTGACCAGCAGTTTTAGCAAATACAAAAAGGTAAAGGAACTGGGCATACTTAGAATCATTAGGTCATTGCTTCAGGTCAGGTGGTTGCATTCCCTGACCTTTTGTGAAAACCTGCCAGTAATTTATTCACGAAATGTCTGGGGTCATGTTTTTGTAATAAACCCCTCTCATCTACAAATGGTCTGGTCTAATTTACCCGACACTTTGTGAAAACCCTACAACAAATCTATGAACAGTTGCATGATCTTCCGCTTTCTTTTCACACAGTCTTGTAATGCGACCACCCCACCAGACCAGGGGGGTGTTACACAAAGATCCTAAGTAGAATTTAACTCTAAGTTGGACTTTAAAATTATGGAGAGCCATGTGTAACCTTAGAATAAAATATATTCAAAAACAGAAAATCAAGTATTTTAGACTTTTAACAAATTCCATATCAAGAACATAACATCTCCTTGATAGTAGAAAATATGAAAGATTTGTTTCAACATTTTATGCCTTTTAAATTAACTTTTGCTAACATTTTCAAAGATGCTAACGGCTTCCCATAATTGTTTAGTCCAACTTAGGATCTTTGTGAAACACCCCCCAGATGACTCAAGTAAGCCAAGGGACTGACCTGTGGTTGTGACGATTTCAAAAGGAGTACCGAATGTCTGGCAGTTATCAGCTTGTCCTGATAGACTCAACACCTGGATATGATAGACAGTCCCTGGTCGAAGGCTTCGGACAGTATACACCTGATCGTTCACGATGATGGGGTAATTCCCAGGCGAGGGTGGAGGGAGCACCCTCACTTCAAAGCCATCAGATCTAGCATCGTCAGGAATGTCCCATATTAGGGCAATCGATGTAAGGTCAACCGAGGTCATCTGGGCAAATGTTACTGCTTCAGGCACTGCATTGAAGATAAGGATCAAGAAACATGTCTGATTTAAAAATGTCAATGTTAGTGGAGGTGTTGTGGTGTATGGGTTTGTTCACTTGACTCTAAATCCAAGGATTGAGGGTTCAAATCCCGGCATGGCACTCACATCCTTTGACAAGATATTTCTACACATTTGCCACTCTCCCCGAAAAAACTCAACAATGGGTACCTAGCAATTGTGAGGTAATAATAATTGCAAAGCCATCAATAAGACAGCATTGATGCTGATGAGGCTTCCCTTGGTAATCAACAGTAATATCAAGTTCTGGGTCCTGTCTTATAAAGAGTTGCAATTGATGGCAAAGGACTTGCGAGCCATGTGTTATAAGGTACAGAAATGTGATAGGTATCACACTTAACATAATCATTTAAAAAAATACCATGGTTTTGCTGCATCATAAAATGAGCCTTTAGGCAGGTTCTACTTTACTTACATGATCGCACATCCTTTGAATTTGTTTCAAAGGTGATACCACTACTTCTAATCGCCTCTATTGTCACTTGATACAACGTTGCAGGCTGCACATTGAATGTGTGTGTGGTGGTCCGATCAGCCGTAACGTAACTCGCTTCCTCTAATATGACATCGGTATCTTTCTCTTGGATAAAGATGTGATGGGTGTATGGAGTGAACTCTGTCCACGATATTGCGATGGTATTTGCAGTAATCTCAGTAACGACAGGAGATGCTCGCAATCCTGTGTTTTTCATGAAAATGAAATGAATAAACAAATTAAACTGAACTGAACTAAACTGAAATAATAACCTGGATATACATGGTGCTTAATACAAATATTGTCCCTAAACACTTTACAGATATTATTACCCCAGTCATCAGATTCAATACACGCACAATGTGCACCATTTCCACTCCCTGGGGAGTATTGCTATCATATGGTCAACATGATGGGTATAAGGCAATTACTACACAAAAGCTTTTGTCATCCTACAGGGTCTCTATTTCTGTCCTGGGTGTGGTGTGGCAAATGTAGATTATGCCATTGACATTGTGAAAGAAACCTTCTGCAGCGTATGTGATACAATGATTGTTTACCGGTACTAGCAGGTTTGCAGGTCTGCATGTATGTGACCATAACAAAGTGAGTAAAATTTGCTGAAAAGATTTTACAATGAGAACTCTTTGCACAGATATGTGTATATCGGGTTTCACATACATGTTACCTTCCCATTTTGGTGAAGAGTTTCGAACTATCATTAATTACACACATGTGTCTGGAATATGAGGGAGTTTCAGGAGAAACCTTTTTCATGTGGCATTGCAACTATAACATAATTCAACAAAGGAATATCTTTAGAAAAAATGAGAATACTCATAGATGCAACAACTACCAAAATTAAACTTTCTCTTTATTGAAATAAAATATTAAACTCTGTCAGTGAGTTTACATTTCTTCTCATATTCGAAGGGTTCTGATACAGGGTAAGGGGGTTATGTTTACCAGTCAGTGTAAAAGTTGACTTCTCCCTCACATCACTTCTCTGTGACAATCCTCCAGCATAGACCACAGCATATACCCTGACCGGGTATGAGGTAGATTGTTGTAGAAACTCTATCTTCTTCTCAGAGACTGATGGAAGGATGTACGCTATGCCCTCCGTACCATACTCTATTTCAATGATGTCGACAAGACCATTCCCTGGATTGATACCAGATACTGTCAATGTGTCAACTGTCGCTGTCAGACTGAAGTCAGATACTTGTTCAGGCTCTGCAAAGAAAGATATTGGAAAACCAAAGGTTTACGTCATACTGGCCATGTTGTCAAGGTTGCTGATTCCAAACAATTAAGTGCTAAACAATGGCGTGGAGATCACACACATCCAAACACTGAAGTTGCCCTGCTCCATTGCTAGAATTATTTTACAGTGAACCTCACGTGCAGGCTCTGATGCTTGGAACCAGTAAACTGGACGAGTGAATATGATATTGGCACTTCGGTACTCTATAAAGTTCAAGTTCAATTGCAGGAAAAAATGTCAATATTTATCAAGCTGTTTGTTGAGAAATTATTCATTGCACTTTCAATTTCGTAAGAACAAAGTTAATGCATGTTTTACATTAGGAAACAGGACATCCTGAGAACCAAGTTTCATTTCGATGCATTGCATGATGATAAATATGCATATCAGAAAATGTCAAATTTTCATGTTCCATTTTCTTTTCTTTTTTCCTTCTTATTGTTTAGTTCTTCTTAGTCTCGGGGACTCTGCTGAGGATCATGGGAAAGGTATTTGTGTGCCCAGCCCCCCCCCCCCAACATTAAAGTGTATTGAACTATTCCTCTGCAAGGCAACGAATCTCAGACTGAAAGGCATTATAAAATGGGAGAACTTCCTTTCAATTTTTGCTTTAGAGCCATTGCTTACAGGAACCAGATGTGTAAAGCTTGTATAATTATTAGAAGTCTACAGGTTACAGGAGCACAGTCATCACACACAAAAGGATATAATTATTCTGTTTTTATTTACTAATGTAAAGGGCTTTGAGCATGTTTATGTAAAGGCGCTATATAAATATCAATATGTATGTATGTATGTATTTCAAATAGTTTTCATAATAAATGAATTGCTATGAATACAGAAACCCATCCAATATATCCCTCATTTGGTGTTTATGAAAGAAATAAATACTTCCATTGTAGAGCCGGTCTACATGAAGTTGGATACATGATATCCCATTTTGCCCTCAATTAAACTTAGGCAAAGGCACAGAGATATCGAGCTCATGGAGAAGAATGTGAAATTTGCTACATTAAAGTCACACACAGTAATTGGTAAATAGGGAGCCTATGACATCACAGCTGCATGGCAGAGTTGCCAATTTGTCTCCATTACTTCAATAGCGATCTCCATATCACCCAAACATTCATAACTTGATAAATAATTGTCTGATATGCCTCAAAATTTTGTTCAATCAGTTTCTCAGAGTTTTTTCCTTTTTTAAAGTAAGTTATTTGGTGATTATTATATATTTTTTTAAACCTCTTCCCTTCCCCTTGGGATCTCGGCCATGGAGTGATGAACAATTCTGAGACTTAGGACGAAGATTGTGTATCCCATTGAGAATAAGCCCATGGGTTTTCATATACCGGTATATATATATATATATACAGTCAAACCTGTCTATAGCGACCGCCTAATGGAAACACAAAAAGTGGTCTTTGTAGACAGGTGGTCTTTGTAGACAGGTTCCTTAAGTGCATGTTTCAATGAGAAACCATTTTCAAGGGAAACAAAAAATGTGGCCCTTGTAGACAGGTGGTCACTAAAGCAGGTTTGACTGTATTATACATATGTCAAATAGTTCTTAGATTATTGCTCATCAACTATTCACATATTTTGAAAATTCAGCATTGTGTACAATATACATAGGGAGGAAGGGCATGGAGGAGCCTGGATTATCCCCCTCTCCCCTCATGCCCCTTTTAGGGTTAAGTAGCCAATGGATTACATGACAAGAATACTTACTGAGCAAGACATCTTGAGAGCCGACCAATAAAGTTCCCCCACTAGAAGTCAGAGCAAATACAGTCACTTGGAGAAGAGATCCCGGTTGATAGTCAGTAAGTGACTGATATGGTAAAGTTGGAAATTGTTGAGAATCATCATGTATGCCATCATAAATTTCGTAGATAAGTGCATCAGCCACAGCCTCAAAAGACAATACAAAACTAGTTGTGGTTAGACTGGTGAAAGTGAATGTTCTTGGATCTGAAAAAAGGTGAAATAGGCAATAAATGATCATTTTGAAAAGAAATGTACAGTAAATGATATTAACAATAATAGCAATAATAATAATATATTAAACAAATTAATACTAATCTTAATATCCATAATAACAAAAACAATAACAATAAAGACGACAATCACACAAATAATAATAATTGTAATAATAATGACAATAATAATAATAATATTGATGATAATAATAACAATAAAATAATGATAATGAAAATAATAGTAATACTACCACAGACCCATGTACTTTTTAGCTGGGTTGACAGTGGCAGACACAGATTTATGCTTTGGCAAAGCACACAATCATATTGGACTAGAAATTCAATTGATAATACTAAAAGTATCATGTAGGATTTTCGGGGATAAGAAAATGATTGGTTAAATTGTGCCTAAATATATATTGTTTCTAAAAAAAAGCACATTTAAAAGATTACAAAAAAATATGTTAATTTGTTTCGGTTTTAAATGTAAAGCTTTATCTCTTTGGAATTCCCATTTATTCATTGAGCCGCTTCCTAAGTGAAGGCAAATATAGAAATGATTGGTACTACAAAATTTAAAAAATAGCACCGGAAGCAGACATACTACAGCTTTTTGTCTTGCCCATATCAGAGTAAATTGCAAGAATCGTCTTTTAGCTTCAGCTTCAGCTTTGTGATCATTCTTGCTATTTACTCCAATGCAGGCAAGACAAAAGCTGTAGTATGTCCGTTTTCGTTGCCAATATTCAAAGACAAATGTTTATGCCATTGATATTTCCTAACTCCCCCAATACAACCACACAACATAATATGGTATTGGCAAAATCCATAAAAGATGCCAAATACAAGTGTTTTTCTTTTAATTCTACAAGAGATATGATATATCAGCCAATATTAGTCTTATGAGTCAAGTTTCCCATTGAGTCTAATTAAGGCTTGCATAAATACTCCTTTATATAAACTGCAGCGGATTACCAATGGGAAGTATTTCAAGCATATTGTAGCATACAGCACTTCACATGTTTTAATCTCACACCCACCACACAGATAGGTGAGTATGCATATAGTTGCGTGCAGCTACTTTTTTCATCCCTCTGTTCTTGCCATTCATTTACTAGACATAAGAATAGGCTACAGAAAAGCGCGGGACATGTGACTACCCTTCACGCCAGTGCAATCACTTACCAGTGGTGACTTGTACAGTTGCTGGGTAACTCTCTTCTTCTAATGCCTCATCTCTAGCTACAGCAGTCACAGTCACATCATACTCCGTTGAAGGCTGAACATTATCAAAAACATAACTAGTATCCAAGCCTGCAATTATCAAAAGGGACGTTTCGGCGCCACCCGCTGGTGGGATGAGGCGAAGTCGGTAACTAGACACTCCCCCGTCAACCGGTTGCCAAGTTACAGTGATAGCTGGAGATTCATCGGAGGAAACAGCAGCTACAGAAGTCGGTGTGTTTGGTACTGAAAGAATACAATTTAAAAAAAAATCATTCAATAGATTCTTTATTTATTTATTTATTTATTTATTCGTTTTATTTAAACAGGGTAACTCTTTCAGTATTAATACTGCTTTTCTGTGAGGCCCTGTACACAAAAAATGATTACAAATACATGAAATAACAAACAGTGTTAAAAGACGTATACATGATACAACTCCTATATCTACTTTTGCTCCTACAGTTGAGCACTGTCAGAAATTGCAGTTTACTAAACTTGCTTACATGATTTTATATATATCAGGATTATTTGTTTGTTTTGTTTATAGTTATTATATAACCCGATACTATACAACAACAAAAAACAAAACAAGACATTTGACAAAGCAATATTTGTCCAGTTGATAATCTAATATTAAATTTCTTAAATAAAAGCAACTGAAGTGTTAATCATAAATCTTACGCTATATCACATAAGAAATGTGAGGCTTACGTGTTTGCACCATCTGTGAGGTGGTGACAGCACTTTGACCAGCACGAGATATTCTAAGGGTTACATCATAGACTGTGCCAGGTGTCAAATTCAGGAAGGTGAACTGTCCAGTTGTTTCATCACCATTAGTTACGGGTCCGTTTTGCTCAGTCGCGGTTGCGGTGTTGGTACCCCCAATCTGAGCAAACTTGATGATGATAGAGTTGGTTGTCTTGGAGAAGACATAGAAACTGGCATCAGCTCCTCTCTCTGTAAGAATAACAAGACACTTCAGTAAGTTCCAAACTAGAAAAATTTTCTTATTCAGGGACTACTATTTTTGCGACAAAAGAGAAATTCCTTAAGAGTACATGTACTTGTATTTCAATGAATCTTGATCACTCAAAAAGAATTGCTACAGTTGTATCCAAGTAGAGGTTTCTGGTATCACAAAAACATTCTTCAGCTACCATTTTCTTTTTTCTATTTGTGAAAAAATGCATTTTCTGATTGTCTGTAATATTTTTTTCCTCCCGAACAGCACGCTCTGTCTGTTGTCAAAAGTGTACTTCAGCGCTTAGTAGGTTGGCATGTAATTTTTTGTTGTACTGAGCGGGGCGGGAAGATTCGCCGGCTGTTCATCACGTTTGAGATTGCATTTAATAGTGAATATGCAATGGACACAGCTGAAGTATCAATCCAATAATAAACAGGACTTGTCGAGTTCTTTATCCTGCTCATTGTGACTTAACTAACTGAAGAACCATCTACTATAAGCAATGAAAGAAAAAAAAGTCATATCGATTGGATGAAAAGTTCGGTTTCAAATAAATATAAAAAAAATCACCTGTAGTAATAGATCTGGTGGTGCGAGAGCTGATGGTAGTTCCATCATTCACTGTGGACACCACGTTCACTGTATACACAGTGCCAGGGGTAAGGCCAGTGATAGTTGTCTGAGTGGAAGATGCTTCCGCTGTGATGGGGGACGGTTCATTCCCATCGAATCCTACCGATTCCCCTGCGTAGGTGATGAGGTAACCATCATATAATCCGGAGGAAGGAGCATCGTATTCCACCAAGACAGAACTTGTATCAGGGTCACCTAATGTAAGGCCTACACCTTGAGGTACTTCAGGGTCTGTAAAAGTTTGATAAGAATAAAGAAATCAGTATGAAGCAGTAGCCTCTTTCGTTCCTACTTCTTCTTGTTTTCTTCTCAGTGCTAGATCTAGGGGGGCAAGGGAGCAATGTGCCCCCACCCCACCCTTTCCCAACAATTAGAAAGAAGGGGGGAATAGGGAGTTCGAAGAGGGCTGAAGGCTAGTCGTTTTCTCCTTAATTTTTCTTGGCTTGTCACAGGATTTTGTAGCTAAAACAGCACATCAAAAGCTTGATGACTTATTTCTTTCTTCTAGTCGAAGAAATTTCTGACTTTTGCCCCTTGCCCCTCGCTGCTTCTTGTCACCTTTAATACTAAGAAAGCCGCATTATTTTGGTGCTTTCTCACCCTAGGGATCTCGGCCAGAGGATTAACGAAAATCCTGAAACTTGACATAAAGATGGGTTATCTCATAAAGAATAAGCCCATGAAGTTTTATATCTATACCGGTACCTCAAATGTTTTTTAAATTATCGCTAACGAACTATTCATATAATCCACCAAGTGACAATTCTGCATTGTGTACAGTACATGTGGGGAAATTTGAGAAACTACATTGGATGACTGGTGAAGGTTTTTAAATTGAATAGCAAAAGGTGGTAAAACAAAATACCTGCATGCAACAAAGGTCCTATATGTACATCAATTGATATTCATTAGTTCCCCATTAGGACGATTTGCTAACTTTGAATGTTAGGCTTCCTTTGAGTAATTTCAACTTCCAAAGAAATTTTGGCTTGCACCCAGTAAATAAAGATGTTGTGCTCAATATACTCATAATTTTTAAACGCGTTGTCGTTTACCAGCTCATACATGTATGCAAACGAGCCTTACAATTTAGAACGACAGTTAAATCAAGCAATATATAATATTGTGCCTTATTCTCAAACTTAAATGTATTCTGTAAACTTATTTTATTACGAACATACTTGTCAGTATTTCGTTACTTTTATAATTCTATTATTTATTGTAATACTGTATGGTTTATATAGGTCATTTAACTTGTGGATATTTGAGTGGAAAATAAATCAAACAAAATCAAATCAAATCAAGACGACAGACTTACATGTGAAGAATGTTACTTGATCCACATTGGCAGAATTTACTGTGATGGTGATTGTGTATTCCTGCCCTGGAGTCAAGTCTTCCAGAAATGTCACACCTTGGACTCCTGGAGACCCAGAAATAAATGAGCCACCACTAGGAGTGTATTCAATCCTCTGTGTGTCTAATGTTCCTAAGACACGCACAGAGGTGGTGGTGATTGTACCTAACGAAATAACGGCTGGGACTGTAAGGAAAAGGGGAAAAAATTACACATAAACACACGAGTGACGAAAGAAAATTTAAACCGGTTATAGTGAAGAATTGAACTCTTGGGGATTTTAATTATCATTTGTAGATATTACAGTGACAGAGGATTTCCAAGATTGAATTATTTGTTATATATATAGATACATACATAAGAAGATGATCATTATGCAATGTTGCAAACCAATAAACAGCTCTTACCATTCACCTTATCTGGGCTAAGGATGGCAAAAGTAGATTACTGTTCTGACAAAGAATGTTGGTGCCCTGGCAGGGACTCAAACCCTGTACTTTGTGATCCATGATTAAGTGACCTCTCCACTGGACCACAACACTTCTACATCATTCTCATTATAGTAAATAGATCTTTGATTATTTCTATCAGACCAACTTTTACTCCTGATAGATGCCATATTGTACTAGTGTCATCTCAGGTAAGCTGTAGCAGTACGGTCCCTTATTAAACTCGCTGCTTTCCTAGCTACGCTGTTGACTCTCTAATCGAGTCCTTAATATGCAAAGTGGGAATTACAGTATTCAAGGGCAAAAAGTTCATTGGTTCAGTATCGCTTTAACATGTATTCTGTCTACTTACGTGTCTCAAAATCAACACTTTGTTCTCCACTCTGGCTAGTTAATCCCTGTTGGGTTGATTCAGCAAAAATAACGACAGAGTACAATGTTTCTGGCTCCAATTCCGTAAGATCCACTGACAAATCAGCTGTGCGCATTTTAACGATCACATTTTCGCCCGAAGCTGGACAGACAAAAAGAAGGGGAATGCCATATATAACACCGTGAGAAGAAAAGACAAATAACAAATTCCTCATTAATGGAATGCATTTAAAATGACAGCCAATATTTAAATGTCATCAGCAGTAGTAATAGTAGCGGTATTAGTCATAGTAGTAGTAGCAGTAGAAAAAGAAGTAGTGGTAGTAGTGATGGTAGCGGTAGTAGTAGTATTAGTAGCAGCAGTAACAGTAGTAGTAGAAGTAGCAGCAGTAGTAGTAGTAGTAGTCGTAGTAGAAGTACTAGTGGTAGAAGTAGTAGTAGTAGTAGTAGTAGAAGTTGTAGCAGTAGCAGTAGTAGTAGAAGTACTAGTGGTAGTAGTAGTAGTAGTAGTAGTGGTAGTAGTAGTAGTAGTAGCAGTAGTAGTAGTAGTAGTAGAAATACTAGTGGTAGTAGTAGTAGTGGTAGTAGTAATGATAGAAGTAGTAGTATTAGAAGTAGTAGCAGTAGTAGTAGTAGCAGTAGTAGAAGTAGTAGTAGTAGTAGTTGTAGTAGTAAAAGTAGTAAAAGATTTGTGAGTCTGAGTCTTGGTCTTATGTTTTTGATCTTGGTCTTGGCCTTTGAGAAAAAAACATGCTATGATCGTTTAGGTTTGGCCCTTGAATTACAAAGCCCTAAATGTTAGACATTAATTGCAGCTCATGCTCTGTGTTGATTTGTTACATTTGCATTTACGTTTTCTCAATAAAAAAAGTAAAAAATACTTACACACTGTGAAACTATATTCGTCAGCACCAGATGAAGCACCCCAAGATAATGTAGCACTTCGTGGAAGAACATTGCTTGGTGAAATAGGGCCTGGAGGGGAGGGATCTAAAAAGAAATCAAGATAGTATGCAACAATCACTTGCTTGGGTACTAAGAACAGCAAAATATTATTCAGAAGAATACATATATTTACATAGTAAACAAACTGGTGACCCTAGATGTCTTGATGTCTGGTTTCTCTTTTACCAAAACTGAACATTAGGTTGTGGACAAATTAATGATAATAATAATAATATTAGTAATAATAGTGATAGCTATAGTTATAGTGATAATATCAATACTTATAAAACAATAATGATACTAGTACAAATAATGATAATAATAATATCAATAATAATAACTAGAAATATCGCAATCCGAATTGCAATGCAATGCGAATGTATCCGATGGCAGTGGCAGTGATTTTGTGTCATCATTATGTTTGAAGGAGGGACAAAGATCCCCTCTCCCCTCCCTGAAACAAAAGGGTGACTTAGAGATTACCACTAGTAGCATCGACTATTGTCAAGACTAGGAGCAGCATCACCAAAACAATATATGTGTAGATTAGAGTATAGTGCATCTCTGTAGAAAATTTGAAAGAAATCTGTGAAGAAATGTGGCGATTAGAGCACACAAAAGGCAGCCACCATAATATGACATTTGACCCTATAACAGATGGAATACCGGTGGCAGCATCACCAAACGCTAGGCTAGTGTATAAAAGACAAAACTATTTCATGTAAAATAAATAATGACACCCCCACCCCTAGCTGATTACGGAGAATCGCTGGTTGCGACTTTTTGTTGGTTTTGTGGTGCCGGGTCACATATGAACCAATACACTGTTAAGATATGAGGCATTGAAACACTGCAACAACAAAAAATTCCAAGTGGTTCACATTTTGTATGTTGTAGAACTATTGAGGTGTGGACAATAAATATATCTAGTGCAATTGAAGGAGGCAAATCTGATTGATTCAGACGTGAAGAAAAGTTTGAACGCCCATGGGGGTTCTGAGATCTGTTTCATAAAACTTGTTATCAATAACAAAAGCAAAATGTCTATGACAAATTTGCTCTCAGTCAATCGAATGCCCTGATTTTAGTAGCTTATGACAGTTATTGTAACTTGCTATTGATAAAAGGTTTCATGAAAAAGGGCCCCGTATTTCACTTACTTGTTTTGAAGTCAGCTGTCAAAGGAGAACTACTAGAGGGAGTTGCTACCAATGTGACTGTATACAGAGTACCTTCTGACAACCCAGTAAACTCAGCAAATAGTCTATCGGAAGCAGCTACGGGAAACGCAGGGTTTCCCCCAGTTGGGGAAATGGAGACTGTGTATGCAGTAGCAAACTCATTGGGACTCCAGGTCACAGATAAAGATGTAGCAGTGATTTCCTTCAGTCGAATCAAACTTGTATCTCCAAGATCTGAACAAAATAAAACAGATAGTAATTATTAAATAGAAAATAGATAAAAAAATTATTTAGGTATTAGTGATTTATGTATTAAAGTAAGATCAAACTTGTATCTTAAACATTGGAGAAAAAAAAAGAAGCAACTAATAGATAAAAAATAAGGTCGCAGTGATTCATCTGAGTAGGATCACTTTCATATCTTCAGGATATGAAAAGCACATAAATAAGAGTCATTAAGAGAAAACAAATTGAAACACATGTTGGTAGCAGTGATTTAGTCAGATGAAACTTGTATCTCCAAGATCAAATAAAAAAGTGTTTAATGGATAATATATACTGATATAGGTAGATTTAGTAGTGATTTAAGTCTCTCCAACAGTAATCCATGGTCAATGTAAATACCATGCCAAAGGGCTGAAGTGCCATGTCAGGGCTTGAACCTATGACCTTCGCATTTCCAGTCAAGTGATTTAACGACTCAACTATGACACCTCTACAATTCATCGTCTCACCTGTCATGAAAGTTTCACTTGCTGCAGAACTCCGTGCCGAACCAGCTACGGATATGATGCTAACTTCATAATCAATTCCGGGATCCAGCCCTTCTATGGAGAATTCCGGATTGGACGCCTCTGAGGGCGTAATAGTTGACCCGTACGGAGGGTCGTACATGACAAGGTAATAATCTGCTTTGCCTGGAGGAGGGGTCCATGATAAAGCTATACTGGTGTCCATGGTTTCCCCCAAGATATCACTCACAACATCAGGAACTAGAAACAAAATGAAATATTAAGAAGCATTATTTATGATGATGATGATAATAATAATAATAGTAAAAATAATGATAACAAGTCACCTTCGTCGGCGAGGAGATAATAATAATAATAATAATAATTTCACTGATTTTATTCAAATATCTTAAACTTTACAATAAAAGTAACTTAGTATGAAGGTTTTGGTTCCCTTTAATAACAATAATGGTAATACTTATTGAAAAATAATAATAATAATAACAATGACAATATTTAATGATAAAAATTACCCAGGGTTTTTAATCATGACTTACTTGTTTGAAATTCGGCTCCTGCTAGAAGGTCTGTTCCCTCAGATGTCACAATGTAGAGGTTGATCCTGTAAATCTGACCAGGCTCTAGGTTTTCCAGTGTAGCAGTGGTTACAGTCGGACCAAATGGTAAAGTGGTGAAAGATGAAGCACCCAAAATGCTGTATCGGATCTGAAATCCACTGCCTACAATGCTGGGGAGGGCCCACGCGACTGACAACGATGTAGTAGCATTCGCTTCCAAAAACAAATCAACTGTATAGGGGTTCAGAATTTAATACACATATGATTTGTACCATGGACAATGCATGTAGAAATCACTTGGCTATATTTGATGTTTACTTGCTGACATCTTCATCATTATACCTGTATTCCTCTATAATGTTGGCCTATGAAATGAACCAGACTATTAAGGTACAAGTCCACTCAAAAAATAACTTACTTTCAATAGAAGCAGAAAAATTAGACAAACCAATCAAAAAAAGTTTGAGCAAAATTGATAACTGGTAAGAAAGTTATGAATTTTTTAAAAAGTATGAAAAACTATACAACAATGGAAATCACTACACAAATTGCCAATTCGGTTATCAGTTTGTGCCGTCATAACTATTTATCAATTGCTTCATATAGTTTGATCCCATTAGTTTCTCTTTTTATCCCCAAAAACTTGATTTCCCCATGCCTTTGCCCAGGTTATATGATTTTTATCATATTGTGTGCATGACATTGCACAAAATCTGTTATGAACTTTGAAGAATTGATACTATTTTCTGAATATTGTACATTCATAATTACTGATTTTTATCTAAATAGTTGATCAAAAGTCACATTTTTCATGATTTAACTGAATAAAATTACTCTATATTATTGCATCCACACAAAAACATATTACTATCAATCTAACTTGGATGCTGGTGTGAACAAATAAGATACTTAGGGGGGAAATAGGAAATTTATATCATCAATATAAAGAAAACAATTAGTGGATAGTGACGACATGACGTCGCAGACTCATGAGTGAATTCCAATTTGTGTTGTGATTTTCAGTGTTCCATAGTCTTAAAGACTTTTTCAAAAATTCATAACTTTCTTATTAGATATCCGATTTTGCTAAAAAAAAATTTGATTGGTGTGTCTGATTTTTCTACTTCTATTGAAAGTAAGTTATTTTTCGAGTGAACTTGGCCTTTAAGGAATATCCCGAAATGAAGTGGCAGGTTAAGAAAATTGTGAAAGACAAGAGACGTTGTAGCTGGTGATGTTTGACTGAAAGTGTGCTCCAACTTTCTGACTAAAAATTTTCTCTAAACGAGACATTAAAGAGTGAAACTTTACATCCTATTATATGCAGTTTCAATTTGAATCTGTATACAAAAGCATTTTTTTTTAATTATAAGGAGCAAAAAACTAGTCGAAGGCCACTATTAAATCCGAAGTTGTGCATTCCTCGTAAACATGTTTACAAGTAAATGCATGAAAACTAGAAATATCGCAATCTCCATTGCCGCGTGATGCAAATGCACTGGCAGGGATTTTTGTGTCATCCTTATGTTCAAAGGAGGGGCAAAGATCCCTTCTCCCTTCCCTGAAACAAAAGGACGACGTACTTTTAGAGATCGCGACTATTGTCAAGACTAGGAGCAGTAGATTCTACTAAGACACACCTCCATACAAAATTTGAAAGGAATCTGTCAAGAAATGTGGCAGTTAGAGCGCATAGTCGACATATGACCTTTGACCCTATAAAGGACGGACAATGAGGGCAGCATCTCCCAAATGTGTAAATGTGTAGATTATACCAAGATACATCTCCGTACAAAATTTAGAGCGCACACAATAGTATGACGCGTCATGCTAATGCTGGAACCAAAGTATCCTTCAGCACACTGCCTGGGGGATACAATAAAAAAAGAGAAGCATTTACCAAGAACTATGTCACCGGTTGCAGGAGTAGAGTATTTACGATCAGCTAACTCGCCACTGAAGGTCTGAACTTCAAAGGTGTATGAAATCCCCGCTTGTAGACCATCGATTACCACCGACGTGTCACTACTTCCCACGAAGCGTTCTTGACCACCATATGTGATCCTGAAGCCATCATACTTGTGGTACTGAGTTCCGATAGGCTGCTCATACGTCACTTGTACGCTGGTACTGGAATCAGGGCTCAGCAGAAGGTTTGTTGCCGGATTAGGAACTTAAAAGAAGAGGATGTAAATAATAAGATATATACAATAACAATGATAATTATAATAAAAAGAAGAAGAAGAATTATACAAATAAACTAGATGGAATTTTGACTGCGCGCAGTCGAAAATGATGCCTCCGCCATAGAGCAATTTAAACAAGTTTGGAGTTTAAATCTCCAGTGGTTCTTGAGATATCATGATAACAATCTCAATGTATGGAATTTCATAAGTTGACCTCTGTGACCCTTGACCTTTGACCTACGTGCTCCAAAATCTAATCAGAATGTCTTCCTATGGTGATACACACTATCATTAAGTTTGAAGTTTAAATCTCCAGTGGTTCTTGAGATATTATGATATGGTGATACATACTATCATTAAGTTTGAAGTAAAAATTTTCCAGTGGTTCTTGAGATATCGCGATAACGATCTCAATGTATGGAATTTCATAAGTTGACCTCTGTGACCCTTGACCTTTGACCTACGTGCTCCAAAATCTAATCAGATTGTCTTCCTATGGTGATACACACTATCATTAAGTTTGAAGTTTAAATCTCCAGTGGTTCTTGAGATATTATGATAACAATCTCAATGTATGGAATTTCATAAGTTGACCTCTGTGACCCTTGACCTTTGACCTACGTGCTCCAAAATCTAATCAGATCGTCTTCCTATGGTGATACACACTATCATTAAGTTTGAAGTTTAAATCTCCAGTGGTTCTTGAGATATTATGATATGGCGATACATACTTTCATTAAGTTTGAAGTGAAAATTCTCCAGTGGTTCTTGAGATATCGCGATAACGATCTCAATGTATGGAATTTCATAAGTTGACCTCTGTGACCCTTGACCTTTGACCTACGTGCTCCAAAATCTAATCAGATTGTCTTCCTATGGTGATACACACTATCATTAAGTTTGAAGTTTAAATCTCCAGTGGTTCTTGAGATATTATGATAACAATCTCAATGTATGGAATTTCATAAGTTGACCTCTGTGACCCTTGACCTTTGACCTACGTGCTCCAAAATCTAATCAGATCGTCTTCCTATGGTGATACACACTATCATTAAGTTTGAAGTTTAAATCTCCAGTGGTTCTTGAGATATTATGATATGGCGATACATACTATCATTAAGTTTGAAGTGAAAATTCTCCAGTGGTTCTTGAGATATCGCGATAACGATCTCAATGTATGGAATTTCATAAGTTGACCTCTGTGACCCTTGACCTTTGACCTACGTACTCCAAAATCTAATCAGATCGTCTTCCTATGGTGATACATACTATCCTTAAGTTTGAAGTTTTTACATCTCCAGTGGTTCTTGAGATATCATGATAACAATCTCAATGTATGGAATTTCATAAGTTGACCTCTATGACCCTTGACCTTTCACCTACGTGCTCCAAAATGTAATCAGATTGTTTTCCTATAGTGATACACACTATCACTAAGTTTGAAGTTTAAATCTCCAGTGGTTCTTGAGATATCATGATAACAATCTCAATGTATGGAATTTCATAAGTTGACCTCTGTGACCCTTGACCTTTGACATACATGCTCCAAAATCTAATCAGATCGTCTTCCTATGGTGATACATACTATCCTTAAGTTTGAAGTTTAAATCTAAAATGGTTCTTGAGATATCGCGCTAACAAACTCAATACAAGGAATTTCATAAGTTGACCTCTGTGACCTGTGACCTTTGACCTACGTACTCCAAAATCTAATCAGATCGTCTTCCTATGGTGATAAATACTATTCCCGAGTCTAAAGTTTAAATCTTAAATGGTTCTTGAGATATTGTGATAACGGTCAAACGGGACGGACGTACGGACGTACGGACGGACAACCCGAAAACATGATGCCTCCGGCACCACCTTCGGTGGCGGAGGCATAAAAACATTATTAACAATTGATAATGCTCATATCCATCATGCTGTGACGCTGATGGTGTGTTGATACATTTATTGTGAGATGTTTGACAAGAAGCACTACGTCTGCTGTTGATACATTTATTGTGAGACGTTTGACGAGAAGCGCTACGTCTGCTGTTGATACATTTATTGTGAGACGTTTGACGAGAAGCGCTACGTCTGCTGCTGATACATTTATTGCGAGACGTTTGACGAGAAGCGCTACGTCTGCTGTTGATACATTTATTGTGAGATGTTTGACAAGTAGCGTTACGTCTGCTGTTGATACATTTATTGTGAGACGTTTGACGAGAAGCGCTACGTCTGCTGTTGATACATTTATTGTGAGATGTTTGACGAGAAGCGCTACGTCTGCTGTTGATACATTTATTGTGAGATGTTTGACGAGAAGCACTACCCTTTTCTCAAAATTTTCATCAATTTTTTTACTTACATTAAAACTACACTGTATTACTTGCTCCCTCTATATAGAAAAAATCCCTAATCGGTGCCTGTTGGTCCCCCATGATCCTCTTTTCTTATGTTAATTGAGAGCTGAGTTAATGAGATAGCCACCCGTCAGTGACCTCGCTGGGTGGTCTAATCCCTTCTGGCTCAACTAGTACAGCCCGCCTTTAAATGCTTACCTGTAATTTTAGAAATATTTCAACTCATTTTAACCTGACACAAGACCTAAAGCCATGAGAAAGAACTTTGACTTTTGTCTAACTTTCTTCATTAAACACCCAATAGAGAGCTGATAGGCCATAGATTACAATAATATCATTTAACTGCTATTTCAGCCTCTGTCAGAGGAGTAAAAGCTCTCTGAAAACTCAAAATGGAAAGCTTTGAATATCGAAAGTTGTCGACCTAAAAAATTAGCTTTCGACTTTATGACATCATCTTACATGGAGTATGTATATTCACAATGACTTTGTATTAATTAAAGGGATAGTTGAGTTCTTGTTTCAGACCACAAATGCCTTTAGAGAGTGGATGGTTATTGCTCTTTTTGTTATTAATGATGTTTTGAGTGCTCTTTTAGGACCTTAAATTGCTATGAAGGTAATTTTAGACCAAAAAATGTGTGAAATTTAGCCAATACCATCATACCAATTCAGCTACACTTTCAAAAAAATATGTTGACCATTGATTAATTAATTAATTAATAATAACAATACCCGGGCCGGCTGATTTTTCAGATTATAACCAACACAAAAAAGTCAACAAAAAGCCAACATCGGCATTGACTTGAATAAAACATATAAGGCATCATCTCGTTTTTTCAACAGCCGATTTAATCAAGTTATCAAATATTTGTGGGGCACCACCAATATTAGAAATCGTTAGATTTATGGATATTTTAGCCATCTCTGAACCGATTATGATCAAAGATGATTTTGTTTTTCATTATCTCACAACAAAAATTATTGTGTGTAGCACTATCTGCAACAAAACTCAACTACCGGTATCCCTTTAAGCATGTCTACTTGCCTAAGGTAAATAGTCAAGATCGGGTCCACATGTGATGTTGTCACCGAAAATTTTGCAGTAAATTTTTACCCCTTTTGACTTGTAATTTGGAGGGGTACTGAAAATGAGGTTTTAACTTGCTTTTGTGCAATACTACATGTGATAGAGAAAATATATCTTGATTTCTTTACGTTTTTATTCTACATTCATTCAGCTTTCCACCCTTACCGAACTGAAGGCCTTCGCTAAGCAGTCGCATAAGCAGTCACAAGCAGTCGATATAAGCAGTCGCAAGCCTTCATTTGCAACATGCATGTCAATGTATTGCTGCAAGCCTTCGAAGGCTTGTAAGCAGTCGATAGGCCTTCCCACAGCCAAGTTAATATGCAAATTAGCTTTGACTGCTTATAATGAAGCTCTAAATAAGCAGTCGACTGCTTATAATGAAGCTCTAAATAAGCAGTCGACTGCTTATAATGAAGCTCTATATAAGCAGTCGTGTTTAAACCTTCCTAAGCCTTCGAAGGCTTATAAGCAGTCCGTAGGCCTTCCCACAGCCAAGTTAATATGCAAATTAGCTAAGCCTTCATCATTGACTGCTTATACCTTCGTCGTTGAATCACCTAAACCTTCGTTGTCGACTGCTTATCCCCTAAACCTTCGAGCGTTGTCCACTGGGTACAAACCTTCGACTGCCTATATTACCTAAACCTTCCGTCATCAACTGCAGCTGCGGCCTGCGCTAATTTGCTCAAATATATTTGTGAACAAGTATTTACAAAATCAATGACCATGCAATTTCCTAATCTGTACAGAAAGCAAACTCAATTTCGTATTGTGTAATTGTATTACTCACCTTCTGGACAAAATGAAGATGTTTAAAGTAGCTCCAGCAGCTAGCAGTCCAGTGCAAAGCAAAGTTGATCGTATTTCTCCAACACAAGAGTGCTTGTGTGGGACTGTAATCTTGGTAACAAAATTCGATCCTTTCTCATTTTGTTAAATTCTTGCTCTAGAATACTCTCAAAATTCTTCTTTCCTGGTGTAAATAATCTACCCCTTATTCCCTATACTGTGGGTTTTACAGGAAGACAAATCTGGCGAAATTGCAAAGTAATGATTGAAATATGCGCCGTTCAGCTCAGCTCAGAGTCTCAGTGAAGATTTGAATTTGAAAATTACCGGTTGGCCTATTCGCCTTCTACCACTAGATGGCAGCACACATTTGGAAAATGAAGGCCTTCGCGGTCTTCTTTAAAAGTGACTGCTTATCTTTGAAGGCTTATTTTTAGCGACTGCTTATCTTGAAGGCTTATTTTCAACTGACTGCTTAATAAGCAGTCAACATTTTTGGACTGCTTATATGAAAGTCTTTGAAGGCTTAGCTCTCGCAAACTAATAAGCAGTCGAAGACTAAAACAAGCCTTCGAAGGCTTATGAAGTCTTTGAAGGCTTTGTGAAGGCTTAGTATGGTGGCCCTGAAGGGACATCGCGAATAGACTAAATCGTGAAAAATATGCGATAAAATTCACGATATCGTCAATTTTATCGCATATTTTTCACGAAGAGATTCACGAAATTGACGATATCGTGAATTTTATCGCATATTTTTCACGATTTAGTCTATTCGCGATGTCCCTTCAGGGCCACCATAGCTTAGCGAAGGCTTATCGAAGGCTTATTAAGCAGTTTTCTTTGGTAAGGGTTGACATAACGTTTTTAAAGGGTATTTAAACTCAACTTTTGCTGAGTTTTGACCTTGCATCAGGTGCAATTTTTAGTTGAATACATACCGTTTCCTTAACACAAATAGCACGGTATAAGTTAAAGACTACACCAACCTGTTCTATAACGAGATGAGTAAACAATGGTTTGTGTATTAGGGTCTGTCATTTGCAGTTCATACAGCAAACCCCCTTGAAGCCCCAGGAAAAATGTGGATGTTAACAGTGGGCTGATTGTACGCTGGGTTCCCGTAAGTTGCGTGGACGCATCCACTGATGTTCCAGAGAGAAGGGTGGTCACACCAGTAGCAGGGAACATCAGGCGGAAAAAGCTTGGCCCTTCAGTTGCACTGTTCAGGCATAGTTGGCAAGCTAGGATGACAAACAAAAATAAAAATATTGTAATTTCATCATTGTATATTTAACACTCTAAAAAGTTAAAATGGGGGTAATTCTTGTGGTCTATTAATTCTGCTGTGGTAAAAAATACTTAATCACATCTGTGGTAATTTCACATATGGTTTTCAATTTTCTTGTGGGAATGACCATAATAGGCGAGGTTCATAAATTTAAGACACACCAAAATTCAGTCCTACATGTTTCTAGAGTTGAGGTGCACTGACTTTTTAAAATTTGAATACATCTTCCAAGATGGCTGCCATGATGGCTGCCAAGATGGCTGCCAAGATGGCTGACATGTTAACAATATCAATAAGTAGTAGTGACCAATTATAAGTTCGCAAGAAGGAACTCAAAGTAACCAATGGAGGGAAAGAGTGTCGGGTGTTGAGTGAGTTGAAGGTTGGATAGTCATAACAGAGGCTGTTCACACCGGCAGAGATAGCGCGCGCTAGACCGCGCTATCTCAGCGATTTGGAAGGTACAACGTCGTTTCGGTCCGCCCAACAGCGAGCCACGGCAAGCCAAAACGGCGTGCCACTGGAGCACCTCTTGGGGATGGGCCACGAGAGATAGCGCCGTCTAGCGCGCGCTAGAAAAAAGAGAGTTCTACGATAGACCGCGCTATCTCATTGCGATGTGAACAGCTTCCCAGAGAGTGAGGTTGCTTTGGCAGGCAAGGTTGAACGGGTAAGAATGGGAAAGGGCAGAACTAAGGAAGTATGAAGAATAGAGATAAAGGGGAAGGGTTATAGGTCAAGGCTGCCCCTATGACGACAGAGTATGCAAAGCTAAATGTAAATCAAATAATTACAAATGTGTAAATTATAATCTTACAATAGGGGCGTTCACACCTACAGAAAAAAGTGAGATTTAAAAATCAATTTTTGTATCGCGATCCAATTCCCAGTAAGTCTTCTGATTTTTCAGAATAATCCGATAGCTTGCCGGGAGCTGTGTGTGTGTGAATATTATTGAGAATCAAAAATAAATTGATTTACTCCCAGGATTCCAAGCACACAACATCGTTGAGATTCGTGCATGGGCAGTTTGGACGTTCTTGCCATCAAGCGAGAATTCTTTGTGTGTGTGTGTGTATGGTCGCCAAAAAAAAATTATCTTTGAATCGTGATCCAAATCGCACTTATTGTTATGTGTAAACGGGCCTATTATGATCACAACGTCAATGGGATTTCTGTTCCAAAAAAAGTAACTTACCTGGAATATTGATGCCAGTAATTTCAACTGGTGTACCCCCTTGGCCATCAGAGTTGACAGCCACAACGCTGAACGTGTAAGTGGTATCATCGTAGAGATGATCGATCTCATATGACCTATCATCATTGGGGAGTAAGGATCTCTCATACACATCATTGGTGTTCGTATTTGTTATGGTCACATTGTAAAACTCAGCGGTGTTGCCAGTAGCTGATTGATTCCAGGCCGCTGTGAACCCCCATTGCTGAATATCATTGATGACAAGATCCTGAACAGGTCCGGGTATCTGTGCAGTGGATAGCTGGAAGACATAAATTCAAAGAAAATATTACTCTTAAAAAGAGCAATCCGACCTTGTAATATTTTTATTTTTATGAATTCAAAGCAGGAAAATCATTAAAAAAAAAGAATGGTACAATATTGAAAAAAAACTGACCAATAATAAAAGAGTTTATGAGTGTTTGAAATATGAGACCACTGAAGCTAAGTGATTCTCAGATTGGAAAGTTTGTCAGTAGATTGTGACGTATTCACAGACAACGCTCCTGTTTTTCGTGCACAAAAATAATTATTTCTTTTCTCCTACAGTGCCATCTCCCTTGGGGCACAACTCATAATATAATATGATAACATATTATTATAGGTCCTCTAAAAAAACCAAGGCCCTCCAAAATCATATAAAAGGTATTTTAAAGAAGAAAAAAACACAGTTTAGTTAGTGTGTAAGTTGGAACGAACGAAATAGTTGTCGGGCACTACATCACAGTGACAATACCAATTAAAAGTTGATAAATCTTTCATTTTTTGTCTGATTTCATTCAAACTTTCACCAGTGTTCTTCTCTGGTTTTTTCTGCTTTCTATTAGATTAGTTTGCTATGAAGGTTGGATTTCACTTTCACTGTAACTGTAAAAGTCAATCTATCTCCTCAAGCTGTTTTGGAAAAAAATCAATCAACTGTAACAAGCGTAAATTAGAATGCAGAGACTTGGTATTTTGAAACCAAAATATTTATATCCTGGTGGTTAAAAATGAAACCAAGGCAACACAAATATTAGCATAATTATGATAATATTTTGTATACCTAGGGAAGCATCATCAGCATCAATGCTCTTCTTCCCAAGGGGCGAGGGCCCTTTTATTAACATTAATCTAGCAATTACTTGGTATCCATGAAGGGAAACCTTACCCCAAGATATAACTTTAATGATTCTGAAAGGTTTATCGGTATTCTTTCCCATTAATCTACAAGATTTCTCATCAAAGTGTATGAGAGTGGTATAAAGCACGATATTCTTTGCACAATAATGTACTTTCTCAGCACGACATGGGCATCCCCATTTTCTTGATAACGTGGGTATACGTGGCTCCTTACCAATCTATCAACAGAACTGGATCCAGACACATCAACTACTGGTATGTGAAGTCGTTTATCAAGTATATGTCTTTAAATTTATAGATGCTGAAGTATTTCATTCACTCAAGGGGAGTGTTTCACACAAACTAAGATTGACTTTAAGTTGGACTTAGCTATGGCAGGACGTTCATGCCACTGTTTGCTCTCACCATTTACTGGCAATGGTCTCTCAAGGGACATAAAAATCATGGTAACACATCTACAGAATTTAGCTTTTATGATAGTTCATTATTGAAGGAAAAAATATTATCTAAAGATCATAATTGAGAGACCAATGGTGAGAGCAAACAGTGCCATGAATGGCCTGCCATATTTAAATCCAACTTAAACTTAGTCTATCCTAGTCTTCGTGAAACACTACCCATGTTTGCCTCACGCAGCCTCAGTAACTTTTAATTCAGAGACCTAAAAAAATGAATTTAAAAACATGGCAAACATTTCTGCACATTTTTGTCCATTTTTGTCACATGATCACTTTCCGTTTTGATGCTAGGATTTTTTATAGGAAAATAAAATGTTAAATTTTTGAATTATCTATTTAGCTACACACTGAGAAGTTTAAAATCACTGTTTTTTTCTAACAATGGCATTTAAACAAATCAACATAGCTTGTAACCATGCATATTTTTTCCAAAGACCTGACATTTTATTAGAACACGTTCTGCCTGTAAAAGTATAATTGTATAGTTAATTAAAAAACAAAAGGTGATAAGAAAGACCTTAAAAATTTACTGTCCTGAAAGGGTTTGGTATTGCCAAAAAACACAGGGATTGGGCCATAAATGCATTTTAAACCCCTACCAACATTTCCAGTGTACTTAATTTTCATGACCCAAAACAACTTTATACCCAACTGAGAAAGAAGCGCTTCTCTTGTGGTAGTGCTTAAAGTGGATTTTAGGCCAAGTGCCGGCCGGTAACCTTACGGGCTCCGTCCAATGAGCAGGTGTACCGATGGCTCCTGGAAGGTCCCCTGCCAGGGCCCGGCCGGTCAGGTACAGAGTGAGTCAGAAAATATGTCCAACTTTTTAAAAGTTGTATTGTTTGAAGTATGAATATTTTAATCATGGGTTTCATGATATATCTTGCTATAGTTATCCTCCCAGTACATTTAGGTACTGTTTTCATTTGAATTTATGCATGCATCACTGAATATCAGACAATCTTTACAAGACTGCCAGATCTCACTTGCGCCAAAGATTTTTACTTTTTTAAACTTTTTTGAGGCATTTTTCATGATCATTTTGAAGAGCAATTTTTTTAGGGTTTCAATATAATACACTATGCCTTTGAGGGGATGTCCACCCTGACATTAATGAAAAAAAAAAGCAGGCCAGTGAAAGCTTGAGCGAAATTCAATTAAAAATGAAAAATATTATGAATTTTTTGAAGGTACAATTGATCAAACACAAATTGGCAACTCTGTTCGAGCATTCCTCCTATTTGCCCTAGCTGTACTAAAAAATAAAACAAAATCTATAATTTCCCTCAAGAAAATGTTCAATCTTACACTCACCCTAAATATTATACTGCAAAATGTTTTTAAACAACCCCTGTATGAAACAAATCTATTCCTTTATAAATAACAAAGAAAATGAAGGATTATGAAATTTCTGTACACAGCGCAATTGAAGAGCCTATCCCCATGTACCGCCCGACCCCTCCCCGGCCCTCCCACCAACCCTGCCCCCACCTATAGGTCTATATATAAATATTTATATATACATTGGATTAAATTAGGTAAAGACCAGTTATGGTCATGCGATTGCATTGTGAAAGAAACGTTGTGGAATCGATCAGAAAAGGTTGATCATCTAGCATATAAGTATTGGTGTGTACTGCAAGGTTCTGGAATCATCAAAATGATAAGAAATTTGGCCCATTCTTTGTAAAGTTACAAGCACCGTACACAGAAAGATGTATATGGGACTATACGCACACGTGCGTTTATCTCTCACAGACCATGTAGATACACTAATTTACCAAATATATCTATTAGTAGGCGGTTTCCCAGCAAAAATGTTATCATCCAATACTGGTCTTTACCTTTAAGTGGATCTATAAAGCGTTGAGTCCAGACCCAAAAGAGACTTAGCAATTTATACTTTAACCTTGCCAACTATTTTTTAAATAAATCAGTCACCACACGCGCCACATATATAAAGAGACAAGAATTGTTAAGGGCCTTATTCAATTCAAGTTTATAACACATTTACCTTAGTAGAGTAATTATTATGTGTGGGGAAAATATTTGCATGCACAGAGCAAATAGATTTTTTTTTTAA